GAAGTATAACAGTGAGTTGTGGTCAAGTGTATCTCTAGGTGTTTTAATTCTGGGCTCTGTGACTCGGGTTGAAATAGAATCTGTGAAAAAGTCATGACCCTAAACAAATGAAATTACAGAAGTTTATTGTATTCCATGAATATGTAACAAAGAATACGATTACATTGGAGAAACAGGACCAAAAATATCTGCTAGCCTAAAAGAGCCTTAATCCTAAGACAAATAAACTTATCAGCAGTTACCGAAAAATCTAAAATTCTTGCATATCTTCTTAGGGTGCCGATCCGTTGCGAATGTTGGCGATCATCATAGCGATTCGGACTTTGTCTGACGCAATTCGGAATGCGTGGATGTTTTGTTGAACCAGGTCCTGAAATTTTTAAGCTGGTCCTCTTCGTCCAAGGATTTTTCCTTGTAGGATTGTCTGCAGCAGACCGAATCTTTCTTCATTCCGCAAGATGTAACCTAGGTATTCTAATTTGCGGGTTTTAATTGTGTTCATTAGTTCCAGGTCTTATTTCATTGTTCTCAGAACTTCCGTATTCGTTACTCTTGCCGTCCAGGGGATTTTTAGCATTCTCCTGTACAGCCATATCTCGAAAGCGTTCAGTTTTTAGGCTGTGGTTTCGCTGAGCGTCCAGGACTCTGCACCATAAAGAAGAACGGAGAAGACGTAGCATCGCAGGAGCCTTACTTTAGTGTCAAGGGTGAGGTTATGACTTTTGAAAAATGCACCCATGTGGTTAAAGGTTGATCTGGCTTTTCCTATGCGTGTTTTTATTTCCTGTGCGTTATTCCAGTCCTCATTATGGTTCCCAGATATTTGTAGTGATCTACTCTTTCGATAGTAGCTTGATTTATAATTAGATGACTTTCTGTTATTTTTTCTCTGCTGATTATCATAAGTTTGGTCTTACTTACGTTGACTTCAATGCCGTATTGACTGCTGCGTTAGGTAATTTTGTCCATCAGGAGCTGTAGGTCTTCGAGACTATCAGCAAAGACAATTGTATCATCAGCATATCTGATGTTGTTGAGCCTGTGTTGATTTTGTCGAGCAGATAGTCAATTTTATTTCGTACTATCCTTCCTGGTTGGTCTTGAGGTGATTTCCATGTATAAAGGGCGGGAGCTTGAAGAATGTATTCATAACCACCAGATCGTTGCTCTCTGCAAATGTCTCCAGTAGATCTTCTCGCTCATTTCTTTTCCCGAGACCGTGTTCTCCGATGTGATGAGATCTGTTCCCTGCTCCCAGTATAGCATTGAAGTCCCCCATCACAATGAGTAGCTCATGTTTAGGTATTTTCTCAATCACGAGGTTGATGTAGTGATAGAACTCTATGACCTGGTCTTCTGGATTATCTCCAGTTGGGGCGTAAACTTGCAAGATGTTGATTTTGATTGGAGTAGCATTGACCTGTAGTAGCTCTTTCTGATATGGGACCAAATTCGTAATGCACTGGGCTATGTTAGGAGATATTATGACTCTGACACCATGTTCATGGGTTCCATCGGTTCCCGAGTAGAAAACTGTGTGGTCCTCCACTTTCAGCTCTCCTGAATTAGGGCATCTCATTTCAGACACTCCCATAATCCCGATATTCGTTCTTCTCATCTCCTGCATTGCATTCTGAATCTTTCCTGCCCTTGCCATTGTCTTCACATTCTATGTACATATCTTGATTCTGGTTCTATATTTAAGCTTTATATCCTTGGATCCGCTCAAAACTGTCTTCCCCGGAGATCCCATTGGAGGATTTACTCCGGAATTTAATTTAGTGCTGAGCATCGAAATGATTGATTGACTAGGACTTATCCAGTGGATCTTGCATATACTGTAATCAAATTTTCCACCAAAGAAAAATCCGAGAATCCATAAAAATCTAGAAGCAATCGATCTTAGCCGCGGCTCAACAATATGGGAATCAGTCATCCGAGAAAATGTGTATGCCCCTCCTTTAACTCCACCCATCTCATACAGGATATAAGCGGGTAGAGAGTAGAATTCCAGCCAGAAAAAATGAAAATACCCAATCAAGTGGGTTTGGGAGCAATATAACTGTTTTTTAGTTTAAGCAATTTTTGATTTTTATGGGTTTTTTACTGTGTAACATATCGACAGTGACGTTTAAAGAGTATAGATCCAGTATATAAATCCACACCTTAAGGGCAACAAACTACGACTGTTGGAAATTTTACGCGTACGTACTGTATGATATTTCGATCAAAATAGCAGGACAGTGTTGTTGATAATCCAAAATAAAATTTGATTTATTAAGAAACCCTTTTATTTGTTGTCTCCACAAATTCTCTCACAAACTTTTATGTGCAATCAAAAAATAACTAAAGCAAGCACTCTTTCTGTGCCATTTTAAGAGTAGTTTTGAACCTAACTACACCAAATTAATACTCCCCTTAGATTTAATTATATTGTATGTTTTGAAATAGCTTAACCAAAGATCGTCTAATTTTAATCGTTATAAAGATATAAACTAATAAATACTGTGTTAACTTTTTTTATGCTTGTAATTTGGGGGTCCCATACTTTTATTTCATAGTTTTGTAATTATTGAATAAATTACCACTCTTCTTTTGATACATTGTTCATGGTGTAATGCAAATAGAAACATGATAAAATTACATCGGATGAGTTTAGAACTTGCAGCTATAAAGATTAATTTGGACCGAGCGTATCTTCTTTATGGTCCAACCGTGTTGCTACTTGATATTCATTAACTTAAATAGTAACATTTGGTGTCAATAAAATAACACCTTGAAATAGAAGAGCAAGAGCAACTCTTGAAACCCTTTAAGTCCTACTGATTCTGATAAAACAATGCGTAGTAGAAACACGGTTTTATTGACTTCTATCATTTTGTTTTTCAAAGTATTTATACCGGATGTGTGGTTTATTGTACTATTTAGCAAAACAGCAGTTAGTTCTGTTCACTAACCTAATTGAACTATAAATAATCCGAAGAGCAGAGAATTTTTTATATGATCTTTGATTGTTTAAAGAACTCCGAAAAACGCAAAATTTACAGTGCCTATCTGATATGCGCAAACGTACATCATGTATATTTTTAATAGATAATTATTTAGTTGATTTGAAACATCTGCAAACGACCGCACGGCTCGAATTTTTAACGGAAACTAATTTCATAAACTTTAAATGCAGACGGAAAGAAATAGATGAACCCTTTACACAAGACACAAATTCGTCAAATGCTACGTGCACTCCACACTTCTTTTTCGGTACCGTAAAAGTGAAGTAAGTAAGCACAATGAATAAGCTGGAAGCGTCTGAGATGTGGATGTATCGTAAAATGTTAAGGATACCATCGACTGATCACGTTTCAAATTTGGAAGTTCTAGATCGAGTGAACCAGGAACGCGAGTTCCTCGAAACAATAAAGAAAAAAAAAACTCGTAGCGCACCTCGGTCATCTTATGAGAGATAACAAACACAATTTCCTTCAACTCAGAATGGAAGGTAAGATCGAGGGAAAACGCGGTCCCGGGCGTCGACAATGCTCCAGATTGAAGAACATCAGAGACTGAACTGATTTGGACTCGCACACCTTATTAAAAAATGTATAAAATAGATCACTGTCCGTGATTGTTACCGATCTTCATTGAATACAGATGGCACTTTAAGAAGAAAATTTCTACAATAGCCGGTTTAAGTTTCTTTGAAGATCGCTTAATCAGTTTTTTTTTTCATATTTGGATGTCTTAAACAATTGATTCTTAGATGAAAATCTGTAAGCAACCATACAATCTTAACCGCGACTCAGGTCTCTTTCACCAAACTTTCACCAATATGGGAATAAGCCATCCAAGGCATGTTCCCTAGCTGTGCCCTTCTCAAACAGTATATAAGCAGGTGTCAGCAACTCGAAGAATCCAGAACTTTGGTAAATATTATTACAGTAGCTGGAATGGGCACCAGAGAAGCACTATTCAGCATACAAATACTAACACAGTACTGTCTAGATGTTAAAGATGTGTTCATGTGCTTCATTAATTACGAAAAGGCCTGAGATACTGCGAAAAACATACTGGATGAAAAAGATATCGGATGTATAGGAAACTTAAACTGGTATCAAAGAGCACAGATAAAAACACAAAACATCAGAACCGAAGACATCCGTATACATGGAGGTGTGAGACAGGGATGTGTACTCTCACTAGTATTATTTAATATATACTCGCAAGAGATTTTTAGTAGAACGTTTGAGAACTCCGAACATGGAATAACGGTTAATGGAAACCCAATATCGAACCTGAGATGCGCAGATGACTCCGTACTAGTTGCAAACACGAATGAGTTACAGGACATGTGCACCCGACTGAATGAAACCGGCAAGCGATATGGCCTAAACATCAATTCCAAGATTCCACGATCATTAGCAGAGACAAACAAATATATGCTAACGCACACTAACCAACTCGTATAGCTTGTCCAAAAATATCAATACCTTGGATGTTGGCAGCATGCGGACTGGAACCCTGAAAGGGAAACTAGAACAAGAATAGAGAAAGCACGTGCAACATTTATTAAGTTTAGAAATGTACTAAGCTGCAATATACCCAACTGCAACTACGTTTGCGGTACGCAAGATGCTATGTGTGGTCTGTCCTGCTCGATGGCGTAGAAGCGCATACCATGAAAACCAGCAGCATAAATAGAATAAAATAGCCATACAGACGTGTCTTAAAAATACCCTGGAAAATATTCTACAACTCATACTCGAAGGAAAGATGGAAAGAAGGCAAGAGGAGAATTGGTAGAAAGCAGCTGTCATGGGCAAGAAACTTCAGACAATCCGAAGACTATAGGAGAGCTCATAAACACAGCAAGAGACAAAGGCAGATTCCAACATGCAGTGAATGGATTGGCATCAGAAGAAGAAGATTGAAAAAGATTACTTCTTGTCTTTTGCGATTTCGATTACTCCATAGGAAATAATCAAAACAACTTCTTAGAGAACGAACCCTTTATTTCACATTTTGCTGACCGGTTTAATTCCTAAAATATCGAAACAGGTCGCCATAATTGTCGCGGCGGCTTCGGCCAACAAAATTCTACCGACGTGAACCTTCACCACGTCACCGCTCGTGTCCCTCTCCATGCAATAACAGGAATCGTAAAATTCCGTAAACGTTGTGGCGATCTCGTATAGGTATTCGCACAAGGGATGCAGACAAAGATCGTCCGCAGATTTCAAGAGGACGTCGGGAAAACGAATCAGTACCTTTCCCAGTTTCCAGCCTTTGTCGTCTTCGAGCGACACCCGGTTCGTTTTGGCCAGTTCCCTGATTTTGTCCGGCGTCATATTTGCATTACGAGCGATGGATTTAATACGGGTATAGGCGTAAAGCAAATAGACTGCGGTGTTTCCTCTGTCTTCCAACATTTTATCGAAAGAAAATACATATTCGTGATTCCTGTTGTGAGATAAATCCGCATATTTAATGCACCCGTAAGCCACCGATTCCTGAGCCTTTTTTAATTCTTCCCAAGTTAACACCTTGTCCCGCCCCTTCTCTTTCAATTTCTCTGAGGCTCGTTTCAATCCTTCCTCCAGTAAATCGAGCAGTTTTACGGTGTCGCCGGAACGTGTTTTGAATTTTTTCTTGTCTTCTCCTAATACAACGCCGAATCCGACGTGGGTTACTTTATGCACTTTCTCGTCCAATATACCAGCTTTTTTCGCACACCCAAACAATGAATTGAAGTGGGTGGCTTGCCCCAAATCAGTTACGTAAATGACCCAATCTGCTTTTTCTTCATGAAGCCTCTGTTTGAGGCACGCCATGTCGGAAGTGTCATACGTGAAACCGCCATCGGACTTAACTACAGTTAGCGGAATACTTGTGTCACCCCACATCACCTTTCTCCCTTCGTCCTCCTCCAACAGCCCGCGACTTTCCAGTTCCTTGACGAGTTGTTCCATTCTGTCCTGATAAAAGGATTCGCCACGTTCAACTAAACTGACATCGAGCCGATCATAGATTTTCTGAAACTCTAAATATTAATTGAAAATACTACTGTCCAGAATACTAGTTTTACACTGATAATAAATTCATGAAATAACTGCTTAAATTCGTGATATTCTTGACAAGACAAACTAACTTTACACTAAGAACAATCTTCCTCAATTAATTTCAACCTTTCCAAATATCATTTACCAGTTCAACCAAGTATTTAGTATTTAGTTTGAATGTTCAAGAATTAAAAAAGAAATGATATGTCTTTGCTGCTAATAATTTTCTGGTACCTAACATGGGAAGAAGGTGGTCAATCAGGCAATAGCTAGAAAAAAAATTAAGAGGTGTATAAATTGGTGTAAAAAGAGCTTAAAATGGTTCCTGAACAGTGTATGAGGATGACAACAGTAAATATTGATAAAATACTGAGTCAAAACCCAAAAACAATGAACACAATTTTTTGAGATGCGATAAGTGCAGAAGATAAACTTAAGGCAACTAGTAAGATTTTTAACCATAGTTGCACTTATATACAGCATTCAAACATCATAGGCCATTAATTCCTTATTTGCACCAAGATTTTGTAGGTTAACATAGGATCCTTTTAAGGTCGAATTTTTACAAGTAAATTAACATATGTAAAAAATTGCTTTTCACAGACAACTCGTTTTGCCAAAACATTCAACGAAATCTAGACACATTTTAAGAAAAAATTGCCGAAACCAAACTTATTGAGGAGCTGTTATTAGGTTATTAGTTAAATGCAAGAATTTAAATCTCGCGCAAGCACATTTTGAATGGACCTTATCAAAAATTTTTTCAAAGTTTCTTTATAAATTCCTATATTATTGGAATTGGACAGGCCCTCTTATCTTTGGTAGCTCTATGGGTAAACCAATAGATAATACAGAGGGTACGATAGAAATTGATGCATGCCTCTTCACCCACTAACCCTGGCTGACCAACCGTACAGAATTGGCCGGTACAATATCAGGTTTTTCTGACAACGTCCTAGAAAACCTACTCGTACTGAACTGTTCCGGATTTTTAAATATTAGGCATTAGATTTTATCTCCCAACTATTTCCCGCTCTTAAGTCGTACTTTTCGTCAATTCCGAGATGCACTATCACAATCGAGTAATTCCATAGAAACAACCATAGTTGAGTTTTACTTGACAGCCGAGGAATACCTCTCACAATGGCAAATTAGATGAACAATTTGACGAAATATCTTTAATAAAGGAATTTGTAACCAATGAAAAGTTGGAAGATTGGCAAGCTAATTATATCAATATATGCGTCCAATGGCTTAAAATTTTTGATAATTGTATAAAAAAGCATTAGTACTGGGTCTGCCTATGCAGAGGAAGAAAGAGTGTTTCCAATTATAAACAACTTTTGGAGTAGCGAAAAAAGTCAACTTGCAACGGGAATTTAAGCTGTCTGGAGTTTCACAAATTCCTTTTAAAAAAATGATTTTGCTCTGAAAGGAATAGGTGGTCAAAATAAGTATCCTTTTAAACAATAGGTGGTTTTAAAAAATCATTTGGCATTAAAATTTAATTCGTACATATTTTCCATGTAAAAGTTTTTTTATACACTAAAGTTAATGATATTTTTTTCAAATAAATTAAAAATATATATAATTTGTTTTTATTTTTACATGAGTTAAGGGAAGGGAGGTTGATGTAAGCGTCCTGGACCCATCTCTTTCGAAGTTGGTCACCTTGACTAACCTGCACTTTACGCCATTTTCTTTGTAAATAGCAATTCGTTTAACTCGTTTTTTTTTCATTGTTGCTTCTTGCTTCATAAGTTTCTGTATTATCGGCATAAACAGGGCCTCTATATATGATTACTTAAAGATTTATGAAAAAATTGTCAGTGTAAAACTATACCTATCCAGTGAACTTGGGCTAATAAATTATGGGCCCATTCACAATACTAGGTAAGGAAAACTGTCTTTAATATTTGAATATATTTGAAGTTTAATGACGATTTTGATTTATTGGACTTGAAAGTAAGTTGAACAGGGTGTTTTTCATTTCACCACAAGTACAATAGGTATAGAATATAATATTACCAAAAGATAAAACATAAAAAAACCCTACGTCTTTGTATTAGTCTTTAAGATTGCATAAAGCAAAATATAAAGAAACACCCTCTTTTTTGATTGGACAGTGCCAAGATTTGAGGTATTTTGATGATTATAATTACTTAAAATAATAATTAAATTTACCTTTTCTTGATACATTGCAAATTAATTCCCACGCTTTTTTATGATCAGGATCAAATGATTGCAATTTGACCACACTACTATAAGCCCTTTTCTTAAACTCTTCATCTTCATCGAACCTCTTCTTCGACTCTTTATACAACTGCTGTAAATCACTAATCGGTGGAGGGCTAATTAAATAATTAGGAAATTTTTCTTGAAGATGAGCAATCAACATTCCAAACTGAGTACCCCAGTCACCAACATGGTTTAGACGCAATACAGTATGACCTAGATACTCCAAAAGTCGGCAGATACTCTCACCAATAATAGTAGACCTTAAGTGGCCAACATGCATTTCCTTGGCAATATTTGGGGAAGAAAAATCGACTACAATTTTGAGTTTTTTCGATATTGGTGGGGGTTTTAAACCTTCATTCAATAGTTTTGTAAGTGCTTCCACTGCAAATTCTTTATTTAAATATATATTAATGAAACCAGGACCTGCTAATTCCAGTTTTGCTATTAACTTATGCGAGGGTACATTTTGTATTATTTTTTGGCCTATTTCTCTTGGATTAACTTTTTTGCCTAAAATTATACACCTTATAACATAAAACAAACCATTTACAACAACACATACCCAGTTTCTTGTACAGGTTTGCAATCTGTAATGCTGAATTACACTGATAATCAGCAAATTTAGGATTATTACCTGATAACGCAATGTCAATAGGGGCATCAGCAATATCGTCACAGGCTAGACTTATAGCTGCTGAGAAGAGGATATTCAGTATATTTGATATACTTTGATAATTTTCATCAGTAGATGATTTAGTTTTAGAAGATTCTATCATGATTGCCTATTCCATATCAAAAAATAAGGTTGTTATACAAAAACATATAAATAAAAAAAGTATACAATGTCCAAAATTCTAATTAAACAAATAACTAGTATAACAAATTATTACTTATAAATTTTAAACTTACTCGATTCAATATTGACAGCCTGTGTTTTAATTTAGTATTTTGAGTATTCAACTTAGAAATTTCGGGATCAGCAATTAACAAATCGCTATTCTGAATACAAAGTTTTAGTTGCTCTAATTGCTTCTTTAATATGTTCACCTCTTGCTCCTGGAAATAACCATGGATTAAAATTCTCGAATATGTCCAATACGACTCTTACGGCTTCTTTTGTTTCCTTGATATAGACTAATATATTATTTTCCATAATAGAAAAATAAAAAATAAATAAATGATATTTCTCTCGTCAACAAGAAAAAATTGCCTAATGAGGTTATCACCAAAGAATAAACGTGGTAGTTAGAAACCATACATGAACATTTTACTAAAATCAGTAGGACATGGTCCATATGATCATTGCCGGCATTAATCAGTGACAAAGCTTTGTGGACTACAACCTGGATAATTTTATCATTTCTATAATATCTACATATTACCATTTTTATTGTAAACCAATCGGGGTCTATTGATCGCGTTCATAGATAATTTTCTATTCCACTTTTAAATTCAAATCACAAAAGAAGTAGAATATTTTATTTGTATTCTATTCTATTTCTATTTGTATTTCTAGGAGCCTAAATACATGCTAGCAAATTGCTTTGGGGCAACTTAAAGAAGAATAAGAATTCTATCACAGAATATTAAACTTTAGTTATTTATCCTGTGACTACTTTATGCTGACGCTTGATTGATTTTGGAAATAAAAGTTTTCTTGGGAGGGAAGTATATTTATTATACCGTTATATACATGTGTATATTATGAATATCTATGTTAATTTATTAGAAAGAAAGCAGTTAGAAGGTAATTGTGATTACAAATTTTTGCGCTCTGCTTGAACTGCAAATTTTGGCATGAAAAATATAGTGCTTATAAAGGTTATATGGATTATAAAATAAAAACAAATTACTATTTCAATAAAGTAATACAGGATATGAAATCGTACTCAAAGAGCCTCTTAATAAATTTCAATGTCAGCCGAATTTGCACGGGGAGTGGAATTAATAAATATCCAAGGCAAATTGGAATTTGCAGGAACCACAATAAAAATATTTAAAATATTTGTAGATGCCAGCTGAAAATATACAATATTCGGAAAAATATTGTGATGAACGTTACGAGTACAGACATGTTATTCTACCTCCAGATTTAGCAAAACTAGTACCACGACTGCATTTGATGACTGAAACTGAATGGCGAAACTTAGGTGTACAGCAAAGTCCAAATTGGGTACACTATATGCTACATGGACCCGAACCTCATGTGCTATTGTTTAGACGACCATTATATCATACACTCGAACCAGTGTCTTATAACTGATATAAAACACCCTATATCATAATATGTGGAAGTTTGTTTCAAGAAAATGAAGTGAATTTGCTCATGTAGTCAAAAGTACCAAGTTCTTTTTTTTTGCAGGAATTTAATTTGTTATTTATCTATGGAATTAAGTAAGTTCTTTAATTTTTTTTATTTAAAAAATTGCTTTTAATTAAGTTTTTGCTGATGTATAGGATTTTCAAAAAATGCCTGTTTTGGATCTAACAACTTTGATTTCAAACTAATTATAATAACATTCCTACTATACTGTGATGAAATAAAATTTAATTTTAAAGTTAAAAAATTATTGACTTAGGAATCCTTTACTTTTTTCTTATTTATGTTGACCTAAGAGGTCTAGAACCAGAAATGTATCTTCTCTCCTAAAAAGTGTACTTTTCACACTTTAGAATTGGTAAAATTCCGTTGAAACAACTTATAGGCACACGAAAGTCTTAAGAAAAAACAAACTCATAAGTCAACCTCCAAGCAGGACCTGGTATATTAAAAACAAAACATATTTACAAAAACACCCTAATAAAATAATTAAGGTTAACTTTCGAATGTTTGATGTTTCATCAATTCCTTAAAGGCGCCATTCTCCCTATTCAGTAACTGCTGGTAATTGCCCTGTTCGATTATCTGGCCATTTTTTAACACAGCAATTGTGTCCGCATTTTGAATTGTGGATAACCTGTGAGCAATCGTTAAAACTGTTCTCCCTTTCATTACTCTTTCTAATGCTTCCTGCACCAGTCTTTCGGATTGAGCATCGAGAGCACTGAAATGATTAAAATCTTATGTGAAGCAAAAAAAATTTTGAATTTCATGGAATAGCATATGAAAATATTACAAAGATAACTATTTCGAGGGCCCAAATTGTTTACATCATTAAAAGTGATGTTTTTGGAAAAACAATATTCATAGTTGGCACTTTAATAAATGTACAGAATTTCGTTTGTTTCGCGTAGTGGGAAAAAAATACCTTGTAGCCTCATCAAGAAGCAAAATTTTCGGATTTTTAATAAGTGCTCTAGCTATGGCCACCCTTTGCTTTTGCCCTCCGCTCAACATTACACCACGTTCCCCAACAACAGTATTGAAACCGTCTGGTAACTGTTGAACAAATTCATAAACATTGGCTTCCTTTGCTACTTTAATAAGTTCATCTTCAGTCACTTCTTCTGGATCATCAGCTCCATACAGTATATTGTCTTTTATTGAACATGAAAATAGTATCGGTTCCTGACTGACAGTACCTATATGTTTGCGTAACCATGATGGATCCAAATCTTTTATATTGTGTCCATCTAAATATATAGCACCATTGTCCGGATCATAGAGTCTTAACAATAAAGCCGCCAGAGTGCTTTTGCCAGAACCGCTAGGACCCACAACGGCCACCATTTTACCTGGTACTATATTTAGATCAAAATTGTTTAAAATTTCTATATCTTCTCGCGAGGGATAACTAAACTTTATATTTTTGTACTCAATATGACCATCCGGTTCAGACATTGGTGTAAAACCACCTGCAAAACAAGCCGTTTTAATTTATTGATTCCAATTAAGAGCTATGGCTAACATGTTACCGGAAACTGCAATGGTTGGTGGCCTATCGATAATTTCCCAAATTCGTGTAGCGGCACCCAGAGATCTATTCAACTCTGTGTAGAAACTTGATAATCCTCCCACGGACACACCAATATATGCCGCATAGAGTAAGAAAGATGATAGGTTGCCGACTGTTATTTCATGAGAAGATACCATTACTCCACCATAATACAGTACTGAGATTATGATGACATGCCCGCTAAAGCCTGTCTAAAAAGAGTATGAACTCTTTTGAACTGTCAATTTAAAAATAACTTATGTGACATGATCAAGATATTTAAGTACAAGAACTTTTCTCTATGTCAACTGGATGATTTTTTATCCATACCATTCCGTAAAAAATTGCTCTGGCTTTGGCTTCAAGGTATCCTAAATTTAAGACATTTTTTATAGAATGCAAGTAGGCATCCATTTCTCTAGGTTCCTGTGCAAAGGCTTTCACAGTGCGCATGTTCGATATTTTTTCTTCTGCCACTTTAGTAGCTTCTGCCAATGAGTCTTGCAGCCGCCTCGAAATCCCTCTAACATATCTCCCATATACCACTGCTACTCCAGCAACTGGAGGAACTATCGCCAAGCCAACTAAAGCCAATTGAGGGGACATGTAAAACTACAAATGATTACTAAAGTTTGGTAAACCAAAATAATTATTAGGCGCAATGCAAAGTCATAAATAATTCCACAAATAATAATTCATAAATACCATCATTCCCGTTCCGACAAATACCATAACTGTCGACCTTAACCCGTCGGATATGTTTTGGGATAACGCCTGTCCAACAATTTGAGTATCTGATGATAATCGGTTAATCAGTTCACCCGTAGGTCGTTTATCAAACCATCCCTGCTCCTGCTTTAAGATGGCATTGAAAACCTTTGTTCTCAGTGCCTGAGTCATCCTGTAACCTATACTTCAAGCCAATGAAATTATATCCACGGGAAATGACCCTACAAATCCTTGATGATTTACAGAACCAAAAATAACTTTCTACGATTAAGCATAGACAACATGCATGAGGTACGATTGGACTTCTGACAGTTTGGAACTAGATAGATATATTTTCAGTGATTTTGTAGTTTCCTTTCAAAGAAGTAATTATTGCATTAAATGATTAAATAGGCAATTGCCTAAAAGCAACCATGATTTCAAGCCGTCAAATATTTGCAATGAAAAAAAAAATTATGATGATCTCACACAAATTATCCAAGAAAATATTCTAATTGGTAAAACCTATTTTATCCCTTTATCCCCTATTTTTAAGACACATTCTAATAAGAAAAGTGAGAAGTGGGTTGTCTATTTATGGTGACTGGAAGTTTCTAGATATTAAATTACAAAACACAACATTTAAATAAAGTTTGAAAAAGTTCAAATTTTTTAAAACATTTTAAAGGAGGCTCGGATTAGCAGAAAAAAGCTTAGTGATGGAGGCTTTAATAAACAAAAACTTGTATTACCAATGAACTTATTAAATGTTTTATGCTGGATGTAAACCCCACTATACATTTTTTTACTGTATTGATCATCAGTTGATTATTCCATGAAGTAAAAATTTTAGCAATTGTTCTAATGATACAAGTTATATATTAAATAAAAAGCTAAGAAACTTTATCTGATTATGTAATTTGCCAATAAAGATAAGAAGATGGTAAATAAAGTAATTTTAGTTTTAGTAGGCAGATATTTAAGCAGAAGAGATCAATTAGGTTTCAAAAGTTAATAAGCCCGACTCAAGACCTGCAAAACAAAAAAATTTAACTCACCTGCTACAGACATGAAGTAAACCCGTCCAAAATTGCATATAGCGCCAAGAACAAATATGCATAAAAGTACACCACATACTTTGTTTAATCTTTGTTGAGTATCTTCAGCGATTGTATATATGATGTCTAAGACTTTTCCTAAACTAAATGGCACGGCCATAGTCACTGAACTTGAAATAAACAGGAAACATATTGCACCTGTAGGAATAGAATTTTTTAAAGAAAAACAAAGCAAATAAGTTCTTACATGCCAGTCTCCATTTTTCTGGTTTTGCAAGACTAAACAGTCTCTTTAGTTCAGACTTATTTAAGGTAGGTTCCTTTTTGGTTACATTGTTTGACGTTTTCTTTCTTCGAAAAATTGCGAATATATTTTTTCTTTGATTCAAATTTTCAGCTGCACCTGGTCCATTAATATTAACAGCCACGTAGGTTTTGTTCCGATCGACTTTATGAGACATTTTTTGAAAACTTTTGACAACGTAGTCTCTTCTAGGTAACAAGTGTTCGTGAAAGCGTAAAACATGTTTGAGTAGTATAGAGACGTTATTTTTATATAAGCCTCCAGAATAAACAATCATTGTTAATATGAACTGATCCTTGATAAAAAACAATTTAATATGTCTCACGGGGTATTAAAATTGCTAATAAATTACTGTTTATCAGTTTGATAAGCTTGATATTTCAAACAATCGTCTTTCGCTTTAGGTTACTTTCTACTTCTACTTCGTTTTTAGTTATCACAATTTGTTACATGATGATAAATTCAAGCTCTTTCACCTGTGCTTAGATTCAATCTTTGTTTTTTACTGTCTAAGATATTAGTGGTTAATTCCCATAGTTATTTTATTTTATAACATATAGCTATTAGATAATATAGCGGCCCTACTACGGTAAAAATTGAATCGACGCAGGCTGCATTGACATTTTCGTAAAGAAGGTAAGTTTTGCTTAGTTTAACACAACTGATGTTGGTTGTTGAATGGTCATTGGTGGAAAAAATAGATTTCAAACCTCGCATATGCGCATGTTAAGTCAGACATAAATGTAAGAGAATGGCAAAGAAATTAGTTTTAGAAAATACATAAATTAATATATTTAGTATATATCGGGTTTAATTCAGCAAACAAACATCCTCATTTCTCTTGTTTCTATTCTTATAGGGTTGGTAAAAACATTTTTGCATAAAGTTTAGCCATTTAACACTAACAAACGCTAAAAAGTATCAGTTATTGTATCAAAATTTAAAAAACAACCTTTAAAAACAAAATTGTACCAAAATACTTAAGCCCCTTTTGCATCGTGTCTACCAGGCTTTAGCGATGCAGAGGCCTTGCCGATAATGCAAAAACTTATGAAGCAACTATTAAAAAAAATCTCCATGCGCATGCGAGGGATTTAGAAACTCATTTTTAACCAATGATCTGGCCGTCTTCAATAACCAACACGGCCGCTGACAGATGGTCAACTTTTACCGTAGTAAGGTCAGTATATTATCTAATAGCTATATGCAAAAGAGTCAGCTTATTATTGATGATAGAAACATTTACTTATTTGGGTTTTGAATTTTTTGGTTATGCAGGAAAACATTATTGTGCGGGAACGGTGATGTTTAAGCTGATCTTATATAAATTTAAACAACACAGGCATCTATTTCGAGAAATATCTTGTGATAATTTATACATCAACCTTAACGACCTATATAAAAATTATAAATTATTTATAAAGGACTTTTACAAAAATTAACTATAAATTTGCTTATCCACGTACATACAGCAATTCAAATGCAATGCAATCCAATCATTTGACTGTTTTGTATTTTTTCAAAAAATTATATTAAGCTTACCCCAAACAAAAATAATAGTTACGCTGTTCCCAATTCGCAGCTATAGTTATTAAAATTGGGCACGTTTACACATTTTTTAATAAAATTTAATACTTATATGTATATAAGCATATCTATCACTTGTCAACAAACGCTTCCCCAATTAAACCATTATACGCGTAGACTGATGGGTATAATATTAATCGTAAAACAAACATAATTTATTCGGATCTTTGGTGTTGTAATCGCACGTACGTTTCGTTAATCTCTTTGTGTTATCGAAACCCATACCGCGTTATCGTATTTTGGCTTTCAACGTGCTAATAAGCTGTCTAGCATTCAATGGAATCATATATTTGATATTTTACTTTTCCGTATTCTCCATAAACAATCGTGTTTGCGTGAGTATTTATTACCATTACTATATTATACCCCCATCCACCTTCCACTTTCCAAAATGTGTACTTTTACATAGACTTTTAGTGAAATCACGATGGGCCATAAGCAGTCTTCAACATTTCATCGACGTCTAAAAACCGGTTCTGTCTTAAAGAATAGCGAATTTACAGAAGTGGTCGATTTCGAATTCAGTGACGCAACCGCGTTACCGTTTGATAACAAATACGAAGCTGAGACTTCCCATAATGATCGGCTTAGTCGTAATGTGACAGAAAACAAATCCGACGACGTATTTAATAATTATCCACAGGAATTGCTAGTAATTGTGGGAAATCTAGAAACTATAGAGAAAAGTATTCATAACATGAGTAGTTCTGAAATATATCTATATTTCGCGACATTGAAAGACGACTTGCACAACCTGTGGCAAAAAGTATATGGCATTAAAGAGACGAACTTACAGACAAAAAGCCAAAAACACCAGGTCATCGATAGGATTAAGATGTCGTTGAAAACATTGAACGGGCGATTCTTAAGCAGAGGATCTTGATAATGTATTATAAAATGCGCTTTTATTTAGTTCTAAGTTAGTTATAACGATAAAATGATTCAATTAATGAATTTTTAAAGTTAAAATACGTGATAGTGGTTTTTGTAGTTTAGGAATATACAAAGAGTACAAGTTTGTTATGTAGCTTCTTCTCAAATTTATTTACTCGATTTTATTCTAGTGAGGCTTTTTATTTTTTGATGCATATTTCTTATTAATTGATTACACTTATATTTTTTATATTACCAAATTGTTACCTAGACTGTGCATGTGACATATTTGCCATTGTTACTACGCCAAAGAATATACCAATTCAATGACATTTCTTTTTTGTTCGACATTGTAATCCACAAATACTTTGGTCCCATCTTCCTACAGTTAGGTTTAGTTTTTCGAGTGGCGTTTTCTGATTTCATATATACGTTTGATGTGGTTATGAAAGTTTGGAAAAACTAGTTATTTGAAGCTGGGTGCATTCAGTTTTATTTGGAACGTTTCGAATTAATTTTAAATCTCAAAACATGAGTGATTCAAATGAGGGCAGCTCAACCTCTTCTGGGAATACAGCTTCCCAATCACCCAGAGGGTTAAACTTCGATGCCCTAAAGGCTCACGTGATTGCACATAAAATTGACTGTGCTTTATGGGCAATACGGATGGTTGTAATTGTATTTTCAATTGGGTATTTTATCCCTATATTTGGGTGAGTAATGTAAACTGGAACAATGTACACATTGTAATTGCATTTTAATTTAACTCATTAAGTAATTGATCACGATTCAAAGGTCACTTTTGAGGAATCAAAGTTCAAATAAAAAGATTTCTATTAACTTATATTTCTCTATTTACAAAACCTCAAAAAAATCTGTGTATCCAACTAATATTTTTAAATATTTAGGAGTGCCCAAAATGCCTACTACAAAGTGCTTATAGCCAATGCTGCAATAAGCGCTCTTAGGTTACACCAAAGGCTGGGGAGGGTCCAGTTCTCAAGACAGTTTCTTTCCGAATTAGTGCTAGAAGACAGCTGTCACTACTTGTTCTACTCGTTGATATTCATCTATGTGGCACCTGTAAACTGTATCCTTTAAAAATGCAACATTTTTGTTCCTTCAAAGATTTAGTGTCACCGTAAATCCACAAACTTGGAAATGTATTTTCTCTTGCACAGTATGCTAGGTATTTTCTTCAACCAACGTGATACACTATTTTAGTGTTTTATGTTATCAATATCAAGCCTTAACCCAAATTTTAGTGGTGATTTTGCCTGTGTTATTATTTGCAATTTTACATGCTGCTAGTTATTCCTTGACCTTACTAGATGTAAGTATCTAACTCTATATTAGATTGTAATGCAATTAATGTTATTGTTTTTAGACATTGGGCCAAAACTCTTGGTGGGGATGCCGGTTGCTGATATCTCTTGTGGAATTCCAGTCCTTGAATATACTTCGTTTGGTAGCTTTGAGTGAGATTTTACTAATGCCATATACAGTTTTACTAATCTTAATGTAAGTTTTTGAATTTCAATAGGATTCTCTATATTTGCAAGAGTGCTTTTTATTTTAGGGGTAGAGCTGGCTTGCTTACACCATTTATCTATTACAACTTCTTAACTCAAAGATATGCTTCGAGAAGGAATCCATACACAAGAAACATGTTCCATGAGCTGCGGCTATTATTTGAAAAAACTGCTTACAAACCAAACACACCACAATTTGTAAAAACAATTCTCCTTACTATAATAAATTTCACAGTAAAATTAGCACCTCCGCAAATTCAGGTACAGTCACCTACAGCACAACAATAATTTTGAATTAGCTATAGGTAATACCAGGTGTTGCAAGAACAAATCAAAAACAGCATTAGCGAAAATTTTCTTTTTATTATATGTTTGCAATTTAACTTCAACTCTGTGGTATGCCAGCAGATCAAAATCTTATAAATTGTGAGTAGTTTGACGTTTTTGTTTAAATGCATTCCTAGTAGGGAAATTATGTTCAAGAAATGTAGTTAAGTTACTTGTAACTTATCACCTCTTTTGTACACTCAACATTTCCATTTTGTCAAGATTGCATGTTATGCAATAAAATCACTAAATGGACTTTGGAACACTAACAAATTATGGTGTTGGTTATTTTATTGTGAGAGATACAAGTTCTACTTATATGTATATTACAGATTTATAAGATATAGGTTGTATTATTTTAATCAATATTATTTTTATAAAAAAACTTTGTGCCTTAGTAAGCTGTAGCGACGAGAAATTGATTTAAAACAAACAACTGAGTTTCAAAAAGTGGTCATAGTGTTTCTCCAAATAAGTCGAAAAATAATCCCGATAAGGTAATTGTTGGTGTACCGCCAAATTTACTGTATTTACAAATACAAACAGTAATGTAGCTCGAATGAGCCAAAACATAGAAGTCAAGTCAGCCAAATATACACTATTTATTGCTAATTTTTAAGCGCAACAAGAAACGGTACCTACTATCTAGTTCAGTACATAAAGAGATGTCATAAATAGGACAGTAAATAAATAACTTTCGGTTTGTGACTTAACTACCAAAAATTGGAAAAATTTGGAATTTCTGATACTGAATTTGTTTTATTATATATATTATGTATAGTTACCTGCCACAGGCAAGGAAGCGAGTGACATAGATACTAAAGAATCTTCTTAATGCTTCTGCAGAAGTGTACTTACAAATATTTTTAAGTTTGTGAGCATTGCACGAAAAGAAAGTAAAGATTTGAATGTGGGAAAGTATTAATTAGTATCTAGTAAGAGTCACAATTAATATTACATAAGTGAAAATAGCAGCAGAGCTGTCAAGCAAGGCAAAATTAACGTGCTTTGATTCTGAGTTGTTAATGTGTTGGTAAAACTTTCTGGGTGCCTGTTTTGTAAGGTTGAAAATTAACGCATTAATGTTCTTTTATAATTAGGAACATATTAAATTTTATTTTTCAGCATTTTTGTTTCACGTTCAGCGCGAAAACATTCAGTTGCCTAATATTACATGGCCTTAAATGATTGGACCTGTGGACAGTGAAGTTTTTATTTGGAAAAATTAGACATATATATATATATATACAGAAATCGTATAAGAGCCGTTATAAGTTCTAATTCGATATATTACATCCACTTATATCACATTCAACAACTATTCAGTGAAATGACGACTCTTACACAGTTATGGAATCTCGTGCCTTCTCCTCACAGATTCCGCTAAAGCTACCTCCTCTTGTTCTCCGAACTTCTTCTGGTATTTATTGTTAAGGAAATTAAAAAATCATATTGATTTAATATCTCAAAGGGATAAAATTGTATAAAAAGGATATTGTTTTTCTCTTGGTTCGCTCCTTTCGTGGGATCTCTCTCTACCTGAATATGGAGATATTTCCTAAAATACAACGGTAATTTTTGGTTTAACTGACCGAAGCAACCTGTTCGCGTCACAAATTACCCGCGACTCCCTCAGTTCCCTGGCTTCACGTCTGTGGTGTTTTTCTCGAGGTACCTGAGGCTCTAGCATGTCTCCATTCTGGTGTGACAGTAACTTAGCGACTACAAGAAAAACATACCGTTTGGTTCACACTCATTCATAGCCGACGGGCTTTTTTACCTTTTTCCTCTTCCCTTCTTCTTTTCAGGTCTTGCTGAAGGCTCTCCTCAAGTCGATCCTACAAAATTCCAGCACATACTGACCAATTACTTTTTAAGGTCATTTTTATATGGCCGTTACCTTTGTCTTAACCAAACCTACCCTCTTTCTTCCTAGTTTTCTTTCCCGTTTCAGCTCTTTCTCTTCTTCCGTCAGTTTTTCCCTTTTCTCTTTTGCTTTGGCCGACCGTTCTTTCTTATCTGGTTTTTCAACAAAGTACTCAATCTGCGTTTTTCTTTCTTCATGTTTGGGATTCTGCGGCAGACAACCATATGGGGGGCGCATTAAGGTATATACCACACATCACATCGGAACTAATCAACTGTTGATGATCAAAACACACCTGACATGCTAAAGTTGATACATCGAAATATTTCCCTTATGAATGGTTATCGAAGATTTGCCAAATAAAACAAAAATGATCTTTTCCAACATAAAATTAATAAAAACATGTTAAATTTCCATTTTCTAATCCATCGCTGTACAATAAAATTTCACGATGGGCGACGTCAACGATTAAGTTTTCCATAACCACGCTTTACGCTTAAATAAATACTTACCTGACGCGTCCCTCTCCCAATAATCAAACGATACAAAGCGGAAGATTGGGCTGATAAAACGGATAGATTTTCGTAGGAAACGATTTGGAGTCTGCGAGTCCCTCTCCAAAGAAACGCGACGAATTGAAACGGCAAAAAAATGCAGGAGACACCCTTCTTTCGCGATGTTCCTCACAGCAGCGGGATTTTCTTTGAATACGCCATTATCTTAAATTTCTTGGCAAAATCACTGCGTGGGCTGAACCGATTTCAAATTTCAAAATCCACTTCGAAACAGCTCAACAGGGGGAAACTTCTATGGTCCATATGGAATCCCAAAATCTCTTCAGACATTGCTATTTCCATAAGGAAAATGTATATTTCCATTTATTCATTCGCTTTTTGATAAACTGACAAATAACTTGGTGCCTTTTATCTTGCTCCGCAGTTTGAATCGTAACATCATTTTCGCAAGATCATGGGAGACAATGTACATTTCAGGTAAATATGTTAATAGCTAGGATCAGATTCAAAAACTATAGAATCCAAATTTAAAATTGATGCAGGAACTTCCTTCGTACCAATATTAGTATACGCTAATCATAGCAATAGTGGAACTTGCTCAAATCAAGGCACAAGAAGACTGATCTGTAAATTGAGCATTTTTTTGCACAGTGTCAACAGTTTAGCCCGAAATTCTCTGGATGAATTTTATATACTAAATGGAAAATCCATTGACCATTGGTTTTAATATGTCAACTGGGCGTTTCATTCAAATCTTCTTATTACATGCACAGCTCAGAAGCAGTAACTATCGATCCTCCAATGGAATATTTTCAAAGAAGAAATGACTCCTCCATCCGGAAAAAAAAGAGACCGGAAACCTCGAAAGTTCATAATCTTCCTCTGAAGTCCACTTTGTAATACACTTCACAGAATCACCTCTTTTTATTTACAACTCAGCCCAATCTCCCTTGTAGGTGCTAACTATCAGCCATGCTTGGAAGAAAGGAACCCTGAAACTTGCACTGATGCTATCTCACTCCGATACTAACCTTCGATGCAGAGACGTCCACTTTTCTTCTTTTCACATCTGCAAGAGTAAAAAATTTCAATTTGAACACAAGCAAAAATTCAGTTTTATCAGCATAAACCGCTTTTTAGCCAAAATTTTTATTTCATCGCGTTTTTTTGCAAACAATTATTACTTACCTCTATCTGGCTCGGGTTCCGGATTGTGCTTGCCCAAGTTACTACCACCAGGTTCTCTTTCATCCCTTGCCTCTCTGTAATAATGACCAGGCCGTTCTTCATAAAATCTATCGACTTGCCGACCATCGACAGCGTAATCGTCTTTGGGACTAACCATTTCGATATAGCGCTCTTCCTAAAAAAAAAAATTCAAAAAATCGACACACCAAAGATATCAGAACTTACGTTCACTTTATATTCTTGCTTTCTCTCTTGCCGCTCTTCCTTACTAACGTTCAACTTTTCTTCTTTCCTCTCTCGCCTCTTTTCTCTCTCACGCTCTTTCTCATATTCGTCTATGCGTTTCTCCTCCTTTCTGGTGTATCTTTCTTTCGACTCTTCCCTGACGCTCTTTTCGTCGCGCTTCTCTTTATTATTAGACGTCCCACCACTGAAATATTTTCAAAAATATTTGATATCAGTTTTTGTAATTTATTTTTTCTTACCCCGGCGCGACATCAACAATTGAAATATTATTTTTTATAATTAGTTTAGGCTCTTCGGAAACCGTCCGAATAAGTTTCTTTTCGGATTTTTCCTTAGGCGTCGTTTCTATAAACGGAAGGGATTATGCTTTATGATCACGAGGAAATTGAGTTCTAAATTTACCTTTTGCCTCACCATTAATCTTATTCGCAGAATTATCCTTACTATTTACATTGGCCTGGTCCTGGTTGCCTTTGTTGACCTGAAAATGTGAAATTTTTTGAATTTTGCACAATAGTGTGAAAGGTTCGTAAAAAAAGTACGAAAACCCCCAAAATATCCCAATAAAGAACAAATGCGTCTAACCAAAATGTAAATTGATGATTTTTGCATTTTTAAGACCTCATCAAGTTTTTGGTAATTATTTTTCCATACATTGCATGTTGAGCTGCAATATTTAAAGGAATGTTTTCCAAATTATTTTATATATAAGCAAGCTCTAATATTCATGCAGCCAACACGAACTCACATTCTAAACCCAAATGAAAACAACAATCGACATTTAAAACTCAATTAAATTAATAAGGAATACATGGACTGGGACTACCCCCTCACAGTGTAAAACCTAAAAAAATTATTTATAATTTTTAGGGAGCATATTTCAGCTTTTATTAATGTTGGAGTTTCTAAATTCCAAATTCTAGTTAGCGGATTTCCAGCCTGCGACAATGAAGTTTTTGTTTCAAAATATATTTTTTTTAATTTTGACAATTAACGCCTTCTTTTGATGTAAAATGTTGGCGGTTCATTTCTGTACGTCGGCAATTAAGAATGAAATTGGCTTACCTTCTCTTTCTCAACGGGTATATGAAACTCGCCCTCCTTCATCATATGACCGCTGGTCATTCTCTGCTTAAGCTGACCCAAGTAGCTGCTCGACAGGGTAAACAAATCCTGTCGGTTGTTCTTTTCCTCGTCCCGGACTTTTTCTATCCTCTTCTCGATAAACTGGGCCAGTTTTACGAGAATCGGGAAAAACGGAATGATTTTGATCAAAATAATCAGCGAGTTCCGTATTTGCACGTAATCTTTGGATTCGAGACAGGTTACCACCGCTTTAGCGAGTTTGTAATGCCACTTGTGGCACACGTGTCTGTAATTCTCGTAACCAACGTTGTCCAGGTTGTCGGCCGTATGATTGCTAACCCGGTATTTGGTCATGAAACCGGGAAAATTCGAACATTCCTTTTCGAACACCTCTTTGGATTTGTGCCACCCCATCACCGTCTCCAGCATTGCGTAAAGAAATCTACCGTAGCGCATTGCTTCGTTTTCTGTGCACGATATTATTGAATACGTTACATCACAAAAAATCTAAAAAGGAAACATCTCTTGGGAATTTGGGATATTTTGAATAGGTATTTTAAAAGGTCAAAACAAATTACATCTTTTTTTGCTTTTGGTTCCAAAGTAATTTGACAACATGGTTTTTTGTAAAATTTAATGCAAAATCAAAAAATTATAAAATCGATTAATTGCAACATTCCGAAAATATGTAAAATGAGATTTTTTTATTAAAATGGTTTTATTAATTGCCTAACCTTAGCAGTTCTAATTTTTTTTAAATTTCTACTATTCGTTTAATACTCTTTCTTGGAGGTTTTGTCTATTTCAATATTTTTAAGCAAATTTCAACATGTTTTTAATAACATTTGGTTAGTTTTGATTTAATAACTTCGTTACAGGGCATGATTTATAAGAGTAATAAAAAATTGTAACAGACAGAAAATATTCTGTATTTATTAATTTTTAAAATATCAACCTCTAAAATATAGAACAAATGCTTTCAGTTGAAGAAATCGATGAATAAATTCAAGGGGTCTTTTATTAAAAATAAGAAAGTTATGCCAAGAAGCAATCCTAGATTAAACACGTGAAAATAAATAATATTAGAAGAATTATTTCTGTTCGGCTAAAGCAGTTTTTGAAACATTGACATGAAAACTTGGTTTGGGAGCTTTCGAGATGGCGAATATGATTACATTTATTCACATAATATGTATAGGGCGCTATGGTATAGCTATTTCATGCCATAACATTCTTGTTAGTACGATTCCATAACTTTTTTTAAGGTTATGACAGAGTGATGGCTTTTATGTAGTGTTCGGACTGGTCAACTGACCACTTCTCATTGAACGCCCAGTTAACCGCTTCTTAATTGACTAGTCAAACATTGTTTTAAATAACACCTTGCAGTTGTGGAGTGTTACCTATCATTATTTAATAATAATATGTATATTATAAGAAATTTATAACAATTTTATAAAAAAATGAACTGAGGAGGCTTTTACTTGATGAAAATCCATTTATCAAAATAACTAAGAACTAAAAGTTCAGATTTTCACGAAATTATATATTTTGACATGACAATTGTTTCGACAACACCGTGTCTTTATCAAATGACATGACATGACATGACAATGACATTTGATAAAGACACGGTGTTTGTCGAAACAATTGTCATGTCAAAATATATAATTTCGTGAAAATGTGAAAATTTAATTCTTATTTATTTTGATAATTTTATAACCCTACTCAATGAATATCCGAATACGATACTTAGCGATTTGGGAATCCCAATATTATCGACTCCATTGGGTTCCCAGAACGACGCGACGGCGGCGTAACCCACAATATAAGTAAATAAATATAAATTTCATGGTATTTTAAAAATTATTTTACAACCTTACAACCTCTCCTTTTATGTAGAAAATGTATATAGCAATATAATGCTTTGAAAGTATGAGTATTCAAAAAACTTTTGCTTTTGCCTCGCCTAGTACTCTAAGAACAGACAAATCAAAGTTTACAGATTAATTCTGTCTGTCCTTGGTACGATAAAGAAAGCGCCACGCTCTGAAATTTTAAAGAGGACCGTACTACAAACTAACCAGAGCAATATTTCACAGATAAAATAATGTCAAATTTTTAAATATTTTTCGCGCAAAACTAACTTTTGCACAGGATGCAAGTCTCAGTGGCGTCCCTGCATATTTTTTACTTACCCTGTCGTAACATAACAATGTGGAAAAATTAGGAGTCTTCAATATGTGTATGGTGTGAACGAATTTCGCGCAGTATACTGCGTCGATTTGCGTGAACGTGCAACGCGGAAACAGACACAATTGCAAAAACCTCGTGATCGATTCGGTCTTGGCGGTCTTCGCTGACCGTGACAGGAACCAATTGTCCTTCTCCTGTTTCAATCGATACAGCACTTTCTCGACGTGTTCCGTTTGCTTTTTCTTCTCGTCTTGTAACTTCTCGATCAGCGACATGAACCGTTCCTGCTCTTTCTTGCTCTTGTTACTCGTGCTCGATTCCATCGCCGAGAGCGATTGGGCTTTCGCCTTGTTTATAACCTGTTGGTAAGTGTCTTCGGGCACGAAAAGGTCGTACATAGTTAGCGACCAAAAGGTGGCTAAAAACTGGGATGTGATGTCCTCCCATATTTTCGGTGAGTGCAACGGTAAAAGCGACCCATGAACGGGCTGCATGATCTCCTGCACGGCCTCGTAATATTTCTGATTTTTCAGCGAACTGGACATTTTTTTGTAGTTCGGATCGGATTTACGAATTTGATCGTATTTTTGCTGCAAAGAAATTTATCTATTTTTAAAACTAATTCAATAAAAAAAAAACAGCATGTTTAATTGTTATTACCAAATTTTTTTTTTAAAGGCCTATTTAAAAAAAAAAACGTGTTTTGTTTTTAATTCTTGTAATTGTTTAATCAAGTTGGATAAAATCATATTTTTGTGTTGACAACACATTTTTTCCACTTCCTAAAAATGCTTTTAAGTGTATTTTTTTATTTTTATTTAGCAGTTTTTCAATTACGACAGAAACCAAAAAAAAAATCACATAACCTAAAAATTGTTTTTCGAAATCGGTGAAATGTGGAAGATCATTTCGTAATCTGTGAAAATCTTTAGAGAACCAGTGAAATCGTGGCGAACAATCGAAATTCTAAACTAAATGTGTCAAACGTGTACATCTCTATGAAATAAAAAAAAAAAAACGTTTGTTCTTCCTTACATTCAAAACAACACTGACCACATATCAAAAGATCTAACGTAACATAACGTCAAAACCAGATTTACCACTTGTCCAAAATTCTCTCAACAGCTTCGATCTGTCAAAGATATCAGCTAGGTTCAAAGAACATGAAAGGGCCTTAAGATTAAGAAAAGTAAACTTATTAGCAGTTGACAAACACAATCATGAAACAGGATATAAAATTTTATTCGATAAAACTAAAATTCCTGCAAGTAATCAATTCCTACCAGCGAAAAATCCGAGTCTATAGAAATCTATAAGCAACCTAACAATCTTAACCGCGACTTTACATGTCACCAATATGGGAATCAGTCATCGGAGACGATGTTTATGCCCTTCATTTAGCTCTGCTTCCCTCCCAACAATATATAAGCAGGTACAGAGTAAAATGCGAACCAGTTTCAGTGAAGCTCTGAAGAAGACAACCGGATGATTGGCGAAACGTTAGCAAGTTTCACTCAACAAAAAGTAGCTGTTAACAATGGTTATGACCCCTTTTTGCTAGATAAGATTAAAACAAAAATGCAGTTTCAAATAATTTTGAACTCTATCTATCCCATATTAAACACAGAACCCAAAACCCAGAATAGTGAAGAAACGCATTAACGAATGAAGGCGAATAAAAATAAAAGTTCGGATTCTAACGTCTAACGCCATTCATTTAAATCCAGAAATGGATAAGTTTTGATAAGTTTCATATTTGACATAATTAATCAAATAGCAAAAAAACTAAATGTGTTGGAAGCCATGGAAATTATTAAGAACATGAAATATTCCAATCTATTACTTAATGACCAATTGGATCTAAAAACAGCTGTCATAAATACTTTTTTACAAAACTTCTGGATTCCTACTGCGTCGGTATTTGCTGAGTCGAACTTGCTGACGTTTCGCCAATCATCCTGTTGATTTCTTCAGAGCCTCCTTACCAAAGTTCCTATTCCTGAAACTCCCGACATCATTTCAGATATTTTAAAGTCCGAGAATCTGGAATCAAACCTTCTTTGAAAGCTTAATTGAAAAATGCTTGTCGGGAACATATTTTTCTTATAACGGTCAAATTTGTGAACAAACGGCGGGAACAGCTATGGGTTCTCCACTATCACCAGTTATCGCCAATATATTTATGGAAGCCTTTGAGAAAAAAGCTCTCGACACCTTTCATCTAAAACCAAAATTATGGAAACGCTACGTCGATGATACTTTTGTTATTTGGCCTCATGGTCAAGAAACCCTAGTAGATTTTCTTAGATATTTAAACTCTATACACCCTAACATACGTTTTACCGTTGAGTTGGAAACTAATAATAACCTTCAATTCTTAGATATTCTTATCAATAGAAAATCAAACCTAACATGTGTTTGCAGGAAACCTACGCACACAGACCGATACTTTAATGCATGGTGACATCACCATCCGGCCCAAAAATCATCGGTTATCAAATCTTTGTTTACAGAGCCGTAAAACTATCTCAACCCCAGTCACTGAACCCAGAATTAAAACACCTTACTTCTGTTCTTCTCTCCAATAATTTCCACATTAAAGATATTAAGCGTTCCATCAAAAAATACACTTCATCACAACCTTCCAATAACAATGAGCCCGAAAGCAATCCTACATTTTCCACTGTGGTCCTTCCTTACATTCAAAACATCACTGACCACATATCAAAAGCTCTAAAGAAGTATAACGTCAAAACCAGATTTACCACTTGTCCAAAAATTTCTCAACATCTTCGGTCCGTCAAAGACAAAATCCCATTTGAGATGCCAGGAGCTTACAGCATTCCATGCATATGCGGCAAAGAATACATTGGAGAGACCGGACAAAAAATATCAACTAGACTCAAAGAACACGAAAGGGCCTTACGATTAAGATAAATAAACTCATCAGCTGTTGCCGAACACACTTATGAAGCCGGATATAAAATTTTATTCGATAAAACTAAAATTCTTGCATGCAATCAGTTCTTCTACCAACGAAAAATCCGAGAGTCTATAGAAACCTATAAACAACCTAAAAATCTTAACCGCGACTCACGTCTCTACCTGTCACCGAGACAGTGTTTATCCTCCTCATTTAGCTCCGCCCCCCTCAAACAATATATAAGTAGGTACGTAAAATACGAGCCAGTTTCAGTCAAGCTCTGAAGAAGTCAACAGGATGATTGGCGAAACGTCAGCAAGTTCGTCTCAGCAAAAACCGACGCAGGAGAAATCCAGAAATTTTGTAAAAAGTATTACAGTAGCCTGCGGGAGGTTCTTTGAAAAATTAGCATTTTATATATGATATTAACCAATATTTTTTTAAAGGTTTTTTTTTTAATTGTCCCAACGTCACACATATAATAAAATAAAATAAATATACTAAAAAATATGTCTGTAAATTATTAAAAATTAATGAAAATAAAAAATAAACAAATTTAACCCAAAATCGAATTCGCATATTTTTAAAAGTTAGTAATATATTTTTAGAGAACTTGATTAAACAAATCCAAGAATAAAAAAAAAGAAATTAATTAATAGTCAATCAAAACCAATGTTTCGACTGATAACTGAGCCTTTGAAGAATTTAAAAAATTACAAAATAAATAAAACTAACTAAACAAACAAATACTATGGATAGACATTATGTTTAATAAGTTAAATATTGTTTGAATTGTGAATTAGATTAGATTAACAGTGGACCAAATTTGTCACTTTTAAAGAGAAACTTCCCTTTCTAAAAGAGATAGACGAAAATTAATGTCGGTGTCCGGAGCTCGATTTTATAGAAAACATAATGATAGAACATATGTTTGTTTTCGTTTCAGATTTATAGTGCATTTTTCGAAAAAGTACATTTTCAAAAAATCGCTGTAGCTATTTTTGTTATGAAATTTTTTTTTATTTCGATTTGCAGGGTAAATTTTCAGGCAGAATTTAATAGCCTTGAATATAATATTTTAAAAAATAGTATTTTATTCGTTTTGGCTTTTGGGTTATTGAAAGGAACTCTACATCTACAAAAGTAGAGTATATTTTACACAGGAAAAAAAAATTTGATACAAAGGGAAAACTGTGGTAACCAGCAGCGCAATTTGATTGACAAATACCTCTAAAAAAAAGTACATCAATCAACCCCGAAATATACAAATGCGGTGGCAACACATACAAATGTTTCGCTTACGTTTATTGCATGGTTGAACATTGGACGTGCGAGGAAGAATGCCACCTCCGTAGGTATGTGGTAATCAATCAGCATACTTTGAATCGAAGGCAGTTTATTGACGTACTCGTCAACCGACATAGTCGAACCGAGGAACGTCCCGAATTGCACCAAAGTATCCTGACACTGATCCGATAGCTTGCCGACAAGTTTGAGGTGACTTTTTTGAGTTTCCTTATATATCACGCAAAAATTTTGCTGCGCCATCAACAAACACAGGGCGACCGCCAAATCATTCTCCGCCATCGCTTCTTTCAGTCGCAGAGAAGATTTTTTTGTGTTGCGCACCTGACTAAAGTAACCCGCCTGTAAATAAACAATGGTATAACAAAAAAAAGCGGACGAGTTTCGTGAACATGAGCAGATATCTCGATACTAACTTTGATCTTTCCATAAAGTTAGCAGAAAAACAAAAACGGAGATTAGAAATAAATATCCATTGGTGGGCATTTTTATTACCTCTCCTTTTAGAAGTTCACCGCCCGACATTGCGTTCAACTGATCCATGGTTAAATCTTCAACAGGATCGACGCCAGCCATTTTCTGCACAACTTCTTTTAGAATTAAAAGATCGAGGCTAAAAAGAGTTCCAGTATAAAAAACGCCAATATAGCATTTAAGTGCAATGTGTGGTTTGTGAAAGCGACTAAATGAAAGATAAGTCAAAGAAAAAAATCAACAAGCTTTATAGTGCCCATTAGATTCCAAACTAGCCAAGAATATGCCACAACCGTCATTAATCGCTAACCATCTGTCTCACTTTAACCGACGTTGCTGTAAGAGCGATTATTGAGGACCGATATAGCATCTTCCTAGCTGTGGTTTGCGCTCTACTAATAAAATTGCGACGACTTCTTTGAATAATTACGTTGAACTAGTTTAAGTTTATATTGATATAATAATAATGTTCATAATAAACCCCAAATAAATTTCGATTCGTCGGGCTTTTTTGGTATTAGTTATGGTAACTGTTCTCTCTTTGTCATGTCATAATTAATAATCATCAATGAATACCTTGCTAACTATTGACAGGTTTTCAACGTTCGACGCTTCAAAACAGATTATGATTGAAAAAAAAAAAGGTCCGCATATTATATATTTTTTAAACAATTTAAATTGTGTTTCACAGTGCACTGGCCGGCTAAAATAACAGCTCCTGCCTGTCAAAATTGTCATTTAAAGTAATTTTGTGACGAACGAGCAGAATTGACTCAGTCCGGTACTGGCGAGCCAGCCACCGCCCCAACCTGTGTTCCCAAAAGTCGAATATATATAGTGGACAGACCCATATTGGGAAGACGGCTCGACTATTCCACGCTTATCGCGAGCAGGCATTTTATAAAACCGATCGTTTGCATTTGAGAAGTGAAGTCTGAAATCCTCGGATATACATAAATATGTTATATAAATTATTCGTCGTGTATAATGTGGGCACAGTAGTATGTAAATAGTTGGTGACTTTGTTATTTTGGACGCAAGATATTTTAATTTCCCTAAACTTTTACGCGAAGCGAGTTTGCCGAACCCATATAGTGGCTCTAATATGGTAAAAATCGGTGGGCCGCAATGACTTTGTGCCATTTTCTTTCTAAACAGCGATTTTCTACACATTGAACTCGTTTTTACAAAATATTTAACGAGATCTGGACATACTTTGAGAAAATATTGTCGTAAAAAAACTTTTTGACGATGTAACTGCGGCCACGCTGGATGTTGAATGCCTCAAGGTCATTGGTTGCAAATGAGATTTTAAATCTGGTGCATGCGCAAAAAATTATTCATAGTTGCTTCATAAGTTCCTATATTATCGGAATGGACAGGGTCTCTATCTCTATTAGCTATAGGGTCAAAACATATTAAAAACATAATTAGAAAAGTAAATATGATAAACTCAATTTTTAATGTAATTGTAAAGTCAAGACAAATGCAAATCCTAAGAATTTTGTGAAAAATGGTTACACATTTTCAAAAAAAGATAATTTTGACGAGTAACTAATATTTTAGTGAATAACTCTTGTCTAATAGCAATTACAGTTTAGTAACCCTCAGGGAGTACAGTTTGTTTAACTTTAGATTTTATTTTTTAAAAATAATGTTTCCAATTATAAGTCCATATTTTTCTAAAAACTTAAAATAAAAAAAATTAGGGGCATATTTCTATTAAAAGCTTTAGATATGTTTATGCAATATTACACCTATTACAGCTGTTAGTAACTGCCCTAATCACCTACCTTTTTTGGGCTTTCAATTGATTAGCGACGTACTGGAGTAAGCCAGTCAGTTCGATCGAGTGCTTCTTAAACACCGCACCACAAAAGCTGGATAAGCTCTGCAACCAAGTCGAAATGGACGTGCTGTCGTGCTTAACCCTTTTCTTGTCCGCGTTCGCTAGTGTTTCGACCAGGCAAAATCCCAATACGTCGTAGGATAAATTGGTGAGGTATTTTAGCGAATCCACTACCGGCGCGATCAAGTTATTGTAAACTTGGATTTGCAGGAGGACGTAGTCGAAAAGGAAACCGGGAGAACAATGGGTGAGCTTTCCTATGAGCCTGCCCACTGGCTTGATGTTTTCTTTACTGACCCGTTTCATTATATTTTTGATTTGCTTCTCCGAGTCACCGCGTTTTTTCATCAACTCTGGATACACAGAGTAGGTCTCGTTTTTCCATCTGCCGTAAAGGCAGTACCTAATCTGGTAAGGGTACAGCTGGACCAACGTCCAGATCTCTTCTGCCAGGCAACAGTTGCAATCCAAATAAGAAAGCGACGGCAATATGGTGTGATCGAGAATCGATATAATATCGTAATATAAGGAATTTTTTGCCGTCGCCGTGGCTTTGGAATTATTAATCCCGCAATCTGCAAGCGCCGACTTGGCTAATCGCACGATCTTGCTAAGTAATACGGGATCGTAATGTAAAGATGAACCGAGCGTGACCAGCATTGGAATCGCTGTATCGCGGAGCTCTAAAAAGGTGGTGGCTTGTTTAGGCGCGCGGGGATTTTCGTGCTGTGGCACAGACTTCCGTTTGATCTTGGGACCAAGACTGCAATATCTTAAATAAAAATATATGCTTGAAAAAATCTGGGATTTTTGAACAGTGGCGTGCGTCGCACCAAAGGCGCCACACTCTTTGATTTTATAAAACAAAACAGGAAAAGTTAAATAATTGAAACAAACAGTTAATGGAGAAGAAAAAGGTAAAGAACAGACCAGTATACTTAGCATTCATGGACTTGAAAAAGACCTACGACACGGTGCCCACGACAGAACCATGGAAGGCCATGAAAAACTGTCAGTAGAATTGGAGTCTCTATAAGGAATGAATACCTTTACATGTTTCGCGTATGACCAGGTAGTGATAGCCCAAGATAAAGAAGACCTCAGTTACATGGTCAGGAAGTTAAAGGAAGAATATGAGAAGGTAGGATTGGAAATAAACTTAAAGACAGTGTACATGACAACGGGGAAGAGAATGCAGTCAATTTACCAATAGAGGACACCATTGAAAAAAAGGAACAAACAACTTCAGATACTTGGGATTTACACTGTTTAAAAATGCTACTACAAGAATGTCAAAAAAAAAAAAAACGAAAACGACAATATATGATACAATTATAAAGAGTATAATGACATGCAGCAGCGGTATGGGTAATGGATAAAATGAGTAGATTTGGCCTCCATCTTGCCGCTCTATAGATACCAATTTAGAAGTTTATGGCGTAAATAAAGCCATCTGTTCTCTGCCTTTGTTTCCCCAAATAAATATTTAAGACAATTGGGAAACAGGTTTCATAATTAGTAACACTTCGACCACAATTTAAGAAATAATTTCAAATTTTCTTATTTTTCTCATTCGCAATTTTAATCAACTATAACAAAATATGACAGTTTATTATACTTACTCATTGTAGACAGGTTCAATAATGGAATGTAATAAGTTGCAAAGAGCGATTGCAATTGGTTCATACCCAACAGCGAAATTGTTTGGCAATATCTTTATGAAAGTTTGAACGTTTTCCCAGTCACCTATGAGAAGCAAAGCCTCACAAAGGCCTAACTTCTGATTGTTTATATATCTATCGTCAATTACTTCTGGCTCTTCCTGGTTGTCTTCTTTTTCTTTATTATTTATTGATATAATCTGAAGTTTACGGACATACTCTCTTGCATCTCTCATGGCTTTTTCACAATCCCTCTGAATAAGTTTATCATCAGGACTTAACTGGAAATTAGTAGAAAATTGATTTTCATTTTTCACAATGATGACCCTGTAAATAACTTACTCGAGAATAAATATCGTTGATGTTTATAAGTGAATTTTGAATCAGATGAGCCATTAAAATATAAAATGACTTAGGAATATCATCTTCATTATTTTTTAAAAATGCAAGTTTTGTACATAACACTTCTGTAATGATGTTCGGATCATTCATATAGGATGAAATCAAGGGCACAAAGATTCTTGCATCTCTGGTTTTGTTCTCAAAACTCTCTAAAATTATATCCAAAACTCTGTTTGGGTCTAAGTTAAAACAACCTGCAATAAAACCTCAATTACTTTGCCTTTTTTTAAGAGTGGTTAAATTATTTACCAATAAGAGAATGAACAATATCTATTAATTCATTATGAGTGGTGGAATCACTGAATTCCTTATTTAGTTCAGTTTGCAATTTTGCAAAGCCTTCACACTCTTCCCTGAACAGGTTAAATTTTCTTTGTTTGTAGCTACAAATTTTATATAAATTACCTAGTACATAATATACAATTTCAAAAAATGTTTGCACAACAAATTTTGCAAAATCTACTTGAAGGGCATAACTACTTTTTTAAAATAGAATGTAATGCAAAATAAATTGCACTTTAGGATTCTGTGAAAAATTCTGAAGCATTTTATATAACATAGGTTGAGCTATTTAAGATAAAGGTTATTTTCTTCCAATTTTGTCAAAAAACATATATCATGAAAATAATTAAATATCTTACAAGCAGCTAAATAAAAAAATATATCAAAAAAATCATGATGACACCAGCAAATGCCATAAGAATACCCTTAGTGTCATTGCTAACGTATTGGTCATCTTTCCTGAACACCATTATATTTATAATTTATAATGTTAGAATTTTTGAAAAAAAAAATCAAATGTCAATGTGAAAAATCAAAAACATATTTGGTTGACAATATAAAAGCTATTTGCACAGTTTTGATTTCCAGTTCAAGTTTTTTGGTTCAGTAAAAAAAAACCATATCTTTCAATTTTTTTGAAAAAGGTGAAATTTCTTGGAGAAAGTCACCAGAAACAAAAAAAAATCACAAGGAAAATGGTGTAAGATTAAGCACAAAAAAAGCATAACATTTATTAGGAAAAAATTAACTAATGGCTAGCGTATTTGCTTAGTATAAAACCCGAACTTAACTTTTCATAGTTGGGGAAGTCTGCTAAGCCTCACTTAATTTAGCACCCTAGCATTTATTGCTCAGTGCAAAATTACTTTAGCAATAAATATAATACTTACTAGAGTTTGGTCTTTATTTTAATAAATTTTGAATAAAAAGTTTTGTTCTTTAATATTCCAACCTCCTGTAAAGTTTCAATTTCCAATCTCTCCTTAAGTAGTTTGTCTGACAGAAACTGAAATCAAATACTGCATGGTACAACACACAGAACTATACACAAACATACCTTTTCACATTCTTTTACCAAATAACAAAAATTATTTCTATCTTTGGCGTCTTCTCCATCAGTTTGCGAAGTTATAGCATCAGTAATATTTAACACATCACAAATTATTGAAGCCACAATACTATGGGTTTTCTAAAACAATTACAAAATTAATAAATCTAAAATTATCAAATACATTCACTATCATTAAAACATGTGTAATCTTATTAACGTCAGTTTTAGATTTTTGTAATACATACCACTAGGTCATGTAGAACAGGTACAACAGATTCCCGTTTAATGACACCTTTAACTGCCTTCTCAATTAGCAAATTTATATTGGTAACTACTGGGGCTGCTTTCCCATTTTTATCAAATAACGGAGACGATTCGTCTTTTAAGCGGGCAACGTTATATTTGATACTAGAATGAGAAAGATACTGTTAATATGTCTAAATATTTATTTCATCAGTAGCTTTATCCTCGCATTTAAGACGCGGCATGCGTAAAGGTATCGTATACAAATTGTAGCAAACGTGCACAGCAAAACTTACAATTCTTGTCTTCCACTTTTATCCCAATTTTTCCAGATATCATTTGATAATTCAACTGCCATTTTACTTTAAACTTCCAACAAAATCTAGACCATGCCAAACACAAAAAAATCAAGCTAAACGATGCCACCACCGCTTGTGTTGACAAATGACATCACCAGAGAGCAAATAAATGTAGACCCAAAGTAAAAAATGTTAACCCCAAATTATAATTCTTTGCAGGGAATCTCTCTCTCTCTCCTTTGCTCTTTTCAAACTGTTGGGCAATACTACTATGGCCATTCGCCCATTACCGACTTCCGTCAAGGATTTTCGCTTTTGGTCAATGACTAACACGTACGAAGAAAAAATATAACCAAAATTTGCTCAGCTAGCAAAAAACGATTTTGAAAGATACCAAAAAAAAATCGACTTCCCCCGCTTCCACCGCGGACCATCCGGCCTCCATAACAGCGCGAACAGAAAAAAACGAAGGGGCCGACGACGATTATCACCTTAAAACATACACTGAACACTCAAAACACTATATCAACACAGTACAAACCGATATCAAACTTTTGGGGACGAATACAAGGGATTCTGTCGGTAGCGAACGGAGGTTAAACCGCCGCGTGCAATGCAGGGAATCTCTGGGTAGCATTGGGCATGGGGGGTTAACCCCAGCCCGCCTCCAAAAAACTGCCTTAATTGTACATTAAATTGTTGAATGCTAAATTAGTGCGTGTCGAATATTTAAGTTTTGCACTTTGCCGACTCACTTACTACTTACTAACCTTAGTATTATCCTTGGATGGCTTGCATGAGACAGGTAGATTCTTGTCTGCCGCCTACAGAATCCGTTTTTGAACTTTAACATTTGTTTTCGGTCACATTGTTATTGTTTTCGATTTTAGTGAATAGATAATGTCTTTTAGTGATATCACTAAAACTGTTTTCCACATACACGCCGGATCGGTCCAGCGGTAGAAACGAGGAGAGCCGCGTTTTTTATAGTATTGATTAAAAAAACTTTTTTTGTCAAAGGGTGTTAATTAATGGGTTATGTTAAGTAAAGCGTTATGTTACCAAACCCTTTCTTTACGAAGGCATCCTTTAGGAATTTTGAATTATATTTGCCAATATTTGTAAGCTGGAAAAATTGCCCGAGTTGCAGGGCCAAATAAACCAGTAAAAAAAAATCTTAGTATTCTGTATAGCACTCTTACATAATTTTTTTGTGAATTTATTGTATTTTATTACAGTAGTATCTATTCTTTCAGGAAGTTTCTCTTCTCCATCAGTCGAGAAATTTGATATCAGGGCGAATTGTCTTTGGAAGGTACAGGCACTGACAAAAAAGTGCTTAATATAGACAATGACTTTGATTATAAGGGAAGAGATGAATTTGGTATAAATTAAACCTCACAACCTATGAACTAATTTTTTTAATAATCACGCACCAGTTGCCCTGATCATAATAACTTTTTTCAATAGCTGCATTAGGTAATTTTTGACACAAACTATCCAACTCCTGCTCATCAAACACATGGTAGTAGCGAAAATAAGTACTTTTTTGGTCGTTTTTTATTTTCCACGGCACCAAGACATCTTTTGTCTGAAACTGCGTTCTATTTGTATGAACCTGAAATGATAGATCCAAGACGGAGATTTCCTGGGATGGAACTGAGTTTTCATTTACGGAATTATGTTTTCTGTTTTGTTTAATGTAACTACTTTTTTCACAATCTTTTAATTGATCTCTGGCCCATACATAAATTAAAGCTCTTCCGCCAGTTTTTAATAATCTCACTATTTCTGTTAATGCTTGTAATCTTCTAGCCTGCGGACAAAAATAAAATTGTGTAAATCATAGTTACTATGATCCAAAGCATATAAATATATACCTCATTGGCCAAATGATGGATAACAGCAATACTTATAATCCCATCTGCAATTTCACTTCTAAGTGGAATGTTTAAACAATTTGCAATAAATATTTCCAATCCTCTCTCACTACATATTTTAGCCAGCTCAAAACTGCTATCACAACCTACCTAAGAAAACAGAAGTTTATTGCAATTTGTAGGTACATATGCAAATGGTATTCACATTTTGCAGGGCAGTTATTTTGTAACATTTTATCTATAATTTAGTGCCACTCTGAGATTAATTATGGGAAATGATGGAAAGTTATTGTTCCCATCTATAAGATATTCTTCATGCTTTTTTTTTAATTAAAATTGTTTATTTTTGTGGGAGGGCTAAATTGGTTATTTCAGTAGTAGCCAAAAAAAAGGGACCCTATATTATTTTTTGGAAACATACTGTACATTACTTTTTACAATTATTTTACGAAACAACCTCAAAATTTGCTATTTTCAATGATTTTCTTTGTTGTTAAATTAGTACTTTATGGAACAGTAACCCACATTTAGCAATGTATTTAGACTTACATCAAATATATTGAGGTTTCTTGCCAAATATTTTCCATTTCCACATCCAAGGTCAATAAGTATTGATCCTATTTCAAATGATTCGACAAATTTTAAAACATTCGGCCAAGGTTTATGTCTGGTATCACTAAAATGATTGGCAATGGAGTTGTATACCTCGCGAACATGCAAATTTTCCAAAGTGGCAGCTGTAATGTTATTGATTTCTTGACGCTTTTTGTATGAATCACACTTACTATTGAAAATGCAATGACATTCACTAGTTGCTATTTTCCTAAAGGTAAATGATATGCGAGTACCTCTTTTATAAGATGTATACCCTGTTGGGGTAGGAATAACATCATATTTTCTGGGAATTATGCTATGAGTCCAGTTATAACGAGTTTCGCCAGACATTACAAGAAGAGATCTTTGAGGTAAAAAAACACACACATGTTTCTTTTCATTTCTGAATTCCATCACGATACTAGATTTTAAGGATAAACAGATAATGGGATCATCAAAAGCACTATGAGTATCCACATGATGTGGTATTCCTTGACCAGGAGTATAGTGATTAATTGTCAACTGATCTGGCATAAAATTTTTGCATTCTAAATCTGTATGCAATAGTCTTTGCCATAAGAAACTACATTCTGTTGGAACCTCTGCTTCAAGTGGTTTTGCCTTGTCCACATTATTGATGTCATACCTAAATTCATAACCAAAATGCTTAACATGCCTATGCCTCATGTTTCCCAACTCTGACTCTTCAAAATTACACAATTTTAGTAACTCATCCTCTTCCTTCATTGTAACAAAATCTTTTAAAATTGTTAAACCTGAGGGATACTTTTCTGGTTCCCATATTTTGCTTTCCTTAAAATTAGGCAGTATTTCAGTAAAAAGGAGGTAAATAGGTTTGTCCTGTTGTGCTATGTTTAACTTTCCATTGTAAGCATTATATGCATTTACAGAAGCCTCACAATTTTCGTAAGATAAAAAACAGCAAGATTTTCCTGATAAGAGACAAATTTTTGTGAGGTTTCCAAATTGAATAAAATGATGAAATACTGTCTCCTCAGTTAATCCATTCACCAACCCTGCATTACAAATGACTAAATTCTGCAATAACAGAGGGGTTCATTGAAGATATAATGATAATAATTTACAAATTTACCTTAGTAGGAATTGCAGTACACATAATTCCAACATCTTTCTTAATTATGTGTTGGAATTTCCTCAATTTCTTCTCAATCTTTTTAAATTTAGAAATGGATACATCTTGTAAAGCCTGCATTTTCAACAGCTCCTTATAATCACAATAACTTCTATTCAATAACGCGTTTCACTAATACAGTTGGAATCAAGTTCAAGTATGCGTTTCACAAAAAAAATGTTGGGCTCGACTGCTAGGATCATTCGCCCATTGCCGACTTCCGTCGAGGATCTTCGCTTTTGGTCATTGACCAACACGTACAAAGAAGACATATAACCAATATTTGCTCAACTAGCAAAAAAACAAATTTGACCGATACCAAAAAAAAACCGACACCCCCCGCTTCCACCGCGGACCATCCGGGCCCATCCGGCCTCCATACCGGCGTGAACGGGGAAAAACGACGGGGCCGACGACGATTATAACTTTAAAACATGCACTGAACACTAACAACACTAAGTCCACACAGTGGAAACCGATATCAAACTTTTGAGGACGAATACAAGGGATTCTGTCGGGAGCGAACGGAGGTTAAACCGCCGCGTGCAATGCTCCACCACAGAATCCCACAGTTGGAATCACAAGAATCAAAAATGCAATAATTCGTTTCACAATAAATGTTGGGCAAGACTGCTAGGATCATTTGCCCATTGCCGACTTCCGTCGAGGATTTTCGCTTCTGTCGGGAGCGAACGGAGGTTAAACCACCGGGTACTATACTCCACCACAGAATCATAACAGTAAGTCAATGATAAATTCAATTCAATAATGCGTTTCACTAATACAGTCAATGATAAAAGAATACTATACTTTTTTTAAGTTCCAAAAAAAAAGTTAGGCAAGATTGTTAGGATCATTCGCCCATTTGCGACCCTAACAAGAATTTCTGACATTTTGGTCAAAGACCAACACGTTTCAAAGTTTTTACTGTTAGTTACTAACTAACCCAGTAGCAAATAAGACCAACAACAGTAACAAAAAAGTATTTTTTTTTCCAAAAAAACAATTTCTCCCGGCTTTTGCCGCGGACCAAACAGGTCCAGCCGACATCCAACCGGCCATTCAAAGAAATACCACAAGCACAATTCAGCTGATATCAAACAGTTTATACCGACAAACAGCGAATTCTGCAGGAATCTGACAAGGAATGTGCTGCCGCGTCTATTGAATATATATATATATATATATATATATATATATATATATATATATATATATATATATATGAATATACGGCTGTCATTCGCCCAATACTAGCATTCAAGGATGATTTTTGTAATCTATTGTATAGACCGGTAATGGGCGATTAATTTAGTGGATATTATAATGACATTTTCTCTCGCTGTCTACATTCTGTGGTATTGTGTTACCAACAGAAGATTGAGTGATACCAAATATAAAGGTTTTAATGCAAGTAGTTTTAGGGGTGGAGTTGTACTTGAATTTATTGAAAACAAACTAAAAAGAACATTCTCACAAATATAATTATAACACGGCATTAGTTTTCTTTAATAACATTTCAAGGTTATCTCTCTTAGACAAAGAGGAATGACCTGGAACATGAGCTATCTAGCTAGCTTGTTTTCCTCGGTTCCCCTCTAAAGAATATTTCAATTTTTAATTTAATATTGTTGAAGTATTCTTTTGATTGTTACCGTGTGAAAACTTAATCATCGACAATGAAGAGCAATAAGTATTAGGGATAGAGAACTTATGGAACTCAAGGAAGGTATAAGTGGGTCATTAGGGAGGACCAGTGTAACTACCAAAACCTTAATTGAAAATCGAACTGATACCATTGAAGAGAAAGATTTCAGAACAGATCCATTAGTTGACCAAGCAAACCGCCGTAATACATATAATAGCCACCCTCCTTTAATTAATGAAGTCATTAAAACTAGCAACAGGTCACAAATGATATTTAAAAAAGAAATAAATATTGTGCAAGGCTTTAATCATATAATAAATATGAGTGAACAGTGTCCATTCAGAAATGGCAAATTAAGCAAGAATTTGGATCCTAGTTCCACATCAATTGAAGATACTTTAAAAAGGAATTTTTATTCTGTAGAAAGTCCTGACAAAGAAAGTTTCCATGAAATCAACATAGGTAAAGTATTTTTTGATCAGAGTTGTTAAATTGTTTTGAAAGGTTTTTCTAATTTTCTACTGAAATCTGTAGGTGCTTAGAGAAAACATTCTTATCACTGGTAGTTATATTAAACCTGTAGACTCTAATTTTATTTGATACATCTATTGATCATTATTCATCAGAATTGTATTTGTAGGAGAATCTGAAGAAGGGAATGCTGGTGAAAATAGACTTATAAATGGAACAACTTCACATCAAACCAACTTTCAATCCAATGCTTCTCAGACTGGGAATGCACTGCATCTCCCTTTGAATTTATCTAGAGGATATGAGAGCTTGAAAGAAAACAACACTAGCCGTAATGAGGAAAATCAATATTACAGCTATGAATCTGATGAATCAATTGAGTATGACTCTGATATTCCTGACGAGGAAGTTGAGAAAATGTTGGAAGAAGCACTCAATACAAAAAAACGGAAAGCAGGAGAAGCAGAACTGGATGCCGATAATCCCAAAGTGCCATTTGAGGAAAAAACTAAAATAGTGTTGGTGGAAAAAGGACGAAATCATTTTGATGTGCTTCCAGAAGGATGGATACAAGTGACTCATAATAGCGGGATGCCAGTTTATTTGCACAAAACTACAAGGGTGTGCACCTTGTCAAGACCATATTTCTTGGGGCCCGGCTCTGCCAGAAAGCATCTAATACCAGTAAATGCAATTCCTTGTTTGAATTATAAAAAAGCATTGGAGAATGAAAGGGAGCTACAAAAAGTTGAAGAAAAAAGGACAGACGATACGAAACTACCCGAAAATCTACCAAACGCAAGGATAGAAACAGTCCAGGAAAATATAGAAACTCAAAATTTAACTGCTGAAGCCTTAAGAAATTATTGTGAGAATGTATTTCAGTTCCAATCAATTAACGTTTTGCGGTTTAAATCTTGGTCAGAGAGGCGAAAATTTACCAAGAAAAGAAAACACGAAAGTCAACTTCAAAGACCAACTTTACCTGATGGTACAAAACTTATAACGTTCCCCATTAAAGATATTGATAATAGCGAGAAAACTAACCCAAATGCAAAGAAAGAATGGATCATGAATCCAAATGGGAAATCATATGTGTGTATATTGCATGAGTATGTTCAACATGCTTTAAAAAAACAACCCACTTACCAATTTACAGAACTGGAAAATGCAGCGACTCCTTATGCCGCAACTGTTATTATAATGGATATGAGATATGGAGTTGGGTATGGTACTAGTAAAAAACAAGCAAAATCTGAAGCTGCGCGTGCTACTTTAGAAATTTTGATTCCTGAAATGAAATCAAAAATAACTACTGACAATCAGACAGGTAAGCAAACATATTTGTTGTCAATTATGACCATACAGCTATTAGATACTATAGTGGCCATGAGGAAGATAAAAATTGATGAGCCTATATATGGTGATATTGGAATCATTTTCCGCGCATGCCCGTAAATTCCACACACTAACCTGCACTTCGCGCCATATTCTTTCTAAACAGCAATATCCACACACTTAACTCGTCTTTCCTTAAACATTTAACTGAAAACTATTGAATTCATTGTCACCGGCCATGTTGGTTGATGAATGCCATTAGGTCTTATTGGTTGGAACAACACATGACAAGGTCGTGAAACGCCAAAGTATCAGTCATCACATTATATAACATTTTATTTATTATTATTATTTTAAATGTGAAGAACATATTTTTGTATCTACTCTTAATATCAAACATATTTTCTTGGATTAAGTAATATAAAATTAAATTTTAGGAATCATGTGAAGAAACATACTCTGTCATTATATTTTTTAATAGTATTCTTTAGCGTAATAATAAAGCCTTATTTAAAAAAAGTTAATTATCACTGAATTAAAAAATTAATAAATAACTAAATTAAATACTTTTGATCAAATGAGGGGTTCTTAACATGGCTGTTAGTACTTTCGTTGATTCAACAGTGCAGGTTGTAACCTTGTGAATTTTATGGGGTGGAAAATGAAGCTTAAATACCTTAAAATGAATAAGATTTTAAAATTTTTAACTTGCTAGCCCATCTTGAAGTACTTAAATTTTAAAGATACCTACACTTATCCAGCAACTACTACACTACACTATGTCAGCTATTTTACATCTCTGTATTTTTTGTTGGAACAATTTGTCAGAATGAAAAAATTACCATTTTTGGTTCATTCATACAATTCGAAAGACAGCAAGTGTTTACCATAACTATACACTAACTCTGAAAATGGCAATGACGGCGATTTCACAAATATTGTTTTTTATTTGTCGCTTTTTCACTATCAAATACCTCAATTAAACATATAATCGAAAAACATGTAATTTGAATTTGGTCTACTACAGGAACCGATAACTTAAAGACAAACTTGAAAACTAAAAACTAATAATAGGATAATTGTTATTCGATATTTCTTGAGTGATATACCATAAGAACTATACCAAAAATTTTTTTTGTTAAACAATATCAACATAAAAAATACAACGCAAAGCTGAACTTTATATGAAAGCAATGCAACCATTCCCAATTTTACTTGCAATCTATAATAATATTTTTTCCGCCAGAGGTCTCATTGAATTGTAAAATCATCATATCGTTGAAAAATGTTTTTCTGTCCAAACCAAAAAAAATTGGTATGGTCTCTCCCAAAGTATATCTGGGGTTTTGGCGGAAATCGAAATACCCTGCCGGCGGCAATAAAACACCTGACGAGTCAGTATTGTAGGACAGAGCATCAGCATTATAAAATCACATTAATAAAAAATAATTACCTAAGTAAGTACGTTTTTATTCATAATATAATTCTGTTTCACTCTCAAAACCGTCATTAAGATTAATTACGATGTGCTCGATGTATGCAAGTGTAAGAATTTTCAATTTTTAAAATGTACTGCATTTTCCCATCCCTTAATAAATATATTATTTATTACATTTTTAATCAAACACTCGGACTTAACTTAGGAGTAACATTTTCTGCTGTCACATTTGACCACTCTGGTGTTGATAACTATTTTTTTCCTACAATAGTTCACTGTTAATAATATCCTTTTTCGAGAATATTGGCGTTTTTGTCTATCTATCTTCTACTTATTAAACATTCATAACCATTTTTATCAATTTGTTTTGCATCTAATGACAAGTGATTTTGACGGTACAAATGGAAAAAATATGCTAGTAAGAAGTTTTTTCGAATGGCACGGTAAAACAGGTTATTCAACACTGCCACTGATATCAGCAGACCTGTGGTCGACATTAGCTGACTCACCCTTACCTGTCAATAAATGATTGGTTATTTTGTTTACTCCGTATCAATAGGTATGTAGGTCGTAATAACTTTCTGGAAAAGCCAAGACAATATACTTTGAAACATACCATACACCAGGTTTCTAAATTTCTAAATGATTTTACAGATTTCAGCAATTGTGAATCACAATTTTTGGTTTTAGTTTAAAATTTTTGTAATCCATCGTAGTTAAAAAAGTATTAAAATAAAAAAAAACTCTCGAATAATCGTTTCAAAAAGCGGGAGAATATTGTCAGTATTACATTAATAAATATAAATTTTGTAAATTCCATAAATACTTTTGATAAAACTTTTGGATTCCTCCTGCGTCGGTTTTGTTGAGTTTCAATCAAGCTCTGAAGAAGCCAACAGGATGATTGGCGAAACGTTAACTAGTTCGACTCAACAAAAACCGACGCAGGAGGGATCCAGAAGTTTTTTAAAAAGTATTACAGTAGTCTGTGGAGGTGGAAATAATATTTTTATTTATTTATTTTCAAAATTTTGTTCATTAATTTCTTTTTAACTTCAACTTTAAGCAGGATATTCTCTTTATAGAAAACATACATAGTTAAGTATTAATATATGTTGAAACCGCCTATTTTTTTATGACCTTATCGTATGCCTTATATCTTATAAACTTAAAAATGCTAAGTTCGATGAATTCCAAGAGGAATTTAACAAACGAACTGAGGATATCTCGTATTAACTCCAAAAAATCCAGATAAGACATAATGACATGAAGTCAGTTTAATATTATAATACTAACTGCTATTTGTGAAAATTGGCAATCTTAGGGGTGGGTCGCACCTTAGACGCAATCTACAAATAACGTAATAGTATATTTTGTACTCCCTTCTGTAAAACACCTCATTATACACCGATCTAGCATGCGGAAACCGTCACTTTATGAGTTTCTTGTTCCGCGGATTCGAGCCCCTTCGGACATTTCCTGGATATTACCGCACGGGTTTGGGAGCAATCGGAAAAAAAGGCACGGCTTGAGTTTTGACGTTTGTCATTTGCAAAACTGTACTCAAAAACTAACGGTCGTAGAAAAAGTGTAGTATACAACACGTTTGGTAAAGTGGTAAGGGGCTCGGATCCGTGGGACAAGAAACGCACGTGGTAAAGTGACGCTTTGCACCTGCTAGATCGGTGGATAATGAGGGTGTTTAAATACTTATTTAATTACATAGTGACATATATATATTTTTTCTGATTAATTAGTTTTTAATTTAAATTTTTAAATTTTATTTAAATTTTTAAATTTAAATTTTATTTAAATTTATTAATTTTTTCATTTTTAACATTAAATTACGAAATGTTTCAAAACTCTGGGAAAATTTTATAAATATGTTATGATTTCACAAAGATTTCATGGATTTTAGAGATAACAAAGATTTCACAGGATTTACGGCTTTCACAGAGCTGCCAGATTTACTCTTCGATTTTTTTCATCGTGGCTTCAAAAGTGCCTGTATTATCGGCATAGGCATGGCCTCTATATATCTAGCTCTTTTATAGGTTGGTCCTACCGCTTACTTGTTTAATCTGCAACACCAACATTTTTGTGTTCTCGATGTAATATCAGAAGAGCTGTTCCCTTATTTTAGGCCGGACAAGAAAAGAAAAAGAACAAGATCTCTCGTTTTTTGACGAAATCAGAGTGGAAGATCCGCGCATCGCCGAATTCTGCGCGAAAACGACGGAACCTGCGCCTTACGACATTCTGTTAACGTGTCTGCAGCGAAATTTCGGCTTAGACGATTTGAAAATCCACTATCAAGGCAACACGTCCAAACACCAAGGCAACGAGTTTACGATGACCGTCGGCAAATACACGACGACGGTAGCGTGCAAAAACAAGCGGGACGGCAAGCAAAGGGCTTCGCAGGCCATTTTACAAGCCCTACATCCCAGTATAACTTCATGGGGTTCACTTTTACGTTTATACGGAAATCACTCAGTGAAGAGTTTCAAGGAGAAGAAAATGGAGGAACAAGAAATTACTTCTTTACAGAGCAAGGCGGCAGTGAATCAACCCAATTTTGCCATCCTCAACAAACTGAAAATGGAATTGGGTAAACTAAATGAAAAGAGGAAAACGGTAAGACCAGTTGGGTTGGTGAACACTTCCGAGGGTGAAATTATTCTAGAGAATGATTAGAAAATTATGTAAGGGTGCTGTTTTGTCATTCGCCATTAATTAAGTTACCCCCGCACTAAAATTAAAATTGCCTTGGCGTGTATGTCCAGACTGAGTAGCATTGTAGCAAATAGAGTAGGTAATTGACCAAATGAGCTATTTTACTCTTAGACAAATAGGTTGTGTTTGTTTTTTTAATTGTTGACATGGTGCAAACGGTAATTCTGTGCAAATATTCTAAAAAGTGTTTCTTGCAAAAATGAATTTAATGAGATGACAGGCGCTTCCGTCCGGTTCCTAAGATTTTGTTTTCCTTATTGATTCAATTTATTAAGTATTTTCGACATTTTCAAGCCATAATGTTAGAGTTTTCGATTAAAGCGACGATGAGAAAAATATTGAGGTGCGCCATTTAAAATGCGCACGCGTGGTAAATTGGAATCTCGTTTTCAGCAAATAAGATCCAGCCACGTTCAACAACTAACATGGCTGCTGACAGTTCGTCAATTCCACAGTTTAGATGTAGCATTTTTACGGCAGTATTTTCTCAAAAGATGTTTAGATTGAGTCTGTGGAAATAAATGTTTAGAAAGAAAATGGCACACAATGCAGATTAGTGGCCGAAATGTAATAGCATTTGCCCCAAATAATATATAATTTTAATATTTATTTCTGAAAATGTTCGGCCCCCCCCCCCCCCAACTTTCTCTTAAGAGGCAGAGCAGACACTATTCTACGAAAAAGACTATAGTCTCTCTCAATTGTGTTCATTTTAGCTGTCTGTCATATAAAATACGTCGGCCATTATGGAAATTTTAATCCAACATTTTCTCGTGGCCGCTTTGCGTCTATACCACAAATACTTTTCAAGATAGGGTCAAGTGCCCTTCCTATTTATCGACTCTGTACAGGTATTTGCTTGGTTTTTTTTTGGATTGCTATAACCTTTTCGAAACAATAAAGCTGGCATACCGACAGGATAGTCACGAGTATGTTTTTTTTTCGGTAAACTTCAATATCACCCAGTAAACGTTGCAAAATGTTTGAACAGAATTGTTAACGTAGCATAACAAAGCTTCTTCAGGTTCAAATTACTATATCGTACGTTATAGTTACGGAGGGCGTAAAATAAGCCGACATGCATAACAATGTGCGTCAAAATTTCAGTCCCTACTTTTATATTATTTCAAGTTTACGATCTAGATGGAGTGTCAAGAGTATCTAGATAGATTTTTCTCTTTAAAACACCTAAAAAGGAAAATGCCAAGGCATTATTACAAATATAACGGTCACACATATTTCAAAAAATATTTGTTTTAATTATGGGAACATTTTTTATCGATGAGTTTTAGCAAATTTTGATCCCGGGGATAGTTTATACATAAAAAATAAAAAATAAACCAATTTACGAAAGCTTTTAAGCCCGTTTCTCACTTGGAAAATTTGGGCAATTAAAATTGATGTTGATAGTTGTATTACATTCATTCAATACAAATGAATTACAACAGGCTATCCAACTTTCAATGAAAGAAGCTATTCTTTTATTCGATCTAGTCAATAACAATTTTTGTTTAATATTTCATATTACAAATGTCACTTTTGACAGGTGAAGGCAAAATGATATGATACGCGCTTTATTGGTGATACTGTAGAACTCGTAATAATTATCGGGATGAGACCGCACGCGTCTCCTTTTTTACGCCCTCCGTACTTAGAATATCTATGGCACTTAAAATTTATTCAATTGTACTATTGCTTAGAGACTTAAGTTAGAAACAAATTGTGTCACCCAATTTTTTTCTCAAAATGAGTCCGTCCTCGCATTGTTTATTTTAAAATCTTTTTTATGATTATTTTTGTCCTTCTATTAAGGATCCTGTCAACTTACCCTTTTTTTTGTCCGTGATTTGCCTTTTTCGGCGTTCTTTTTGAGAAAAATATTTGAGGAAAGTATAATTATCGGTAGCAAATAAGTGTGGTGTTTTAGACTTTATTATCTGTTTGACTTGTGCTTCGAGTGGCATCTTTTGGGTTTCCAGACCGGCCTTGACTTTGGGATAATCCGAATATCCCACAAAGCCTTCCGGATCTCTCAGAGTCCCTAGCGATCCCGAATAGATAACTTTTAAATAAAAAAATTATTACAATTATTGTAAGAAATATAAAATGCTGCGAGATTCAAATTATTCTTAGGGGTCAGAAACGCATGACAATTGGTCGTGCCTTCAAAAAGTATCAATCGTGTACGACGGTCATCATTTGCCCATCGTAAAGCAAGGTTGTAACGTAATTTTAATTAAATGAATTTTTGCATTTTATGATAAATTTTTGGTTACTTGCTACGTACTAAACCTATTACATATTACTGAAGAGAAATTTTCCATGCGAATTTGCTTTTGTTGGTCCGTTTCTGATATCAAAATGAATTTTGAGCTTCTCCAATAATAAAAGTTAAAAAAAGAAAACAATGCGAATTAATCCATTTGTAAACAATGGGATCCGCAATCAGTGTTTGAAAATTATTTCAAAACTTTTGGGACCTTCGTAAATGATATTATGGGAAAGTTCTCTTTTATATACTTATATAAATTCTTCGTTAACGAAAACTCTTTAGTTTTTATTAACATCGTACTAAAACACTGTTTAACATTAGCAAAATTCCAATACGGTGCCTCAAAATGAAGTATTTCTTTACAATAGGAATCAAGAAATGTGCATAAGGATTTTCTGCATAAGCCCGTTCACCCTGTTGAACTACGATATCAAAATTTAACTTGTTTTGAGACATCCCTTTTTGGAGTGTTCGACAATTTTGGTAAAATAAAATGTTTTTTTTTTAGGAATTTAGTTATATATAGGCTTTTATTTAAGTTGATATCAACCAAAAATTAATTATTATACATGTGTGGTGAAATTGAACTGATATGTATTTATTGTTACTTTTTATAATTAATATTTATTATGTGATTTTTGATTGCGTCTCGCAATTTTAATTATGATTTTTAACGTGTGAAAAACCAATTAAAGAAGAGCAATTAAATCAATAAAAACAATGTTTCAAACTTATTTCAATTATGTTTTACTTGCACCGTGGGTTAAAATTGGTTAAAAATATATGTTCGCACCTGCATTTATATTAAATAAAATATACCACAAAATACACGAAAAAATGCTCACAATTTTTTTTAAACCGTTTTAACTATCCTAAAAGTGAAATATGGACTGAACCGATATAGCTACTAGGTAGTTAGTGGCATGCGCGGAATCTCAGTCCCTTTTCTAGGAAAATAATGCCGCTTGAGGCGCGTTGTAACCTTACTGTATCATTCGATAGTACAGCTGTACCCACCTTCGGCAGTTTGCAACTCAAAAACTGTTTTCCAAGTGATTTGAAGTTGAATTGCCAGTTCCGGGTGGAACGGTGTCCACTAAAAAATCTCATTTGTACAGAAGCGCTCGTCATTATTGGAGCTGTTTTTATTACCGTTAGGAGATCACTAACCACTGCTACTGCTACAGATTATCGTCTGTAAGGAGGATGGAATGTTTAGTTCTTAATTTGTCCGATAGATGAAGCTTCAGTTCAGATCACGTTTCTAGTTTCCAAGCAAAGCTCAACAGAAACATCTAGACTGCAGGTAAAGATAGACGTCGATGATTACTGATCAATCAGTTCACTTCAGAAGCCAAGCTAGTTAGAGGTAGTAAGCCCGATCCAACTTTTGGATTTAATTCGACAATGCATCTAGTCGTGGTCACAAATTTATTCTGAATAAAATTTCTAGTTTTTATTATTGCTTAGTTTATGGGGTCACCGGTTGCTTAACTTTCTCCCCGTAAATATTTCAGCGTTTTCGATTTTTTCTTCCTAAAAATATTTTCACTTTTTAAAGAAATGACATTTTCCACAGGAAAACATATCTTGAAGTAAGGCGAATTGACAGACGACATAATCGTAGGCCCCTAAGAGACCAGAAAAGCTTTTAACGATGACCCTCTAACGAAAGGATGGGTACTAAATAGTCGTTTCAAAGAAATGATAAGTTCATAAAATAAAGTTGGGTTATTTATAAACAGAAAAAATTGTTAGATATAGATGGATAGAGAACTTATCAGTTTTTCTAGAAAGCAAGCAATTTATTGTAACTATCTGTAGAATCGAATTGAACAAAAATTTATGAAGCACCTGTGTATTTTTTTGAGACAAGATGGCCAAGACAATAACTAGAAAATTAATCCGAATTGCTTTTATTTTTTTCGCTATTGTCATCTTTGTCCATCAGGGTATGACATTTTTCGAACCTACACTTTCTACCTAAAAAGCTACCTGCACAAACTTAACCTGTTTTCTAACGGAAAATTTAATAAAAGAACTTACTAAAAACTGTGCTGATGTTCTCCATGCATGTTTTTTAGCTGAATACTTGTGAAAGTTCTTATTTACCGATGATCTTATAAGCAAGTCTAGATAGGACCAGTCCAATAGCAAAGAATATAACGAAATTCAGAAACGCAACATGCTCATGTGACGCCCGACAAATAAAGAAAAACACCAGTGAAGTAGTCGCGTTTATTGATTGCAGCTTAAACAAAAGTCGTTAACTTAAACTAACAGTCTGTTAATCTCCAGAACTAGTATCGACCTATTTCTGAATGTTACAGAAACGGTTCATCCTTTAAAAAAATAAATAAAACAACTTCAGTCTCTTTGGCTTCAAAACAAATTTCTTGTTTTCAGTAACTTAAATTAGTTACCGACTGGATGCGCGCCGAGATCACCCACAGTTTGTCTGTACACTTTATTGTTTTTGATTATCACTCTCTTGTGAGGACCCGGTAGAGCCTTCATACTTTTCGTCACTAACAGGAACTTCCCTTCGCGCGTTTTCAGTACTTTCATACCTTTAACCAGAGTCCCTTTTGGACTCACTACACCCAGAGTGTGCGCCAAAGGTGATGGGGGCGGCTCCTGACCTGGAGGGTTTACATCTGACCATGACGGTATGACAGAAGCATCACTAACCGTTTGGGACGCATTAATTTTTTGATGCACGGGGGTTAGGATAGGGGCTTTAGGCAATAGAGGTCGTAGAACGGAACTTTGTCCAGACGTACTTGCAGTCTGAAATGGTGCTACTTTGGCCACCTGAAATGGCATATTTAAAAAATATTGACGTTGGTGTCCCAACATTCAGTCGCGATTGATATCTTGAAAATCATTGCCGATAAAAATATTGAATTTGAAAGTGGCACAAGGGCATAAGATGCATAACCTAAGATTAATTCCATGGATGTGTAAGAAAGTACAATTATATTTTTTCTTATGTTTTTTCATACTTGAAAACCATTAGAAAACAAAATATTTTACACATTTATCGGATGTCCTGTATATATCAAAATATGTCTCATGCACCTGTCCAACTGTAATTTTTTTAATCTCCAACAGTTTCCAAAATGTGAATCGGCGATGCACTATTAGGATACTCCAAAATGAAAGGTAAAATGTTATGTTATGTTCTGTAAATATTATTACAAAAACAACTAACTCACTTTAATGTTCCTGGCTTGCGCAACAACGGAAGTCATCGCTCTCGGATTCAGTAACTTGAAACTGTTGCCGCTGTTTTGTTTTTCCCCAGATGTGCCGATTCCAATCTAGAAAATCATTTTGATTAGGTATCGGTAACGGTCATTCTATTATGAGGTTGTATGCTTCGTTACCATATGTGTATTAGCTTTCCGTTGATTATCAGTACAATCGGCGAATTTGTTTTGTGTATGGCTGCTCACTGGGATTGTTATAACGTTAGAGTCGCTTTGAGCATTGAAACTGCCTGCATCGTCATCTTCAATTTCAACCGTTTCTCTAGAAATAAATCTGTCCGGTCTTATCTTCAAAATTTCTTTGAAAACCTGCGACTCGATATTCCTCTCTTTTGGTGGCAAATTGTGCATTAATTCGTACAGAACTTTTATTTTCTCCATTACGCTTTTTTCTAGATTTTTTATAGTCGTTATTTGTTTTTTTTTAGTATCATCTAACGTTTTAATTAGATTTAAAGCCTGAAACGCAAACAATATGTAGTAAAGTCAAAAAAGTAATTTTTGTCATAATTTGTTGGTTGGTCACTTGTTAGTTGACATTTCACTGGCGAATCTAGTCAAGATTTCGCTCTGGTAAAACAATATTTAAATAGATAGTCGTTTTTCGGTTATTTAATTGCGAAATTATCCTTGCAAATAAGAACTTGTTTTTTTGGACTTTATGTGGGACACTATTTGTAACAATTTCCTACTTTTCTCGTAGGAGCACTACTGAATCAACAATAAGGTTTGCGGTAGCTCCACCTTTCGGGGAGCACAAATCAGCAACGTGTCTCGACTCGACTTTCAAAACTGGTTTACAAGTTTCATTAGTAGATTAAGAAGGAAGGAGTGAAACTCAGAACATGTTTGTGCTGTTAAAAATTTAAACAAAAGTATTTTTTCGTTTTCGTTTCATTAGTTAGAGATTGTGTAGAGAATATGAAACATTTCGTTGGTTTGGTTGGTTATTTATTTAAATTCCAGAAAAGAATCATATCAGAGCCGCACTATTAAAAAATTACAACGTAACAAACATAAGAGTGAGGAAAGTAATGCTGGATCTATGTGTTATGTTCAGCTGTGGTTAAACCAACACTAACAAGTGACGTGGCGTTTAACTTTCTGGGGAAATTGACGGATTCAAATTACTTTTTTACAAAAAAAAATTATAAATTAAAAGAGATAGAAAACATTATATTTATGTATAAAAGAGGCCATTCATATGAGAATATAATTCTAGTACTAAGTCAGTTAACGTCTGCAAAAAATAAGTAAGAGCTTACCGCATCGAGCACAAAATCGAGGGTACAATTGGGGACATTTTCTTGCTTCATGCCGATAACAAGGGCCAATTCGTCGACCCTTTTCCTTACGTACGCCTGCGCCCTTTTAGCGAACATCTTTGTTATTTCTTCCTTTGATATTTTCAACACGTTATTGCAAAAGTCCTCCGATAATTCTCTAAAATTATAAGTTCCGAAATAGCCGCATATCTGAAAATCGATAGGTCCGATGAATTTCCGGTAAACCGATACGCGATTGATTTGTGCCTTACGCAATGGCCGCTGAGAAAGTCGGAATTAATGGGTTTGTATTCGTTCAAGTCCAATTCCACTAGTACGATCACTTGGATTTCAAACGTTTCCGGTACCGGCTGAAGTAACTGGTTAAATCTCCTAAAAAATACCAAATATTAAAGAGAGTGCTGCATTATTTCAAACTAATATAGCCATTAGATAATGCAGGAGCCTCTAATAAGAGAAGAAGAAGATGGTGGATGGTGTCATTCTTCAGTTCATTTATAGTACACTGGACTGATTTGTTATCTTGTATTCTTTTCCAGACATCATTAACTGTATTACAATTTTTATCGTCTTTATGTTTAGTCATCCAAATGACTGGCTCATTTTCAAAAAAATCAACAAACTCCAACAAAATGTTTGTACACTTCTGCTAGGTCTGAATAGTTGCAGTAACAGTCAATTATTTGTGCATTTCGTCAACCATACACAAGTATGTACTTGGCAAGTGTACGAATAATCGTGATCCCTTCGACTTGGGCTATTTTGACCGACCACAAATGGAAAACCAACAAATTATAAATATATTTGTACAAGTAACCCACTCACACAACATGCCAAATATACGGAAGTAACGATTAATTGCCAAGTACTAGAGTCGTTTGAGCCCGATTTTACATTATCCAAATTTTAAGAAATATTTTTAATGAAAATATGAGAACCACTTACTCTTTCAAAAAATCTCTGGCGTGATCGGCGTTTTCAAACTGAAGGACTTTCTTCTCGAAGGGCCAAGACACTTCCAATACATGAGAGTTATCCGGTTGATAGGCTCCTAGGTAGCCGAACCTCGGAATGTTCGTTAGAATGTACCTGTTGTAGTCGGAAGGAGATTTTGGTTTCGCGTTTTTGATGTGAATCGCTATGTTATTATGGAATATCACTTGCTGGAAATCCGGTGCTTTTCTAATCGTTTCCTGTTTTGCGTTATCGTCGATTTCGACGGCATCATCGTCAGCCGTCAAGTCTATGGTAGCCTTAACGTATCTCCTAGGAGCTTTGTGTACGCGTTCGGTCATCCACGTTCCGCATTGGTAAGAAGTGTTGCCACGCATCTTGTTAAAACACTCGCAACTTACCAAAGAGCCGTTGATGTAGCGCAACGTTTCCACGTCTTCCTCCTGGCATTGCTTAAAATACGGACCGACGAACACCCTGTCCGAGTAGCTCTGGTCTATATAGAGCCCGAACTCACTGTGACTGTGACCGTTCGCTATTTGCTCGTTCCTTATCACTAACGTGCATTGCGCTTCCTTCGCCATTTCGCTGAATTTTACCAAATCGGTGTACTTTACCGAATAGTTGACCTTTTTGAAGTGAAGGTAGGCAAAATCCCCGTTAAGAGGTACCACTCGCCATTTGCAAAAGTCGTGCACCTTGGGTAATCCTACCCACAGGTACATCTCCTCGGACGAGTTCAAGAAGTCCTCCTTTTCAGGCAGCAGCTCTTGCAACGGGAACCTCTCTTTAATTAAATTCAACGTTTTGACATCGTTGTGCATATCTCTGTGTTTCACCAATTGCGCGTCGGCGCTCTCGTCGCCCGGTTTCCCTAAAGCCGAGCTCAGGTTCTGCGTGCACAACCCTTTGACCTCGAACATATTTTTGTGCGTCTCGACGAGCAAAATGGAGAGACTCGTCCCGCTATACTTCTCCGGCAGAGTGCACGTCATTAGCCACCTCACTATGTCCTTCACATTGTCGCACTGGCTCACCAGCCACGGACTCTTAACCTTCAGCGACAGGATTAGCGCGGCGTGCGTGTCGACATTTAAAGCGTTCCTTACCACGCGTCCGCTTTTCGTAATAATCAACTTATACGGACTGTTCGTGAGGCAATATACGCGAATCTTTTTCGAAAGATACCCCTCGAGCAGCGCCTTCCAAGGTAGGATGCGTGCGTAGCTACCGACGTGCTGCTTAGCGGTCTGTCCAAATTTCTCGATCCACTCTTGGTCGTTAACGATAATCTCGCCATCGAACACCGCTCTGCAAGTCTTGTTCGCTTGCACCACTTCGTCGGTATTCGGCAAATCGTTTTGGCACTCCTCGCGCACCTCCAATAACTGCTTGCGTTTGTTTTTACGCTCTATTTCTTCCGTCTTCTTCTGCTCGTGGTCTAGCAGTGCGAGTTTCAAACTTTCGCACTCCGTCAACCGCTTCTTGCCGGACAGCTGCGCTTTTAGCAAGTCCGCTTCTGTGATGTTCCTGATAAAATCATTATCGAACACCGTTTCCAATAACCGTCTACTTTTTCTGTATTTTGCCACGTTGGTTCTAGCACAGTTCGATGGTTCTGGCGGTTCTACTTTTGCGACTTTTGGGGGAAGGGCGTGGTCTTCCGCGTCGATATAACGCGTGGGTTTTTTGTGCAAGCTCCGATTGTTCCTTTTCTGCACTACCGTCGGATTTTCGCTCGTCACCAGGCAGTCTGTGAGATCTAAAGGATCCCGGACGGTCGATATTACTTCGTCGATCGGAAACGTGCCTGTCAAATTGCAATGGCAGTCGTGCAAATTATGGACTATGCAAAACGGTGTCAAGTCTGAAAAGTTAAACTTCTGCACCTCTACTGTGCAGGGCATCATTTGGTGCGACGATTTTGCTGCACTTTTTACCTCCGCTTTGGAATCATCATCAGACTCGTCGAAGAAGTCCGTGTACTTCTTAGGAGTACGAGTCGCTCTTCTGGGCTTGTTGCTACCGACTATAATCGTCTTGTTACTGGTGTGTATCACGGTTTGCGTAAACTCACGCTCCACTTTCGCCAAATTTTTTTTGGCCGCATCTTCGATCCGTGACACGGTGTCGGTCGAGAGCACGTTCGATCCCACCGGCAACTTAATCTTCTCGTGATAGAGACTCAGTCCCTTATCCTCAGGACAATTGCAACCAAACATGCAATCCACTTTCCTGCAATGCATCCCGATAAATGTTTCGCACGCGAGGGAGATACAGACGCACCCCAACGCGCAGTAGGGTTTCCCGCATGCTTCGTTCGGACTGTCTTCGACATCGACGCTTACTATTTTACAACTGAGACGGTTCAGTTCCAAATCCGTTCTGCTTCTCTTCTTGGCTCGTTTCCTCTTTACCAAGAGATGTCCGTCGTTGGGCTCCTCCTTCATCGAAACGTCTTCGATACCAGAGCGGTCCTCGTCTTCCTTTATTAACGATGGCGCTATCTCTTTCAATTCGACGAATTTTAATAAATCTTCGATGACACTGGCCACCTGTTTTTCAGACGAGATATCCTTGTTCTCTTGCAAATCGAGACGCGATTTTGGGATCGACGCGGGGTCGACTCGTTTCTTCGTCAAAATCTTTTCTTGGTTGTTCGCGTAAGGAACGTCGAATTTGAATTTTTTTATGTCAGATTCGCCACGATTCGTGACCAAAGCGGTTAGAGCAAAATCGATCTGGTCCTCGGTGACTTCACCGTCGTAGCTCGGCAAAAGATGCAGCACACCAGGCCAAATAGGTTTGCCGGTTTGGGGTTGAATTTCGAGCGTGATTTTCGGCAACGTCTTCACCTCCGATTCCCACGTGTCGTCCTCCTCTTGCAGTTCTGGTTTTTTGCAAAGCGGCCCCGCCTTATACTTCACCTCATGTTTGCGCCTCTTGAATTCGTCCAACAGGGATAATTTTCTAGGAGTCATCTTGGAAGACGAGCGTTGGACGCGATCCGAATCGATTTCAGCAAAACATTTACTCTTCGCCTCACTTTTCACCCATATCTTTTTATTCTCGTATAGTACGTAACTTCTTTCCTGTTCGTCGCTAATTTTTTTCATCCGTTTCAACTCTTTTAGTTCCCTTCGTTTATTTCTCTCGAACATTTTCCGTTTCTCCGCCAACGTTTTAGCTTTAAATTTAGGCATTTCCAACTTTGACCTTTCCGAATGTTCTTCCTTAACGGGACCCGCGGACACGCTGATCGGCACTACCGGTTCCTCGGCGTAGTTTTTCCGCAAACCTTCCTCGGCACCGGATTTCGGTACCACGTAGCTCACGTTCAATTTGGAATTTTCCGTGAGAAATTCGTCCAATGAGTCGCTCACGAACGGCGAGTTGCCGTCGTTCTTTGAGTCAGTTTTTTGGTCGTTGCCTGAATTTGTTTCTCGAATTTTTTCACCACTGTCGAGTCCTATGCGCTCCGCAGTAGGCTGGAAAACCGGTGGCTTAACGGATTCCGAAATTCCTGAAGTAACTGACGCCTTCTGCTTATTAATGATTTTCCTGATTTCGTTGAGTACGTTTGGGATGCCGTCATTGGCGCTTTCATTCAAATTTTCTTCATCGACTTTGTCGGTTTTTGCTTCTGGAGATTGTTCGGTATCGGCGACGACATCAATGGAAGTGGTAGTCACTTTGTTCGACGGTGTGGACAAGCTGACCGACTTAATAGAATCAACCAATTCATGACTACGTGTTTTGCGGTCTCCGTCTACCGCCGGCTTATCGTCTGCGCAAACACTAGTAGTAAACAGTTTGCGCTGGAGAAAACCTTCGTCGTCGTCTAGTAATTTTTTCTTGAAAATGTTACCCAATTGGTGCTCGTTATCAGGTAATACGGGAAGCACACCCAGGTTTTTTCTGGTTCTCAGGCTAGTCAATTGCATTTTCAAATTCTTTCGTATTTCTTCGAAACTGAGTTTTGTTTCGTTTTCTTCCTCCTCGCTTCCGACAGATTTCAATGACGCAGTCTCTTCCGCATTCGTACAGCAAATGTCCTTTGTTAATGCCGTGTGGGTTTCCTTGTCCTCGGCGACAGAGGTTATACCGAAATTATCCTCGATTTGATTGTGCGGATCCGAAGGTTTTGCCTTGCTAATAGCTATTGAACCCGAATCGACATCTCTCGACTCCCCTTCATTAAGACTAACATCTCCGACTAGCTGTGAGGGAGTTTCTGGAAGCAATACCCCATTGAGTCGCAGTTTTAAATCCTTCCTGAGTCGGTCTAGATTGATCTCACTCGCCGCGCATTTAATAAACTCATTTTTTCGCATTTCAGTAATGAGCTGTGGAGAATTGGCCAATTTTATTGTCGCTTGAGTACGAATTGTTTCTTGTGTATTCCCTGGTTTGCTTTGATCGGGGCATCGTAAAGAATTTGTTTCTTTAATTGAAAGCAAATGTTCATTTGATGATGCTGATAAAGATTTTTCTACGTCTTGTTTGGTGGTAGCTGTTTCTTTATCCGGCATAACCAACCACTCGTCCTCTGAAACACTAGATGTTAAGGTCGAACACTCATCGTTACTTCTCGTTGTAGGAACACTTGGATGTGGCATACGAAAATCGTTTGGTTGGCGCAAATGTGGTTTGCCGTTTGAACCAAACTTGGTAATTAATGCATCGTTCAGTGTCTGCTGCTCTTCGTTCGAAGGCTGCCGTGCTTCTTTACGTCTTTTAATTACAATCATGCCTGAATTCTGATCAAAAGTATTATCTGAACCCACGGCAAGTAATGACGAATCTGGGTCATCCACTCTTTCTTCATTTTCCTTTAGTTTAAGATAACCTGGTTCTACTTCTTGACACTTAAAAGTACAATTGACTGTATCTCCAGTTTCGAGATGCTTGTTTGGAATATTTTTGATGTTTTTTAAGTCCGTTTCCTTTTTTACATCTGGGAAATCTTCTGGGAGAATGATTAGCTTATTTGTCAGTGACGGTGGCAATGATGTTACGTTCGAACACGAAAACGAACCGGCGAGGCGATCCTCATTAGTATCCTTTGAAATTTTATAAGGAGTGACTGTACATCCTAACGATTCCAAACAAGTTTCCCCATTTTTGTGTTCTTTGCGACCAACTGTTTTTCTATCCAAATACTCGTTACCTATAGATTTATAATTTTCCAACTCAGTCCTTTCCCCGCTTAACAATTCTAATGTTTCTTTGGGAGATAAAAGTGTTTTTTGCTCTGGTATATGTTGAAGCATCTTCGGCGAAGAAGGGAACTTACTTGGCGGACTGTTTTTCAAATCAAGATCAACTTTGCTTATTTCAAGTATTGGCTTCGACGTATCAATAAGCGTTGATTGTTTACCTGTTTCACCTAATTTTATCCCACTCTTGACAGATGAAATTAACAAACCTAAATCGTGCTTGCCGAAATCGTTATTAGAAACGACCGAGTGTTCGACTGCAGTTGTTGTTTGTAAGACTTCGACCATCAGCAATGACGATTGCAAATCCGTTTCTTCGGAATTTTCGTGTTCTTCGTAATCATCGACTGGCATTCTATTCTCCGGTTTGTTGTCCATGAATTCCCAGTTTTTCAAATCGGGTGTTTCTTGTCGTGTGAAACCAAAATTGTCTTTCGAAGATTCGCACTTTTCTTGCGCCAAACCGTCTTCCCCACAAGTTCCTTGATGGTCATTAGTGCTCTCTTTATTGTCGTTTGTTCTTTTTGATAATCGATCATCATGGGTCTTATGTATTTCAGCAACATCCACATCGGTCACAGTCGTATTTTCGTCTGTTTCTTCTAATTTTACCCCGCCCCTGACAGATGAAATTAACAAACTCAAGTGGTTATTAGCGAGCGCGTTAGCTATACTTTCGCAGTTTCCCAACTCAGCAGTTTCTTGAATTGTTGAACTCAACTTTTCTTTCGGCGTGACAGCTGCTTGGTCATCTGTTTCATCGAATTCTACACCGCCTCTGACGGACGAAATCAACAACCCCAAACCGTGGTCGCCAAATCCGTTAAAAACTGTGTGTTCTATTGTAACTGTATTTTCTATGTGTTTGTCTTCTTGACTTGGTGATAATTCCGGATCACTTGCTTCAATATTTTGATGTTTTGTGTGATCATCATTGGCTGTTCCATCTTTCTGATTGTCCTCCACACTTTCCCAATTCATCAACTCAGTAGTTTGACAGATTGCGGAACTTGGATTGTTTTCTATACTATGTTTATGATTCGCATTAGTTTTCTCCTCATTTCTTTGATTTGATGCACGGATATCACTTACAACCAAATGGTGGGATATATCTGTTTCTGTAACCTCATTCCGCGACAGAGAAGACTTTTCTTGAGAGCAATCTTGGGAAGTATCGGTAACAGCCGGTGGTTTAAGTTTAGTCACTACACCAGTGTTAGATTCTTCCTTATCATCCCCATCTTCTTGGAAAATGTATTCGTGTCTCAATTTTTGTTCAAGATTATCAATATCTTGAGATGTTTCTATTTCCTTAATAACGTTTTCGGAGACGTTTTCACACAATGAGTCGATATCGTGTACATTTTTGGTGCAGTACCAGCCGCTCTTGTCTACATCGTCATCTTCTATTTCAATTACGACATTAGTAATTTGTTCTGTCTCGTCATCGGACAGCTCAATAGTTTCCATCTCTTCCAGATGCGCTTTTCTTAAACCATCTACGCCGTATTCTGAACGGGACATACAATCGGCGCTCTGGGAATTGCGCTCCAGATTCCTAGTCTTCTGAGAGTCTTCTTTCAATTTTTCTAAACGTTCCAATACCTCTTCGTGCGACCATCCGGTTCTCCTTAGAAACTCCTGAAGCGGATCCGTTAAATCGATTGTTTCCATTTCCATTTTGTTTCCTATATTTCTGCACATAAAACATTTTACAATATTAGGAACGCCGTTTCAATTGCAATTGTACTTAACATGAATTATCGAAAGACTACACGAATTTAAACCTATGTTATCTTAACTGCATATCGATGCCCTAATGGCAAAACTACGTATCAATATTGATCCATGCTTTGACAACTAAAAAAAACGCAAGTGAATATTATTATTATTATTATTACAGAGGCCTTATCTGATAATAAACCCTTAGAAGTAACATCAAAAAACCAAAAAAATCATCAATCATCTAAAATAGTTAGTAGTGAAACAAAGGAATTTATATCACAGTACACAAAACACTAAATAACAAGACCAAATAGCTATTAGATAATTTAGTGGCCCTACTAATTTAAAAATTGATGGTAATGGTAATGATTTTCCGCGCGTGCCTCAACATTTCAACCACTAACCTGCACTTTGCGCCATTAACCATCCAAGCTTATTAATGATCTGTCAGCGACCATATTAGTTGTTGAGTAACTCAAGGTCATCAGTTAAAAACGAGATTTTAAATCTCGTGCAAACGCACGTTGAAAGGACCTTCCCAATTTGTTTTCATAATTGCTTCATAAGTTCATGTATTATCGGCAGGGGCATTGCCTCTATATCTCTAGTAGCTATATGGTCTTATAAACTCATAAAACCAGAAAATTGATTTAAAGTGATAGGTACTAGATAAATATAGAGGCCGCGAATACGTTAAAATTGTCTCACCCCAGGCAGCTGTAGGATTTTTACAAAAGATCGAATGGTATATCGAAGTCACGAACTGATAAAAATAGAACGCGGTGTCCATAAGAAAAATGGGAGTTGGTGAAAACATGATACGCGTCACCTCATCGATATGCAACTTTATCATTATTAAAGCTACCCTGTATATATTACTTAACTATTTACTTAGGTCCTTTAGTACTCTGTAGTACTCTCTAAACAAATAAAAATCATCGTGAAGTCAGCCTACAGAAAAAACTTGGAAATTAAGGCTAATAAGTCACCATAATCTCAACGCCCTCATTGCATAATTTTTTAAATGTTCTTGCCGCTTTTTTGACAGACATTATACCAAACCCCGGGTTGTCAGATTTACACGAAACCATTAGCAACTATCAAATTTTAAATAGGACACCATATAATGAGTTCTGCAAAAAATATTATTTTCTTAATATTAATAATAGCAAGTTTTTAATATTGAATATGATAAGTGACTGAAAAATTTTGTCAACGTGTTGGCAAAATACATTTTTTCTGCACCCATTAGCTTTTGGGTACATTTTTGCAAGACAGCACCAATATATTCACGGGTGATCAGCAGAAGTGACATGGCATGAGTGTTTAAAATTTGCCGAAAACTTCCGATCACACCTAAACCAGTGACTAGGGTACCGGAAGTGACTCCCGACCGAGAGTAACGAAGTGACACTTTCCATACTCTTGATTAGTCCATAATTGGGTATTTTGAAGTAGGGAATAGAAAAAATTATTGTCGCCTTCGTAAGTGACCCAGAAGCGGTAAAAGTCCATTTCTGTTTAATAGAACATCATTGAAAAACCACAGAATATGTAGCTAGAGAGAAACACAATTTCCTTAAAAGTTTGCATTTTTATTTAATAATTTCTGCGCTCATTAAGAGGTTTCAACCAAATATGGTAAATGACTTTATCCTATAGAAACCCAAAAAGGTTCAAAATAATAAAGTCGAATTCTAAGTAGCAGGCGGGATATTTATCCGTATCAAAATGTTGATACGTGATATTGCCACTAGACCATCGATATGCTAAATCAGTGTTTCTTAAGATATAATACAAAATAAGACAAACACGCCACTTTTATGAATCAAGTATTTTTATTTATGAAATTAACCACAAAAATAAAAAATATGCCTTACGAACTCTAAATTAGAATTTATAATTAGTAATATCTTATTGACTCTGTTCAATGCTGAGAAATTAAAAACTTTATTTTAAAACAGCTAAAATCATAACAGAATATAACTAGGCAATATGCTACAAATACCAATATTTTCAATCGTTCTCACCATTTTCTCATCATCATCATTTTGTGTATCAAACACAAATTTTGTCTTAAAATTGTGCACTACCTATATCTGAACTTGAATAATAACAGAAACTTGGGAACAAAAAAAAGTGTTTAAAAACCAGTTAAGGTATTTCTTTTTTAAATTGTACCTAACTAACGAATTGACCCAAAAATGTAAGAACGCGTTCTATTTAACAATGAATTATTAGAAATGCATACTTAAAACAACATAATAATATCTAAAAATTTAAAAACGAACTTTGTAATAAACAATTACACTGAGAGAAGAAGAGAAAGAAGATTAAAATGTAAAATTCTGATGAGAAATTAAAATTTTGCAAATGCTATCTGAATTTGAATTTAAATTGTTTGAAAGGGGGGGGGGGGCTCTTATTCATAGATACGTGCGTATATATTTGTAAACAAAGCATATTCGCATCTGAATTTATTGAAACATCTTGAATATAAAAATATCTTTTAATAGCATTGATTTTATTATTATTACTTAACTAATTTACCTAAAAAAAAATGACGAATTTCTCTCCAAAGGAGATTTGTTGATAAAAACTGATATCGGACTATATAGCTACAATCGATTAGCGTCTTCCATTCAAAATCAATCGACGATCTCAATCACTTATTCATTGGTCTATATATTACATAGTAGTTTTCAAATTTAACATTTCCACCTCATGTAGACCAGGAAAATAATATCTTATTGCTAAAGCATTGCCTATAAAACGAGAGCTAATCGCTATTTTCAAGATTACTATTACGTAAGTTCAACGCAAGCAAACTCCATTCTGTGGTCTGTGATTCTGACGCAGTTATATCCATCATGGCGTCCGTGTCGGCGAATGAATGACAAATATTATTGTTTCCGTTTTGAACATACCTATTAGGTTTATGACATCCACATAAGTTCATCAACGGAACTAATACATATTTCGTCTCGATTTTTTATTTGCAAAATTATAATACCTTTAAATTTTCTCAACCAATATATTACACAAGAACTCGCTCCAATAAAAATGGGCTGTACAATCTATTGGCCAAGGCAATTCACTGTCATAGTCATACCGTTTCAAAAGTGACAGATCGGAAGATGGCTTACGAATACGAAACGTACCGAACACCACACCTCTAACAACGAACACGACAAGTGTATTTAATAAAGCATGAACGTACTTACATAATCAACAAATAACAAAATCACAAACTATTAACAGTTGGTATTACACCACTTACAAAATAACTTAAAATACCAAGTTTGTAACGCGTAAACATATTAAATCGGATTCTTTTGCATTTTGTAGAAGCCAGTAAAACAACATGGCGGTCGAAGGTGAGGTTTCGTACAACGTTGCCAAAGCCGCTGAAATATCCTTTAATAAAGATGAACTTTTTGATGCTCTTTTTAATTATATTATTAGAATGAACTGAAACTAAAACTAGCCACTTCACAACTAAATTAAGTACCGCTTTACATATATGTAATTAATATCTTAAATTTTCTTTGTTTAGCAGTAGAAAAATTGTTTAACCAACGGAAAACATTAGGCCAAATTTAAAATTTTGACCGCAAAATACAACGTTGCTGAATTTAGCGCCATCCAACATCGAATGGAAAGAAAACTTTTGACAGATTGACAGACTTTTATACATGTATACTTGGCGAGGTGGTAAGATGAGTATGGAACGTTTGCTGTATTCAATTTTTTTGGATAAATTTACCTTGCCAAAAATTACTTCTCATAATAATTTATTTTTTCATATCTGATATTGAGCGGAACGTGAATTTATTTTTGATGTAACTGATATTTCCCTCACTCGTTTGATATATTAATACAGGATATAAATGTAAAATGAAAATGTGTTAGCAAAATATTACATTTTTGTAATTTTCAAATTCTAAATATTAAAGGCTGCAAAATGCATTATAAATTTTTTTTATTTAATTTATTTACATTTACATTTTGGACGACTTTTCAATTAACCGGAGAATAGGTTTGTACACTAACTTTTCAGCATCCTTGCCAAACAAAAAGTCGATATGGTTGAACCCTTCCATTGGAATTTTATAGAGGCTCCTTAGATTTTTTAGGTTTGCCGCTAAATTTCTAACATCCTAAAAAATAATTCCTATTGGTTGTACATAGGCAATGGTAAAAGAAAAGAAGTTGAATGATTAAAGTATTACTTACTATATAATTGGCTAGCCAGTCATTTTGGCCATACATGAGAAAAATATTTTGTTTAATATTTGTTAAATTGTATTGTGGAGGCGTTTTGGTTCCGTAGTATATTAAGTTCTTTTTGCTTCCATAATCATATTGTTGAAAGCAGCCATTATTTATTTCCTGGGCATAATGAATGACAGTTTTGGTTGAAGTTCCAGCTGGTTCCTTAGCAAATATTACAGGCAAAATATCCTACACAATGAACAAAAAAAAAGTAAACTGAAATATTTGTCAAAATAAATTGATTACCTGATTAAGTTCTTTCTTATCAAAACCACTGATTATAAAAATTATATTTTCACAAACTTGCTTTTCAATTTTTAAGAGTTCGCAGTCATAAGCTAAAAACTTCATTATTTTGTCATTGGGCAGAAACTGATTTAGACCAAAGTACCTTGCCACCCACTGCAAATTAAACTATGTAAGTATCTAGAGTTCGAGATGTAAAAGCACAACCTCAATGTCATTAGCGAATGGGGCCAAGTACTTTATTGGAGATTTTATGTGAGTCATGTATGCAACTGGGGCCAAAGCAACCATTAATGTAACATTCTCAGCAAGATTTGGTGAAGTAGAAGACAATGCAAAAAACATGGTAGTGCCCATAGAATGCCCAATGTAAGTTATGTTTTTTCGTTGTGTCACCGTATTGATATACGAAAAAACAGCAGGCAAATCTTTAGTACCCATTTCGTGCCAGCTGTAAAGTTATTTTATGATTTTCATAGAATATAATACCACTCATATCTGCCTAAAATTCCAAAACTTTTCGCTTTCTGTGGAAAGATTTATGTGTCCTTTGGAATAAAGATTTCCCCTTGCATTTCCTAACCAAACATCATAACCCTGATCAGCTAATAAAAATCCTGAAAACCAATACATGAACAAATAAGTTATCTAAACTTATACCAAATAAACCCAAAGAGTTGTTGCCATTAATTAACCAGTCTGCACTGCTTCCAAGCAGCCCATGTTGTAAAAATATAGTTTCCTCTTTTTTGTTATTAGTTTTTGCAGGAATTCGATGAAGTTTCAATAGGTATCCATCTTTAGTTACAACAACATGAGTTTCAGAGAGATATCCATGCCGAGCTATCATCTGGGGCTAGAAATGTTTTATATTTGTACCTAAATAAATAAGTCAGTTAAAAGCAAAGTGATGATGGTCAGGTAATAACTGTAATACTAATAATTGATATTTTGAATAAAATTTAGGTAATATTCATAAAAATAAAAACGACTCTTCACTCTGCGTTTTATCGGCTCATATGTATATAACAAAGCACATCGCTACAAAATAGTTGTTGCTTACCACATCTAAGTATTTATCTGGATTATATATATCAATGTTGGTTAAACTACTTTTTGAAAAACCGTTAAGGCAAATGATAAATACTAGCGAAACGTCAAAGCCCTTTAAAATGGACATCTTTTCTTTTCGGCTGTTAAACGTTGATTGGTAAAATCTGTTGCAAAATTTAGTCAGAATAATTACATAGTCTGACTAATTTAAAGTTCATCGTTCGATTTGTAATCGTTCGAATAATTAGTTATTAGTCATATTGGTTAAAAACAAGCTAATAATAAATTCAGGATTGAAAAATTATATAACCTCTATAGATAAAAAAAGCGAACGAAATAAGTCGACATGAAAGTTTCCCTTAAATTTGCAGTTTCATAAGTGATTACTCGGCATACCGTCTTATAGATTCGAATTCCACGACCCTAGTTAAATATTTATAATAATTAATTCATGACAAAGTCACAAAAAAAGGGTAAAAGCGAAATTTAACTAATTCTGAACGTGCTTAATTTCCTTTCAAACTGACAATATTGACATTTTAATTTGTGACAGTAATATGTAATTTTGTTGTTTGTTGGAACGTGTTTCTTTTTATGTCCTTAGTTCCCAAAGTGATTCCTAGGGGTCCAAGAGAGATTCGACGGGGGTCTACGTTGGCGTAACAAAAAATATGTTTTTGTCCTCCAAGATGGTAGAAATATTACCTGCAGGGAGTCCACGTTAACCAGCTAAATTTTGAAACCACTGGTTTAACGCAAGAAAATTATATGACGCTGGTGACAAATAAAACCTTAAATATATATTTGCACAATCATGATCATCCATATTCAAAGCTTTCTTTTTTTTTCAATTTAATATTTTCATCTTACCTTTTTGCTTATTTTTGCGAAACTACCTATCGAAATTATAACAGGTGATTAAGCAAGTAAAATGCAAGAATTGTTATCCACATACATGGTTCCGAACGTGCTTAGTTTCCTTTCAAATTGATATTTTTCAATTTATAAATTCGAAGTTTTTTGTGAATTGTGTTATGTCAATGCTTGAAGATGTTCAATGCATATGTTAGTTACTTTGTCTGTTTTGGTTTGTTGATCCGGCTGTACTGGATACAAAGGAACGAGTCCGAGGAACTAATATCGAGAAGACAAATTGGAGGCCAGGGCTAGTCACGGTTTCGACTACCTTGGTTAAGAATGGCAAATTTCATTTTTGTTTATTTTCTCTAAATATTCTCTAATTCGAATCAAAATGTCCAACCCTATAACATCTAATCAAACTCTATTTTGCGGTGCGTTACTGGATGGTAGAACGTTCATCATTTCATCAACATTAGATTAGTAGGTATAGTGTATCAATGCGAGCAACGAATCTGTTGGTCTCGATCTTTTTGCGGATCGAAATCGACAGAAACGCGTCCGCAAAAGTAAGGAAAGTGCCCATTGTTGCTTGTCTGTGATGCTGCATATATTATGACGATGGACTATCTACTACATTGTTCAGTGAAACGAGGAAGACGAAATTAATGCACTTGTCATCTGCGAATATTTTCACTGACTAAAAATATCTATCTGCGAATGGGAGGTTATGTAAATTTTATAAGCTGTCCTCGTAGAAAGGACGAGCGTCATGACACATAAATCACTTAAAACCGCGTTGGTGTATCGGTTTCAGCCGGTTCTCCGCTCCGCCAATACAAAGTAAAGTTTTAGCATCAACTAATTTAAATTTAAGAGATGTTCCTAATAATCATGTTTCTACATCCAACACTTAAAATCAAAGAACACAAAAGAAATATTGCTTCTGGATTAGACCTAAAAGAAATTCACCATGTAGTAAATTTGTTGTTAATTACTTATGAACTATATGGCATCTTTCACGATGCTGCTGGTTTAAGCATTCTAATTCAACTTTATTTTTAAAATTCTACGTATCAGCTGGAGAATTGTAAGTAACAGAGTTAATTAAAATAAAGGCTTACTCACTAAAGTCTTATTTCTGAAACATAGAACATCAATGGTATGAAAAGGGACTAGAGAGTGACCTAAGGAATATTTAAGCCATGCAAAATTATTAATTTTTAGGGAGTGCAAGTAGCACCACCCTGATTATTCCAACAGAATAAAATTAGGCAATAGGCACGTAGTATAGATACCTTTGTTTTTTATTAAATACAAATTTCAATTTCAATTTAATCTATTCATAATCATAAATAATCAGTAAATAATTTATATCAGTCACACAAAATACATTATACAGAAAAGAAATTATAAAAAATCATATTGGTCGGAGGAATATATTATTTGTCAATATCAAGTAAGATGTAAATGTATATCAAGTATGTGATAAAAAAAGACAACAAAGCCTATTTTTTAGTAAGGGATTTACAATATATAGATTAAAAATAATTTTATTGCATAAAGTTTACTTACGCCTATGGCCGACAGCGAAATTGTTCGAAACTGACCAGAATTTCCCATTTTTTATTACTCTACATTTTGCTGAAATAGCCCATAGTGTTATATTTTCCGCATAGAGAGTACATCATACATTCACTGTATGCAGCGAACTTCGTACTGGTTCAACGGTGTATGGAAAATTTGTTGAAATAAATGATTTTTCACCATTTTTGTCATTTTTATAATAAAGCTGGAAAGTGAGCATTTTTTTATTACGATGCCGCAGGACATATTGTTTCCAATGGGCTACTCCGGCAAGTAGGATTTAAAACAGTATAATAGACGACGTCATAACATTACAATTCTAGCTGGTTCAGAGTCAGGTTCAGGATCTCAAGGGTCATTGCCAATTCGCCATCAGTCTAGTAAGTAAAAGGGTACAGGGTAGGCAATCTGCTCACATTATATCATTGTAGTCTGAGTGTAACATAGTAGAAATCGACTTTAACTACTGATTGTCTAAACCTTTAACCATCATTAATGTTGAAGCGTTCAGATACGAATCAAACATTCCTTCTGATTGCTGCTCCCTCAGAAATATCCAGAACTTGAATTCTAAATATCGACACCGACGACCTTAAAGTGGCCCGATATTCGAAAGAATTGGGGAAAGTATTTCAACAACCAACCCTTTAAAAACATTCTCAATGTTTGTATCTGGTTTGTTAATGTTGAGGAAAAAAATTGCTGACGTTTCGCCAATCATCCTATAGACAAAACAGAATGTCTACGGCCCGTAAGTTCCTGCTGACATATGTGTTGCTAATAGTTGCGAAGGTAATAATTATTTAAAGTTCATAAAAATATTATTTCTAAAATAAAAGGTTACTCAAATAAGCCCATGCTGCCGTACCATTTAGTTCTCATGTACTTAAAATTTATATAAATTGAAAATGTTTGTTTATATTTCAAAAATGCGAATCTTATTACAGGCTTATCCTATACAGTTCTGAGCAGGCACATATCACGCAAAACCCTTATTTCTTTCTCCTTGTCTGTTGGTCTAGATGTAAAATTTCATCAAAAAATACACTGAACTGAAAAAGATTTGTAGATAGTATTATACTGCCACTGCCTGTGGAAGTTTCTTTGAAAAATGAAGTAAAAATTGTCAAATGCCAATCATTAAGAAATAGGAAATACTCTAAAGTGGCAATACGTTTTTCTACTCCCGTCTGTAAAATACCTAATTACCCACCGATCTAGCGTGCGGGAAGCGTCACTTTACTACGTCAGTTTTGTTTCCCATGCATTCGAGCCACTTCGGACATTTCCGGGATTTTACCGCACGGATTTGTGAGCAATCGGATGTTTTCGGAGATATATCCCACGCTTTGAATTTTGACGTTTGTCAATTCTGACGGTCATGTCGGTGAATGTATTCGTGGTTTGCGAAAATGTACCCAAAAACTAAAGCTCGTCGAAAAAGTATAGTATGCAACACGTTCGGTAAACTTTTTAACTCACTCGTTTATTAAAAAATCGTGAGTCAAATGCCGTTTACCGCACTTGTTGCATAATATACTAGTACGACTAAAAATACGAAAATGCCTATTCCAAGCCTTAATCTCTATTAATGATTAGTATTTGAAGAATTTTACGTAATAGTATATTATGAAACAAATGCGGTAAACGGCGTTTGACTCACGAGTTTATTTGACACGAGCTGAGCGAGTGTTTAGTAAACCAGTAACTTAAAAAGTTTACCGAACGTGTTGCATGCTATACTTTTTCTACGACCTTTAGTTTTTGGGTACATGTTCGCAAAACAACACGAATACATTCACCGACATGACCGTCAGAATTGACAAACGTTCAAAATCCAAGGCGTGGGAAATATCCCCGAAAACATCCAATTGCCCCCAAACCCGTGCGCTAAAATCCCGGAGATGTCCAAAGTGGTTCGGATCAGTGGGAAGCGAAACTAACGTGGCAAAGTGACGCTTCCCGCACGCTAGATCGAAGTGTAATTAGGCATTTTACAGACGGGAATAGAAAAAAATGGTTTAATTCCAAATTTAGTCTAATTTAAACGAAACATTTATAAACCATTGGTGTGTAATTTAGTTTAGGAAAAATAGTGCAATTACTTTCATCCACGAAAACTAGAATTGTTGCAGAAACGAATAAGCTAGTCCCCATAATATACGTATATGCAAAATTCCATCGAAAGATCATACATTACAGCCCCCTTTAGTCCGAATATGCTAATCCGAACATTATTACAATGATCGAGTCGCCTTTTTATGTGTCAAAGAAAGAACGTTACTTTGGAATAAAAGTAGGACAGAGTAAATAATAAATCCTATATGGGAGTAGCGTACATATGACGCAAGGAAGAGAAACTGCTTATGTAAATGTTTTTTTTATAATATGAATTTGATTAAATAAATAAATTTACGTACGTAATATTAATGTTGATTGATTGTGAAAATTGTAAGTGTTGCCGCTCCCGAACAGGCAAAAATAAATAATAAAAAAAATGTGCAGGGTGGGCAAACTCCGATTTTTCTATAAGAGATCTCAGTAACTACGCAGCTATGCACACATGGATGCCACACTCTCGGCCGCTATTTCCGAGAGAAACGCAATGTTGAAAACCAGAACTTGCTATTGTTTTGTCTTACCGTTTGTGTGGTTCCTGGAAAAATGAAACCAAGTACGCGATTTCCAGTTGATTTTATTTTAAATGTTACTAACTAAAACCTAAGGTCTGCACAGCCAAAATCACAAGTAGACAGCTTCGGGTATACATTTTTTCCAAAGTCCACTTGTTCAAAATTAAAAATGTAATTTTTTAGAGAAACATTGAGCCCCAGACATCGGCATCAATTTTTGTCTTGTAAAAACACATTTCCCTTCCCTTAAGTGTCTAATTTGGCCCACCCTATATAACCAAAGTGATAAATGCTATTTGGATGTATTTCATATCAAACCCAATTCATGGCCCGACATTTTTAAACAACAGTTTATAACCTTAAAACCCTATTGAATAGAAGAAAGTGAGTTATAGCTAGAACTTAAATTATTTCTATTTATTTATTTTATACCAATAAACTATATACAATTTTACCTATACTGTACACAATCGAAGTCCGTTTGAGAAAAAATAAGTATTATGGAATGTATTGTAATGTATTTTCGTGGACAAGTAATAATTTTCTTATTTTAAATAGAACACCTTGCATATGAGGGCATTTTTATTTCTTCTTATTGTGGTTTAACTAGTTTACGGTTTAATACTTTTTTAGTGGTCTTTACCTGTGAGCTTTTAAAATTTGCAAGAAGCTTTAAACAAAAAAGTTTGTGGACATTTTCTCAAGGTTAAATTTGGTCTAAAAATGCTAAAGTTAAAGTTGATGAGTAAATATGAAAAAAGTTTTCATGTATAGGGTGTTCTAATTAAAATTAGAAGGTTGTCAAGTTTTTACGATATTTTTTACAAGTTTTTAGAAACGCTAATGTTAATCAGCAAACAAGAAAAAAGTTTTCCATTTTCCGTTACTTTAGAGTGTTTGAAAAAGTACTTCATGAATTTTAATATTAATTTCTCTAGTAGAATTATTAGTCATTACTGGACACTCTGTATGAGGAAATCAAAATATTTAGAAATGATAAAGTCTTACCTAAATAGTATGAATATCTCTAGAACATTTTGAGGAATCCGAAAATGCCTTCATATGGAGGGTGTTCTAGTTAAAATAAGGTTTTCAAGTTTTTATGATATTTTTTTTACATGTTATGAGTGTCACCACAATAAATAGGCCAATAGGTGCAAGTCATGATAGGTTGGGAGGAGAACGACAGCAAATGGTAAATCTAACAAAGATTATTCTGCATCATTTGAGATGAGATTCTTCTTTTTCGAGTATCCAGTTAGCGCTTTCAACGCCTTGATTTTCTTATTCAGTCTCCGATTGGATTGTCGTAATAAAATAATTTTTTTCCTCAGACATGTCGTCTCTTTTATGGCAATGGTTCTACATTTGATCGCTTTAACAGGGTCCACCATATCTTCTGCCTTAAAATCAGCTACGTAGCGATATCGTGCTGAAAATAATTTCTAATCAAGAAAGTTTACTTTTATTACTTTCTGAATGGGAAGAAAAGGATGTGTTTTATTTAAATAACTATTTAGGATAACAAAGTGGTTATTGACAATAAAAGATTGTAGTATATTAAAAACGCCACACAATGTCAATAAACGTTTTGTTGTTCTGGGGCATTTCTATTTATAATCGTTGCTCAAAAAAATAGGGTGAATTTAGATATACCGTGTATTATATCATTGGTAAATAGAATTACAAATCTTCTGGATTTCTCCTGCGTCGGTTTTTGCTGAGTCCAATTTGCTGACGTTTCGCCCTTCATCCTGTTGGCGTCTTCAGAGCTTGACTGAAACTGGCTCGCATTTTACTCTGTACCTGTTTATATATTGTTTGAGGGGGCGGAGCTAAATGAGGGGCATAAACACCGTCTCGGAAACTGATTTTCATATTGGTGACAGGTAGAGACCTGAGTCGCGGTTAAGATTGTTAGGTTGTTTGTATATATCTATAGACTCTCGGATTTTTCGTTGATAGAAGAATTAATTACGTGCAAGTATTTTGGTTACAATGAATAAAATTTTATGCCCAGTTTCGTGATTGTGTTTGGCAACAGCTGATGAGTTTATTTGTCTTAGTCGTAAGACTCTTTCGTGTTCTTTGAGCCTAGGTTTTGACGTTATGCTTCTAAGAAAAGTAAGGTAAAGAAGGACCACAGTGGCAAGTGTACAATTACTTTCGGCCTCATTGCTATTGGAAGGTTGTGGTGAAATGAATTTTTTGATGGAACGCTTAATATCTTTAATGTAGAAATTATTAGAGAGAAGACCAGAGGTAAGGTGTTTTAATTCTCGGTTCAGTGACTCGGTCTGAGATAGTTTTACGGCTCTGTAAACAAGAGAATTGATAACCGATGATTTTTGGACCGGATGGTGATGTTACCATGCATTAATAAGGTATCAGTCTGTATGCGAAGGTTTTCTGTAAACACAGTGACCCAATGTTAGGTCTGATTTTCTATTGATAAGAATATCTAAGAATGGAAGGTTATTATTAGTTTCCAACTTAATGGTAAAACGTATGTTAGGGTGTATAGAGTTTAAATGTTTAAGAAAAGCTGCAAGGGTTTCTTGACTGTGAGGTCAAATAACGAAAGTATCAAGTAGTATCAAGTAGCGTTTCCATAATTTTGGTTTCAGATATAGAGGTTCCAACTTCCGCCCTTGCCCCCCATATGATCCCAAAAGAGGAAATCATTTCAAATGTTGAGTGAAATGTTTCAGTCAAGCTCTGAAGAAGCCAACAGGATGATTGGCGAAACTTCAGCAAATTCGACTCAGCAAAAACCGACGCAGGAGGAATCCAGAAATTTTGTAAAAAGTATTACAGTAGCCTGTGGAAGTTTTTTTGAAAAATTAATAATAGGCTTCTTGTTTTTCCTATATACTGACCATTTGCATTTTTGTTTATATATAGAATTTTAGTAAAGTTTTAAGTATTAATGATACATGAAAGTGCTTTTATTGTGCTAAATCTTTCTCAATTTGTTGCATGCTAAGTGTGCTGCAGACTTTATTTTTTCTTCGACTTTCTTGATTTGTGTGACTATTTGATTATTCATCCCAAAGTTTGCCCTATTAAACAAGTTGTTTTACATACAAAATCATAACCCACCTTTATTGCTTCTACTACGAGATGTTGTTGATGCTGTTGGTTGCCCCGTATTGATACTCAAAGGATCCACTGCAAAATTAGCAAATACACAAGAATAAAATGTAGGTACACTTTGAAATACTACTAACAACTTTTGACACTAAATCAAAACAAAGTTACTGTTACTCCCAAAATGCAAAACTTTGAAAAAAATCATCGCCCAAATGTTTAATTTTAAGTACTTTGTACAGTGTGTCCCATTTGCGGAATATCTATATTATTATTATTGTGAATCGAACGAAACCTCAACCTTCAGGAGCAGAGGGATAGTAAAGCTGTGGGAAATGAAAATATTAAAAAAACTATTGAGTTTAGGCATAGCATAATGTTATACAAAATTTGTTTAAAATTAACGGTAGGGGATGTAAATAAGAAAAACCATAACACAACTATCGAGAACTATTGCTACATAAATAGGTCTTAATAGATAATGGCAAAAATCCCAATTTTACTTTCGAGGAAGACCATACAAAACAATGCTGCTTTTTATAGTTTATTTGAAAACAAGAGCCAGTTCCGAATTTTTTTCCAATGCCACTACTAAATTATAAATTGTCTAAACATCAATATTATGATGAATCTGTGAAATTTTCGGAGGTTTTTATATAGAATATTATGCAACAAATTTGATATATGGTAGTCACGAGTTTAATTTCGCACAAGCGGAGCGCAACCAAGCGAGTGCTTAAAAAATGAGTGACTGACGAAGTTTATAAACGTGTTGCATACTATAATTTTTCTATAACCATCAAACAAAATGAATGAAAATGAAACAAACATGCTGTATCTGCCTACAATAAAAAAAGAATAATTACCTAAGTTGATCACTGGGACTACCTCGATTTCACCAATCCCAACATGTCTAGAGCTCTGTCTTGAATCAGCATCTAAATGAAAATGAAAACATTCAGGATGATTTGTATCTCCAAATTTACTAATTGCACGATAAATTAAAATAAATTTCAAAATCTATCCTGAGTGATAAATTGTAAGGTCCAAAAATCGATAATGTTTTTGATGTGACATGATAGCTACACGCTCTCCCGTTGTATTGCTTGAAGAGACCCTAGCAGATTTTTGTAAAGATGCGGTAGTACTTGAGTAATTTACTTCACAGAAGATTCTTCTTTTGGAAACGAATCCAAAAATTCAGAAATCCAGAGTTACAAAGGACCTAGTAGTAAAATAAGAGAAGATAATATGATGATTATACAAACTAACAGTGCTCCAGAAAACTTTATAAAATTCTTCACATTATTACTAAACACAAGTAAAATTTCCACTATGTACATTCTCTTTGGAAGCTAAGAATAGAATGAATTGGCAAGCATACAATGTTTTAGTTTAAGTCATACAACTTCCAACAGGCCGATGGGAAAGATTTGGGTTTTAATTATTTGAAACTGTCCCCATCCCAAATTAAAAAATCAATTAAAATCAATTACCTGTATCCATTGCTGCAAGTACTTCCACTTTATCAATGCCAACATGTTGTGCATCAGAACTTATGTAAAAAAAATCTTGATCCCAACAATCCTTTGAATCAGAAGAGAAATTGTTGAGGATATCTGAAATCGATAAGCATATTTTACGTTTCAAGAAAGAAACTGCGAAGTCTTGAAAAATATTACACTTACATCCATTGCATTTAAGGGTTGACTGTAGTGTATATTAAACTTCCGACACTTTAACTTTGTGCAAATTTCCCTAATTCTTTTTTATTTTTAAAAATGTTGCATTTTAAAATATCTCTTGTATGTTTTCCATATGATAACTTACTCCGGAGCCAACAACTCTCCGTTACAAATTTTGCAGTCAATATTTTGGTTAGCGCCGGTCTAAGAATAAGTATATTCAGGACAGGCAAAAAGTTAAACCCTGTATAGAATTTTTTATTTCTATTGAGGCTTTTCAAATATATACATTGAACACACAAAATTAAGATTTCATTTTTAGGTTATATTTGTAATTGTTTATATGTTATTGTGTAGTTAAGAAATTATATGTTTTAAAACTTTAAATTATTACCTTTAATTAACAAATTAATAAAAATCCTGAAGAAGACAGAACCATCTTTGGGTGTACGATTTGGGAAATTTTACCGAGGTTCAGGTGTAAACATCCGACGAAAATAAATAACATTTGGCCATGCATCATGATGAATTCGGCATATCTTTTGTCTCCAGGACAAGCCATAATTAATTGTTAGTCTTACAAGCCTCCTTTCCGTAGCTAAAAAGACTATTTACCGTTTACTTTTATTTCATTTACTTTTTATTGATAGCTCTCACAGCAAGTTCTTAAGTTTGCGCATTTTGTTTTTAAATCAATTATAATAAATCCTGGTGATGAGATTTCAAATTATACCTAGGGGAGAAGAGAGATGACCAAAATTTAAAATTAGTTTAATGGAAATCGACAAATTTGACTATTTGTGTCCAAATTTGAAAGATCTCCGCGATTTACAAATAAAACGAACATTTCTTCTACCCGTGATAATACGTACCATAAAAAGAATAGTCAACCCTTGAATGGAAAACATTGATGAAGGGAAAAAGTAGACGCTGTATTGGTGAGGTATTTGTTTGTGCTTAAGTTAAGTTAACTTGGTTATAAACTAATATAATAAGAAACAATAATTTCACCTGAATCATCTATCAATTCGCAGTCAACTTCCACTGGCTTGAATGAAGCAATGTCACGTTCTGTAAAAAAAAACCTTGATGACTATTTAAGATTATATCCAGAACGCAGTTTTTGATTTCATTTGATTATCTTCTGTTATGAGGATAAAAGGTTAATTACCCTAAAAGAATCCAATAAAATAGGATGGCGGAAAAGAAATAAATTATGAAATTCATAAAGTACCAGTGGAATGGGTAAAGAAATGTCTCAAAGATTTGCGTGAAACGGTACCATTTTTTTTGCCCAATTTCTTTTAATGTTAATTTTAATGCGTAAAAAGTTATTTTAGAATAATAAATAATATTTATTGTATAATAATGTTAACCCAAATTTTATTTTAATTGTGTTTATCAGGTTTACTCAAAAAAAGCAGAAACTTATTTAATTTTTAGCTAATATTTCTTTTAACGAGTTTAAAGTGCAATAGGGTCTATGAACAAAAATACAAAAATATGGTTGTTAATGGAAAAATAAAATGAGCAAAAAGTATATTTACAAAAGATATAAAACAACATACATAAAATCATCCAGTAATATTGGAAGATCATTTTCAATGAAACTTAAATAACGAATGGCTGTGAGCCATTCTTCAATTATAAACGGACCAATGAGGTGGTCATCAATAATGCCACACTAAATATTCACGGAAAATCTATCTAGAAAATGGGATTCCCGAGTTTGTCGTGGATTTTCAAATGCCTAACAATGTGAATTCCTGGTGTTATTGATACCCTTTCGGGTGAATGAGGGTTCATCACTAAATAATATTATCCCACAAATCCTTTGATTTTTAAATATTCAGCAACTAAATTTAAGTCTTGAAGCATAGTCGGAAGATTTTAAAAGTTGTACATGTAAAATGTGGTAGGGGTACAAACCAAAATTGTATAAAGTTCTCGATATTCTCATCCGGCCTGCATTAAGTCTATTATGAATTCTTCGGTAATTGCTAAAAACAGTTCTAGGAGGCGCTCTACGAGTGGGAAATCGTCGACGATATTCATCAACTACCGCTCATCCGTCGCCATTACACAATTCATAAACAAAGTGAATGTGAGTATTTTCCATTCGAAAACGTAAACATTGTACCTTGGAGAGTATTTTAATGTAACATACGAAAATAAACACACAAAATTAATTTAATTGACATTTACTGCCATAATACTTAAGATTTACAGCCACCTGGATTTTTTAATAATATTAGCAGCAAAGTAACAATAGAGCAACTAATTCAATAAAGCGGTTTGTTTTGAAATGATCTTTAAAATTTCAAATGCATGTAGCCCAGTCGTTCTGGGTATGTTCATTTTGCATTTTTAACCTGAAATCATCCCAGCAACACACTCCCAAACAATGGCAGTCATATCGTCATATATATAGAACTTATAGCCACTGAAAAAATGGCTGTAACAAAGTGGCATCTGCCAAGTAGGGTAGAGTGATAATCAGGCAATAGATAGCCAAGTGAAAATGATCATAATATTATCTACCTAAAATACATGGTACTGCCCACTTTTTCAAGTGTCTGCCATCTGTCCTATAGCTTAAGGGCGGAAAATGATCACCACATATATATGCTCTAGTGAAGTTATCAGTCTCTCTGGCAGCTCCATTTTCAACAAGGAATGTTATCCATTGCTTCCTTATAATTTCATCATTTGGCAAACTAAAAAATAAAATATAACCTGAATGAAACTAACTGTAAAAGTGTAAGTTTTTGAAAAAAAAAAATAGTTGCAGTCTACGTCACTTGAGAGACTTGTTAAGTCTCTATAACATACATAAATGTTGTAATTTTATGAATATTGCAAACTACTAAAAATTAAAATTGAAAGTTTTCATCATTAAATTTAAATACAAATAAGGCACGACTTACCCGTGTATAGGCACACTATTTTTCCCACAAATTCGACCGCAAACACAGCAAGTTTTTTTATTATGGGATACTTTCATCATGAAAATGCACGAAAAATGCAGGAAGACAAATTCAATAGAAGAATAGTTTAGGTAATCCAATACCATCTATGATCGAAACGTCACAAATATAGAGTAAAGTGAACAAGTTTGTCTATGAATTAACCGTTAATAACCATATATCCAAGTTAATAATCATAAAAAGAAGATAAAAATGTCCAAACAGAAAGTCCTCCTATCCGCCTTTGGTCACAGACCGATAGACTAACCAAGGATGTCTATTTACAGTACAGTCATCGATAATAAGGGCCAACGTTGCCAATAATGGCCGGAATTTTCCAGACGTTTTTCTAAATGCGGAGTGAAGCATGCGCGAACTATCATTCGATCGCGAATTGTAGGTAAAATTTTATAGCCGGCGCACGAGAATAAAGAATTCTATATTTACGACATTAAATTTTTTTTTGCCCAATTTCTTTTAATGTTAATTTTAATGCCTAAAAAATTATTTTAGGATAATAAATAATATTTATTGTATAATAATGTTAAAAAAGCAGTATCTAATCCGCCTTTTTTGCTGTTCTTTCCAACATTTTGGAAGCAAATTATTTGCAGGAGAGACTAGCAGTAATAAGAGTTTTATTTATCTAGTGTTCTGTCAATCGTTCATTTTACGAAGTGACCGATTTCGAAAAGGACCGAATCATTTCAATCAATCATTCATTTTAATAGTTTTTGTTGCCAATATAAGCGGCAATAGTCACTGAATCTGAACGACCGATTCAGATTCATTTGAATTTGAATTCTTATTATAATATGTGTTGAATTATTGTTATAATATTTAGCTGTGTTCTGCTTTTTATTATATCATGATTTTATCAAAATAGGTGCTACGTATTCAATATTCAATTCAATTCAATTCAACATATAAGCAAATCTACCGATCGATATCGCAACTCAATACCATAGAATAATTATAACAAAACTCCCATTCCTTTTTCGTGGCCTGTCTCAGTCATGCATTTAAATCTTAAGCCATTCGAATGAATCGTATTCCGCAAGGCGAATTCGATTTGTTTTGGTACGATCGGTCGTCCTGTATTCGGTCACTTTAGACCGGTCAGGGCGGCAGCGATAGCGAAGAAGGTGATCGAATCGTTACGAACAAGCGGGATTCGGTCGTTCGATCCTATGAATGATTGAATCAAAGGGACCAAATCAATCGTGATTGACACAATTCTAATTTCTCCCCTTTTTGAGGTTAAATCATTTGCTAGAGGGGAGTTTGTTGAATCATTTTAATCGTTTATACTTGGAACTAAGTGTCTGCGTTTTGTTTTTTGCCTTTTGAATGATTATGTAAAATATCAAAATCAATGTTGTGCATTTCTGAATTTAAATAAATGACATAGTTAGAATCCCAACTTTTATTTTTATAGGAATTGTTATGTTCGTTAATGCGTTTCTTAAATGTTCTACCTGAATTTTGGGACAACATCCACATTTCAACTTGTAGACTCCAGATTTTTGAGTTTTTCATAACTTAGTTTTATTGTTTTTTAGAAAATGGCCTATGATGTTTTCAGTTTTAAAGGCAATATTATTAACAAATTTAAATAGATGTTTTGAAATTTTCTTGCTAGATTCTCCTATGTATTCTATGAAAATCTGAACATTTTTTGTTCTAGTTTAATTTGTGTTAAATGGATTTTCAAGGAAAAGCCACCTCGGTCCTATTTTAACTTAGTGTATATATTAAATATTTTGACACCTATTTTACACAATTATATGGCAAGTGATGAAATACTCTAATTAGTAATATAAAGACATTTAAACAATTTAGGATGTTTAGAGAACTCTGTAGGTATTAATCACTTAGTTTACCCACAAATTTTATATATCGGTGGGTAGAATGTCCGGTATCAGGTACTCACATAAATCCATTTCCGAATTTACAAATGTTACCTTGGAAGCTGTATTTTCATCTAGCCTAAAATTCCCATATGTCGGTTCTAAATGGCTTCAAAATGATTTTTACTTACCACCCTCGAATAATGGCCCAACAACCAGAAAAAATGGTAGGAGCATTAATGATAAGACATACACCTAACCTTTCAGGGTAATGTCTACTCAGTAACCAAATCAAATTTTTAGTTAACTGATAGTCCATTGAGTTTAGTCCAAAATCCTTAAGATCAAAAACTATGCACAAATTATCTACAACCTCCTCAAAACATTTTTTGCAGGCTTCTTCCTAAAATTGATGGTCTCATAAGTTTTAAAATTAAAAAAATATATTGATTAGCCTACCAAACAGTATACAATAAACTTTGTTAATTCATCTAAATCACGGGTATTAACATTATGGTATTTTCCTGGGATATATATCACTGGTCGACCCTGCATGTCTCTGTGCTTCAATATTCTCGCCTTGTTGGCTTCTAAATTTTTTTTAATCTCCGGTGTTTCTTCATTTAAATTAGCCACTCCATATTCTTTCCTCCATTTATTAGTTTTCAAAACTGCCTAAAATTGATCACCTTTAAGTAATAACCAGTAAGCTTACAAAACATACCTGAAATGCATTGTCAACGGTTTTGAAAGCTTTTAAATATCGTCTAAGTGAAAAATCATTGTGGTATTGTAAAGGGTCTGCTTCAAATATTAATTTCATTCTAGACTTTAAATCCTGAAATTCATTTTCGTTAGCATTGTTTTGATTTCCCGGCATTATAAACCGAAATAAGTAACATATGCAGAAAGTCAGGTAAATGAGATATTTATCTTATCGTCCACAAAACTGAAACATTGAGACAAAAAGTGTCAGATCCTTTTCACAACAAACAAAATAATTTCGGGCTGATCTTTTCTTCCTCTTCCCTACTTCCATCTGGTTCTTCTTTATTTTCATTGGGCAACATTGCTACGATCGATTGAACGGTTTAACCTAAATTCAACCTGGCAGAGTATTTCAAGGCTTAGGGTAATTTTCATCATCCTTTTTAAACTAAGCTTATTGTGATTAAACGGTACCAAAAATTAAATGTTCATATGTCGTATTGGGAAGGCTACAACAGCGGGTGTTCATAATTTGAAACTTTAATTTGGTCCAACGGTAGTCAAGCATGTCGAATGAAACGAAGCACATACAGGATTCGACAATATTCACAGAGTATAAAAATTAAAATTACTTTGTTACACATAAAAGTACGTTTTGTCAATTTCGATTTTTTTTTTACTTAAAAACAAGCCAAGATACGAAAACAACTTAACAGTCAAGAAAGTTGTACTTTTAGTGACTTATTAAAAGGAGAATCAAATTCTTGTGTTAAAACTTGGAATAACAAAAATAATTAAAACAACTACCAAAACTTAATGGTTTTATTTACAATATGCATATTTATATAATATAAACAATACTACAGTTATCACACAAATTTAACACTACTAAATAAACGGCTAACAAAAGGTAGCTATAGTTTAGATCAGCCTTATTGAGATTGCTTGGTTAGAGTGACCAAATAAGGGCATAAGGCAGTAGTACCTCAAATGGTAAACACTTAGGAAAAAAACTTTTAGATTACTTAGCTTCATCTATTCAAAAAGTTTTTAGTGCCGAGTAGTTTTGACGATATTAAGCATAAATCAGAATCAAATATCTATGCCATATATGCCATTTTGGTTCAGATAATCTTGTACTTCTAATAAATGTCTGGCTCATAATTGTACTCAAATTGGCTCAGCTATATTGAAAAATGTTTAATTATACGAATTAATACGAAAAAAAACGTAAGGCAAAATGATTTATTACTAAAATTATTAAAAGCCCAATTTCAGTGTTAATTGTGTCGAACTATTATATCCTTCAAAACTATTTGGCTTGTCTTTTTGTTAACTTGGGTAATAATAAATTAATTAGTGACTATAATACTAATAGAATCTAACTTTGTCCAACGTTATTTATATAGATTTTCCCTAAATCCTTATGCCTTACCATTATCGAGATGCAGCAACTATATACTCTTATGAAGATAAGATGTCAATTTTCAATATTTTAAAGGGTACAGGGGCTCTAGACATTTTTGCTCTGATTTCGGGGATGCGTAATGTTTAGGAATAAAGAAAAGTTGCCTTTTACTGGATTACATTGTTTCGGCATAAATTTCAATTTCTGAAGTTTTATAATAATGGTAAATTCTTTTCTTCCATTTTTAAAATATTTTCACTGTGAACGCCCTGTATATTTCATAATTTTGCACGCAGTTTTATCATGTGACAACCTCGCAATAAACAGACGCTTACACCGTCGTCATTATAGGGAAGTTTAATCTCCATTTTATTTGCGTATTGTACTACGTCGGAGTGTGCTTTCCTTTTTTTATATCATGCAGCAAGTGTGGTAAACGGCATTTGAGTCACGAGTTTATTTGGCACGAGCGGAGCTAGTGTTCAATAAACGAGTGATCCAACGCGTTGCATACTGTACTTTTTCTATGACCATTAGTTTTTTAGTATGACATGCGTGACAGCCGTGCGTTAAAATCTCCGAAAAAATCCGATTGCTCCCAAACCCGTGCGATAATATTTGTTAATTTTATTCTATTATGTCGTGTATTATTTCTGCATATTATTACTTATGATGGTAGATTTCCAATGATTGAGCTGTTTTTGTCGACGTGTTACCACCACAAGTTTTCCTAATTGATAGATAATCGATGCATGGCAATATTCCTCTCTGAAGAACTCCCATTTTAACCGCTTTTTGGACTGATGCTGAGTTTGTGTAATTTCTGCTTTTTCTGAGTGTCCCAATTAGTTTCGTTCTTTCAGGGTTTTTAGGGGGATATGACAATATCTTTTGAATCTCTGATTCCATTTTGTGAACTCTAGTTACATGCCTGGCCAAACATTGCATCAGAAGTTTTAACCAATTATGTCAATTACAACAGTAAATGGCTTGCTAAATTAAATCATCATAAATCATAAATTTGAATCATCAGAAGTACCCTCAAGGTACATTTAAGGCATTTGCTTAAATTTGCTTTTTAAAGCGTTTGTCAAATACATAGTTACCAACATTATTTTTTTAAACTAAAACTATTGTTAAGACAGTTTATAGTTTTTGATTTTGACATGTGTTTTAAAACAGTAAAAGTGCATTAAATTTTTGGTGATGAAGTTTTAAGAATTTTAGACAACATTATCCGGATCGGTCAAGTCTCTTTAAAGCATGTTGAAAAATCCAAAAACTCAAATCAATAAGATCATTTGCCCTAACTTTGGCGTTTTACTCTCCAAGGGCCTACAATTTCGTAAGAAAAACATTTAATAAGTCTTTATTATATTATGGTACAAATTAGAATATGGTTATGCAATTTGGTGTTGGATGAAATGTCAATCAGGCGACAGGTAGAATCGACAGGAAAATTTTTCTGGTTATGTGGATGTAGGAGCAAATTTGTCAGAAGCAAAAGAAATGTTAGTTTTGGTTAGTTGCTTGTCTGCATAAATAGGGCATGGGAAATTCCAGTGGCCTATTTTTTCATAAATGTGTTAGCTGGTCTTGAATGTGATAAAGCTTGTCAGAAATTACTTCCCAAACATATATGGTTGATAGAAGTCAAAATAAAAAGCAATAAAATTATGTATCAAAATATGTAAAAACAAAATTTTGGTTTGCATGCCGCTAATAAAATTATAAGGTGACATTTACAGTGGGCACGTAAATAAATTAAAGTGACGCTGAAAACTCAGATTGAGCAAACGTGGCTTTGATGCCGTATTATTTTTATCGAAAGATTTTGAGCCCGATTTTGTAGGTGTTGATCTTCCAAAAGTACAAAAACAAAATGATATTTTGGAAACAGCAGCATGCGCGCCTCACAGGTTGGAAACCACTATCTCAGCGGAAAACAGGGTTTTTGGGATTTTTAATATGTATTAAAAGGTTAAGGGATATTTATAAATTACAAATATTATGTTATTGGAAAAAAGGTAAAATGGATCATTTGGATCTTTTTTTGGGGCAATAATAAAACTGCCAGGTAACTTGAGGCGTGTTGTAAAAAAACTTTGTCACAGATGATACTTTGTCTATTATTTCAATTTACTATTTGCAAATTGACAATTTTAATCACGCACGCCAATGAATAATTTCCCCTGACGGGAATGATTTTCTCCTAACTATGAAAGTTACCATAGCAACGATTCATATTTTGGCAGCACCTCTCTCCCCACTCGTCCCTTGCCACATGCATATAGTGTCATCACAACAATGGCAATTTCATGAATGATTTATGCGGTCTCTTTTAGTTGGACCTTAAGTGTTTGAGACCGTGTAGGTGGACTCAAATCTTTAAATGTTGTAGTCAGAGTATCTATATATTATTATATATGTATATATTGTTAACAAAAGATGTAGGCAATTACATATTTAGAAAGCTCAAAACAACTTCATTCCACACCTGAAATCAGTACTACAGTACAATACAGTACATACAAGAGCAAATAAAATAAGATATAAAATGACTTATATCGACTTCTCAAGGATTTTTTAAAATTATTTATGCTAATATCCCTTAGAAACTATAAACTGTAATGTCACTAATTTAATGTATATTATAAAATGTCACATTTTTAGTAAATATAGTTCATAAGAATTAAACTTCTCACCTACGTGGTGGATTTGACTTCTAGTCTTGTGATTGTAGGACACTAACACTTTGCAATTAACTAACTAGCAAATAAGTAATGATTGTTCACCTTAACTGGGGTTGCTTGAACCACGTGTATACCGGGTGACATGCCTATTAAACAATCCTCAATATAAACTGCATTTTAGGATTGAAAAGGCGGGGATTTTTGGATAACTAATTATTAATTTTTTTCGTATTTCTTTTTTTTATATGACTGACTGATCTGTTTTACACAAATTTTTCTAAAGCTCTGAAAAGGGCCAACAGGAATTACTCATTAAGCTAAGATTATTGGGTGTTCATGGCCATTTTTTTGTACTTCTGAGGCATTTGGATCTTTTTCTAATTGGTGCAAAATTAATAATATATATAAAATGAATAACTCTCAAATTTCATCCAATAAAGAGATTCATGATTTCTTTCAGTCATGGCACCTAGAAGTCAAATGAGTTTTTGGACCAGTGACCAGTTCACTTAAGCTCCAAATTGATGACAGCATTGGAGCACTCGATTCAAGTGCATATCTGGCAATTGCCTGGCAAACATTTTACATATGCATGTAATGAGGGGAGAACATTTTTTTGAAAAATTGTTCCTAATATAAAATGTTTCAAATTTAAATTTTGTAGTCCATTCCAAAATATTATTTACTAAAATGTGATCGGAAAGCGGGGAATAGTTTCTTTAAGATTCTTTAATGTTTTTCAGGTTTAAAATTATCGGTTGTTCTAAAAAATTACTCGGATTCTGTAAAGATTCAAATGCAATAAAATTGTTAAAAAGGTCACTCTACACATTGCCACAGAGCACTCACTAAAATTTTCGGTTTCTTAGAAACCCACATTTCAATGCGAAGCATATAAAAATAAATCCCAAAGATTACAATAAAGCATACTTAACTATTGGTTTGCTGAATGAACAGTTTATTCTTTTGCCTCGTTAATTTCGCCTGAGAGGAAGGAATTGATGCTTGAAGCTGTCTTGGAACTATTTCGTGCCTCGCTATCCTGGTAGTAAATCTTGTTATTAAACTGTTATTTTTCTCTACTAGTTTACTTGTGCCGCACATCGATCTTGGAATACTTTGCTTGCCTACGGAGAAAACATTATTAACAGCGGCATTAATTATGAGACCTAAATGGATTTTTGCGTTTGTGGTTTGAATTCTCCCGTTGTTTTTTTAAAGATATTTTATTTTGAACTTGCAGTCAGACAGAAACAGTTAACTTTGTCAGGAACTCATAATCGTATGAGTTTAGGAAAAAATCCTATTAAGAAAGTCGACCAAGAGAAATTTCTGGGAATATTTAAGTTTCTCATTCAGGAAATATGATATTTTTTGCATCAGGAATTTGGCAAACTAAGTCACGTTTGGAAATGAACAGTTTGTTTATTGCCAAATTGGTTAGTTTTGGTTTGTTATTTAGCAAATTACAAGTACTACGAAATTTTACAATGCAATGAAAAGAATAGTAAATAATCGAGATGGGTTAGGAATTGAAATAAAATTAATTTTAGGTGAAATTAGAAAAATGGATAAGGTCAAAACCTGTTGTGTAAAAGTTTACATATGGAATTACGGTAAACATTTTAGTTTATAGAGCGTTACTATTTTGCGTTATAGCGGGTTCTTTTAAATCAAATAACCAGTAATTATCACAGTATTTTGGCGCTTCAAAAAATTTTACCACAAAGATTTTTTTACTATATTATTAAATTAGCATTTTGTTGTCATAACTCAGTAACCAATAAAGATATTCACATACAGTTTTAAAATTTTTTCATGCAAATTCAGTCTACCTTTTGAATTTCTAAATAAGACAAATTTTCCAAATTTTCTATAGTGCCCTTGCGGACTACTATGTAACTTTCGCAAAATCGATGTAATTTTATTGTGCATACATCCTGTATAAACGGTCTTCCACGTCTCGCTGAACTTCAAAGTTACAGCAAACCTTGGAAACATTAAAGTTTCTACAAATAATAGCAATTTTCAATGATAATCTCGCCACCCTTTATGACAGACGAAATCTGAAACTCTCTCTCGATACAGTTTACGATACTGTCTAAACCAAATTATCACATATTTACCAGTTTTTCATTTACCGCCAAAAACTTACCCACAAAAACGGAAATTTTTAAGATCTTTTAGATTTTTTCCCCATAAACGACACACCCTGTATATAATTCAAACAATGTTCGAAATAGAGGTTATAGCCCTGAATGTCCCACTTTTCCTGGTATATGAATTTTTACAATAGAGTAAACGGTTTTTAAGAACCTACTTGTTTTCTGAAACCAGGCAGTACTCCGTAATAGTAAATTTTTTCTTATACTTACATTTTTTAATATAGCACAGAATATCCAGAACACGCTGTACAATATATAAAAAACTTAAATAAAAAAGGTTTAGCTGCCCATACGGGCTTTTTAGTCATGTAAAAGAAACTGACAACTGAAACACACAGTTATGATCAATTACCATTATTAGGGGACCTTAATTTTTAGTTTTTTGCGAGTACCGGCCGCACCCTGTACATTTTTGAAAATTATGAAGAATAAAGCTTTATAGAACCTGATGGCTTGGATTTCTCGTTCAAAAATTTTTTCGATACCATAAAAATTATTTGAAAATTGACTTTCTTCTTGGGCCATTGCAAACGCGATTTTTAATTTTTAAAAAATATTTCCCGACCCCCGCAGACACTTGGACACTTATCCTGTTTCATAGCGATGTCTAAAAAACAGTCGAAAATCGAAAAAAAAAACAGATTTCCGACGTTGGACCGCGGCCGTTTTCATTTATCTAGTGCAGCCTGCGGACTGTTCAAAAGGAGCAAAATTTCAACCGTCTAGCTCAAACCGTTAGGAAAACTGCAGAAACAGAGAACAGACAAAAAAAATTTTTTTCGACGCTATACCGAATATATATACGACATCTATACCAAAATCGATTTTATCAATTTTTCCAAAAATAACAAGTAGACAAGTAGTAAATACAAAAACTTACCGAAAACTTTTGATATCATTCTTTTATCATCCCCACCAGTATTATCATTTGCCAGGTGCCGCAAAACCAAATGGATCTTATCCTCATGTTGCTGCTGCAGATTAATAACCCTTCTTTCACCTTCTAAACGCACTTGCTGTAGAGTGTGGCTCAGATTCTGAACTCTACTGATCAAAGTCTCGTTCTGAGTTTCATAGTCATTGACCTGCACTTCCAATTTCTTGCTGCTGCTCCGTAAGTCAATTACCTTATGAAAGTATTTATACAGCAACATTCTCATTTCGTTTTCGTTAAGTTGCATCAGTCTATCCATCATCATAACCTCGCTCTGCTCCTCAACCTTGTCCACAGCTTTCTCATTTATGTTTCTGTGCCCACACAATATTTCATTTTTGTATTCAATGGCTAAATCGATGGCTTCAATTGCTTCTTCGTACTGCAGCAGCTTTCTTTCTTCAATTTCGTTAAGAATTTTCTTATTCTGAGATGTTGTATCAATTTTGAATCGTTGCTCAAGCAGATACTCTCTAGTTTTTCGCAAGTTGCGAATTTCATGTCGATATCTTTCTAGATCTTCAGTTGAAAAAGAAATACTGCATTGTGGAGAATAAACGGTGGGAAGAAAAACTAAAGCTTTGGAATCATCTTGGCTTTTTTTCTGTTTATCTATGCTGTCGCAACTATCTTTGGAAACATTTATTTTCTTCTTCTCGCCTTTTAGTTGAGACTCGCAATTTAGTTTCCGCTTTTCATCCCTCTTCTTGTGTTTCTTTAGCTTTTCCAATTGCTTCTTTGAAGTATGCAAACTGCTTTCTAGCTCCATAACCTTTCTATTGCCGTCATCCGTTATATTTTTTAAATCTTCAATATCTTTTAGTTTCGATTCCAGTTCATCCAATTCATCTTTATATTTAGCCTCCAGATAACGATTTTTATTTACAACCGCTTGGGACACCTTTTCTTGCACACTTTCAAACTCCTTTTTTAATTTTTGACACTTCAATTCAATTTTCGAATAAGCATGAGATTTGGTATCCCTATGTTTCAACAATTGGTATATTAAATTCTCTTTAACTCTTATAGTTTGCTCCAGATCATTTATTTGTTTTTGATAACCCTGTATTGCAATATTTAACTATAACAAAATATGAAAATAAATTAATAATTGGAATATTTTCTGTTAATATTGTTACCTGTTTAATTAACTTCTTTCTGAGCTCGTAAGTCATAGGGGTGTTGGAAACATCCTTCTGCTCGTTTTCAGTTATAACGTCGTCTTCACTTATCATCGAGGAATTTACTGATACATTGGGTCGTAGTTCTTCGACAGAATGTATGCTGATTCTTCTACCTCGAGCTCCTTTTAAGCGATATATCGCATTGGGTGAACTATTTGTGCATCCTTTTATGTGAGAGTCACCATTTGCGTCCATATTGTTGGCTTTGGAAATTAAGGCATCTGTAGTGGTTTGGAAATCTTCCATCAAAAAATCCAATCTGATAGAGAAATATTGGTGATTAATTTACGCAACACAAATGTCTGTTGCAGAAATTTAATATTTGTTTGATAAAGTGCAACTTAATCAAAGCTTTTTTCTTGGAATTTCAATGTTAGCATTAAAATCAGCAGCAGGTTTGTTCAAATTCAAAATAGACAGAACATAATTTAAAGATAAACAATATAAAAAAACACACAAAAAAAATGTCCTCCTTAAAAATAATGTAACTTTATTTATTAGAACAAGAAAGAAGAAAATAAATATTAATGCCAGTGTAGTTTCAAAGAAACTAAGAGACAATATCTACTAATCTTAAGCAAATTAAAAGAAATGCACAAAAAGTTACACACATGATAATTCAAATTAATTAGTATTGTTATTTTCTATTAACATGCGTATTTCAAGGAATCAAATCCTTGTGTGCTACCTTTCGGACAAATTTTGATATTCATCTTCCTCAATTAAGCCTTCATCACTTTCCGAACCGTCATCGCTGCAATTTTCAGTATCTTCCTCTTCAATTCGTTCCAATGATCGATGAGGTTCAGAATTCTCACTCAAACACTCCTCACACTCCTGTTTCAAAGTCAACCAGTGTGATATCTGTTCCAATTCTTGGTTCTTTAACAGGCCTGTCATCACAAGTTTTTGAAAGAGTTCTTCAGCATTTGACACAAGTTTTAGTAACTGATTTGCTGCAAACTGGAGGCCAAAAACATCTGTATTATCTTGGATAGTTTCATAAGTAAGATATGAGTTAACAGTAACCATATTCCTAATTAGCTGAACTCTTGATGCTAATTGAAGAGTATATAAAGTTTCCGGAAAATCATTCACCAAGGGAGAAATGCAGCAAAATAATAAGGTTTTTGCTCGCCCACCAAAAGAATCCCTCAATAATGTTGTTAAAACTGACTGACTGTAAGGAACTTCGGTTGCATTACAATGACTCATTTTAAAATAAGGGTCAGAAAGCATCATTATACAAGACTGTAGGGCTTGTAATCCAGGATCACGAGGCAATGTCTGAAGTAAGCCATTATTGTCATAAACTAACATCTTTTCGCAGCCAGCTAAGTCAGCAAAACTTGCTGTGGATACTCTATGTTGCACACTTGTATCAATAATCCATTGTTGTTCTAATGTCAGGGTAAACAATGTATGGGCACATTTTGGAGCAACATTCGTCAGTCCAACTTGGATTAATTGAAATGCATCTAAAATATCTTCACACTCAACACTGCCCCCCCCTAACAAATCTTGTACTGTATCTCCACATATCTGTGACCAAGTTATGTGAACTGACCATGTTCTATCTTTGAAATGTTTAACTTTTGTGAAAATTTCCCTTACAAATCTAGGGACCACACCATGCTCAATTTCACTGGCAGCATAATGGAATCCTGGTCCATATAGTGTATAAGACTTACCAGAATTCGGTTGACCAAATGTAACAATTGATACATCACAGCCTTCTAATAGATAGTTAATAAACGGTTCAACTACCCTTTGAAACACTGTGTTTTGGCAACAATTTGCAGGTAAGGCGTAGTTTACGGGATACGTTTGATTGTTTGCTAATTGGATTGTGTTGTTGAGCGTATTACTTTGCACGCATATCAAACTTTCATTTTCCAACTGAACCGGACATATTCTGGCTGCTGTTTCTACATTCATTTCCATCACTTCACAAAATAATATTCTAGTTATAATTTTGTAAACAGATTTCCTACCGATGTTTAATAACATAACCTATTTCGCTAAACTTAAATCATTGATTCCGTGATACAAATTTCAGATATTCTCTATTCTAGGGTATCAGATTAGATAATTTCAAGATCATGATTTTTTTAGGCCCGTTTTGTGTAATTCTTATGTGCGAAATACAAGTGGCGAATGAAATGAATTTACCTTTACTAAACTAGCCAAAAAAACAAAACAAAAAAAGAAATCTAAAGCCCGGTAGACACGTTGCAATTTCTACACGTATTTCTGCCTGTATTTGTTCATGTAAATATTGCATTTTACCAAATTGCCAAGATATTTGGGAGCTAAAATTACCAGCTTTTTTTCCCCGAATTTATGCGTGCAACTCGTGCTTGGGTAAATATAATATTTTATCGCAAATCTAGTAATTGCAGTTCCCAAATAAATGATTATAAAAATTATAAAAATATGACTAACAAAAATTGAAAAGTATTACAAAAAAAGTTGAAAAAAACTGTATTTCAATATGTAACCTAAATTAGCCCTAAATATAAGAAGAATTGCTCAGAAACTAGTTTTAGAGAATACATAAATTGATATAACTATTATATATTATTGGATTTCATTCCGCAACAAACATCCTAATTTCCCGCGTTTCTAGTATTGGCATTATGGATTTTACTTATAAACCCACAAATTATTATATGTATAAAATTATTATATATTAAAAACACTTTCGCATAAAGTTTAGCCATTTGACACTAACAAACGCCAAACTTTTAAAAACAAAATTTCAACAAAATAATCAAGCCGTTATTATTCGAAAAAATGGCATCATATCGACCGTCAAAAAAATTCCAGTTAAAAATTCACGAGCAAAATTATTTTTGGTGAAATTTTGTTTTTAACGGTTGTTTTTAAAATTTTGATAGAATATAACTGTTGGGTCTATAAGGTAAATACATAATCCCAATACTAAAAAAAAGAAATTATATTAATTTATGTCTTCTCTAATACTAATTTCTGTGTAGGGATTCTGTGGTGGAGCATTGCACGCGGCGGTTTAACCTCTGTTCGCTCTTGACAGAATCCCTTGTATTCGTCCCCATAAGTTTGATATCGGTTTCCATTTTTTTAGTGTTTTGAGTGTTCAGTATATGTTTTAAAGCGATAATCGTCGTCGGTCCCTTCGTTTTTCCCTATTCACGCCGGTATGGAGGCCGGATGGGCCCGGATGGATGGTCCGCGGTGGAAACGGGGGGAAGCCGATTTTTTTTGGTATCGGTCAAAATCGTTTTTTGCTAGCTGAGTTCAAGTTCAAGTATGCGTTTCACAAAAAAATGTTGGGCTCGACTGCTAGGATCATTCGCCCATTGCCGACTTCCGTCGAGGATCTTCGCTTTTGGTCATTGACCAACACGTACAAAGAAGACATATAACCAATATTTGCTCAACTAGCAAAAAAACAAATTTGACCGATACCAAAAAAAACCGACACCCCCCGCTTCCACCGCGGACCATCCGGGCCCATCCGGCCTCCATACCGGCGTGAACGGGGAAAAACGACGGGGCCGACGACGATTATAACTTTAAAACATGCACTGAACACTAACAACACTAAGTCCACACAGTGGAAACCGATACCAAACTTTTGAGGACGAATACAAGGGATTCTGTCGGGAGCGAACGGAGGTTAAACCGCCGCGTGCAATGCTCCACCACAGAATCCTTGCTAGCTGAGCAAATTTTGGTTATATTTTTTCTTCGTACGTGTTGGTCATTGACCAAAAGAGAAAATCCTCGACAGAAGTCGGTAATGGGCGAATGGCCATAGTAGTTTTGCCCAACTGTTTGTAAAGAGCAAAGGAGAGAGATAATTTGTGTGCAATTCTCTTACATTCAGGGCTAACTTAAGTCGCATATTAAATTACAGTTTTAGAAAAAAAAATGTCCATTGGTATTTTTTATAATCATATTTTGGATGCGAAACTTTCATCTGCAATTGCTTGCGACGAAGCAATGACTTTTCTGTCTGTAGAAGATTCTACAGTTGTTTCTTGAATACATTTGACAAATTCCGAAAGGAAATTGGGAGAATTATTTCTTCTATGCATTTTAGCGCAGATTCTGACTGACTGCAGAGGTTAATGCCTTAACTTGATCAATGTTTGTATTTTTGAAATAATTACTTTTTGCGTCATGCGCTCCTAATAAGCCTCACACTAGATAAGTTTATATGAACTTTTTTAGTCATTTTTGCAGTTAAAGTTTTTCTATTATAATTTTGCATCACCCTGGACAACTCAATTTATCTGGTGGCTTTCTCAATAACATACTAGCATTTTTTGCATGATCAGGAACGTATAAATAAAAAATGACCAAATTATATTACAACGCAACATTTATTTCAAGTTATACAAAGTAAGAATTGTTTGATATTCGGAAAGTCTCGTAAGGTTCTGCCATCAGATTCCATCAACTGGGTCAGTCTCATCAGCTGAGCTAATATCATCGCAAAATTTAATGTCTTCCAGTTTCCAATAATTCTTGTTAATCATAAATAGAGCAATAATTTTTTAATTTGGGTATACACGTGCTTAAAGCGATTTTTAAATAAATTGCTGCAACTTTTGCCAACTTTTCTTCTACATTTGCAAAGCAACTTACATTGCAATCTGCGCGATGCTACCAAATAAAAATGACCAGAAATATTGTGTTTTTATAACCGACCCCGTGATTTACTTTGTCTACTGTTTATTACTTCAAAACCGCAGCTCTTTATAGAACACCCCGCCGAGCAGACCCTTACCCGTAACCATCCAGGACCGTCCTAGGAATTTATCTACCTAAACTAAAAAGCGGGATATAAGTATGTTTTCAATATTTTTCGCCGAGCAATTCTTGAAACGTGTACATAAAAAAATAGTACAAAATAACAATTTATCATGTTCTATTCACAAAATAGTAAATATAATAATAATAAGGTATCAGTCACTTAAAAAATCGTCACGATCGCTACTGTCGTCGCCTAGTTCAATGATCAACTGCGCTACTAAGCGTTCTCGATAAATATTTTCTTCTTTTATTACTTACTTTTGACAGTTAGACCAGCTTTGTACCGATATTTATAGCTACGTATATACTAAATTTTCGTGCAGTGTTATTTCTTATATGCGCCTTCAACTCAGACCAAATCATCTCAATCGGGTTTCAAACTTACCTGTAAGATATATAGAGTTCGGGTACTTACCCTTACCCTTTGAACTATCCAATGAAAACAACCTCGCAGGGTCAAAGCTCGATAATCAGGTACATAAATACGTATTTACTGGAAGAATTACAGTCAAATACCTCCGAACATATTGCAATTTAGATTAAACTCATACATATCACCTGATGTTAAAATAAACGCTTCTACTTATTCGAAAATACCCCACAGCATTTACGTTTCAAATTAAAATTTCAAGTTTCCACAAATATTCGTTGCGGTCCATTCCTGCGAATGTCTGCCGTTAAGGTACTGTAAAATACTTAAAACGTCAATAAATGCACTATATTTTACAATATAATTTATATATACAGATTCACTGATTCCTGGAGAGTTCAATTGTATGGTGGGCAGTGGTGCAAGTCCAGCAGAAATTGGTAGTGGCATTAAAGGTGGACTAATAGTTCTACTACTACACCGTTTCTATACCGTTTCGCCGGACCGCTTGGTTGTAGAGACAGACGCTGGAATCGCTATTCGAGTGTTCTTTGAATAGGTTAAACACTTAGAGAGAAATGTATAATTAAAAAAAAAGTTTATGATTTGTCGTTTAATAAATCAATAAGATGCAATTTGATTTTATAATGTCTTTTTGACAGAAACTAGCATGTGCATGATAATTGAAAAGGAAACTCTTCAAATTAAAATTAACAGGTAATAAAATAAGCATCAGAAAATATTATTTTAAATGTTCAAATAACAGTTTAAAGATGTTATACATTTAAAATAATCTGAGAGAAAGCGTTGTAAAATTAAAAAAAAAACCCTAACGATTTGATCAAAATTTATTGGTGCTTTTTAGTAAATCAATAAGACGCAATATAATTCCATAATGTCTTCTTGAAAGAAACTAATATGTGCATGATCATTTTTATTACTTATTCTTATTAAAACAAATGTATTGTCTGAATTTGGATTGAAAAGAAAGCCATTCAAATTAAAATTAAATGTTTTAAATGTTTAAAATAGCAATTGAAACGTGTAATAGGTTTAAAACAAAGAAGCCGTCATTATAAATTGTAAGGAAAGTCCTTTTTTTCTGTTAACGCTATTCTTAGACTAGAAGGTCATATTTTTTAGTTTGAGGCACATGCAATATTAATTTAACAGTTTTTTTTAATAAAATATAATATTTTTACCTGAATTAAATTTGCTCTTTTGAATTAATAATATCAATCTTACTTAAAATAAAATAAACAGATTTTTTTTCAATCATACCTTACTTACTTACTGAAAGAAAATTATTATGAATGTTTAGGTTTGATATCTCACCCCTTCTTGTTTGCACCATTTGGTAATGCTTAATTCTATGCAGTCCAATTTGAAAATGCCCATAAAACCAATAAGAAAACGGTTTCAAAAACTTAAAGAAATTGAAAATGCTCACGGCGGTCACTACATAACGACACAACCAGTAGACTATCGAGAGGGACCACGCATACGCTAATGGCAGCTTTATCCCGTTGTTCTGTTGCTGCTTAAAGTGCCATGACAACAGACCCTCTTTTATTTTAATTAAAATTAATTTTTTAAATTAGACATCACAAACTTATAATAATTTATTATAAAGTACATATTATTATTAAATAATGATAGATAACACTCTACAATCCCAAGATGTTATTTAAAACATTTTGATCGAATTTTGCTAGTCAATGAAGAAGTGGCCGGTTGATCACGGTCAATTGACTAACCTCAATACTATAAACTTTTAAGGTTTGTCAAGGAGCGAACTCAGGCGAAAATATGTGTTGCTATTTAGTAACCTTTTAGTTTGTATTAGCTGCAAAGTTTTTTTCTCAAAAGTCTGCAAATATTAAGACTATAGGTATTAAGTATTTATAATTAAAAAATAAAATAAAATAAATAAGAACTAAAAGTTCAGATTTTCACGAAATTATATATTATGACATGCCAATTGTTTCGACTTTATCAAATGTTTGATAAACATATGATAAATGATAAATGGATTTTCATCAAGTAAAAGCCACCTCGGTTCAATATTTATAATTTTGTAAAATTTTCAGATATGTAATAAATTCTTAAGTGTTTCAGTTGTAATAGATACCAATGTTGCCATACGTATCGGGTAGAGCCTGCAATTTTGCGCAATTTTTAATTATTAGCGAATACTAAATTTCAAAAGTTTTCCGTTTTTAGTTCTTGACGTGAATGCGTTTTTTTTCTTAAACTTTAGTACCCTGTTTACCCTGCATGTTCAACCGTAGATATTTTAGGACACACGCTTACACGCTTAATTTTTATGCTTGGATTTGGTTAAGTGATGTGCCCCTGCAAATAGATACGACGTATCAGTTTTTTTTTTGTGTATAGATCTCCAAGTGCAAATCAGTATCTCGGGTGTGGTCTAAAATAACACTGACGTGCACTCTTATGCGCACCCGCCTTATTGATCGCATTTATATTTCCCCTGTCTGTGTATCTCGACCCACTGGGTAAGTCGGACTTACCTTTTACTAAATGGCTAATTTTTGTTGTTTTGTTGATGATACCACTCATATTATCATATTATTTCATTTTCTCGCGTTGATGAGTGTTATCAATTTAACATATGCTTTGGTGAAGCCGAATCGATTTTTGCATGGTTGTTATTTTGTGCATTTGACGTATCGGTATGAACTAACGGTTGATTCTTTTTACCTAACAACTAACAGTTATTTTATAGGTACGGTTTAAAGCTGTTAGTAGTTTTTTTATTTATTCATTTTACTTGCATTTATTAAATATCATTATGTTTACTATTTCAATTATCGTACAATTAATGACATTCTTAGGTTATTTCGGAGTAAATAGAAAATATGGACTTACGGACCAATTGAATTTGTAATTGATTTCCGAACTTAGACAAAGGTATCCTTTTTTAAAGAGCTAAGATTGCTTATTATGTTTGCTGTAATTCTCTAAATTGCTCTGTTAATTCCTGAAAATTATACTGTTACTATTTTAATAGGAGAGCTAGACTATAAAATTGTAGTAGTGGGAAAAAAGTTGCTTATATTTCTGCTCGATTTTTAGATAAATTTACACCATTTGTTGCTTTACCACGTAGATTTATCAAAACATCAACGATTTTATGTTTTTGTTTCTGGAATTATCTACCAAATAACATTCTAGTTGATGTAATACTATTGACTTTAGATATTCTCTTTCATTTATTGCGTTCAATCAATCTTTCCAGATTACGCTACTAGATATATAAATAATTTACTTTTACTTATGCTCTTTTGCAGGTCGCGAGAATCATGAAGGTCCTATTTTTGATCTGCTCACTCACCGGAGTATTTAGCTATTTACCAAGGGGAAAGGTATTTATTTCCTTACTGTTATGCGAAGAAACCACCTTGTATCTCACTGTTTTAATAACGTCATTGTTTCAATTAAAAAAGTATGGTTCATTAAGATTTTAATTGAAGAAATGCATTCAACTTTTAAGGCCTGGATCAAAATTAAGCATAAGCGAAAACAAGAAAAAAATTAGAAAATATTCAAAAATTTACCAAAACTAAATTAATTTTTTTAATAAAATCGCTATTTTACACATCAAATTTGTTAAGTAAAAAACGAAAATTGTTATATATAAACATTCCAGGAGAGTTTCGCTCCTGGCCTTTTCCTGCGAGATTTGGTCAGTCACATGAATGGAAAAAAGGAATTGTCCAATGGAGATATTTCCTATTTCGATTTCACCGACGGACTGCCTTTAGATGGCAGCTCGCTGACTAGAGATCTCGAAGAAGAGCAGATGTTTCCATTGGATTATGATTCTTTGGGGTATGTTTAGCCTTATAACAATTCATATCCTTTACTTTTATCTAATTTAATACAATTTAATGATTTATTTATCGATACCAGGGATATCAACATGCATCCCAGCATTCGCGACCAGGAATATATTCGTCACAGCAGTTTGTGGAGCAATCAGTATATCCCGGGGTCGGATGGTGAACAGTTGTTTAGGCCCCACGGAGTTAAGGTTAACAACCAAGAGGTTAAGGCGGAATCTACATTACCGGCTTACTGCAATCCACCAAATCCCTGCCCAGTTGGCTATACGGGTGCGTTGCGTTTAATCGAAACTGTTCGTCTTGATATACCAAAATCTTTAGACTAATGAAGTGAATACTGGTCACGAAAAGAATTTATTTAATTTTACAGAACGAGATCCTTCAAATTCGTGATTTTTTATTTTACGTTTTGAATTGCAGGGTAATAGTATGTTATGCAACAGGTGCGGTAAACGGCAACGGTAAAAGTTTACCAAACGTGTTGCATACTATACTTTTTTTTAAGCCCGTTAGTTTTTGGGTATATTTTTGAAAAACAATACGAATACATTCACTGACAAGACCGTCACAATAGACAAACTTCAAGATTCAAGCAGTGCGGTAAAATCCCGGAAATATCCCAAGTGGCTCGGATCCGTGGGACACGAAACTCACGTGGTAAAGTGACGCTTCCCGTACGCTAGATCGGTGTATTTTTTCCGTTTGGATTTCAGCGTTTATTTTTCGTGGCAAAATTGCCTTTTCCTATTAAAATATCATTGTTCAGTGGGTTTATTTCTATTTACCAACTGGTTTATACTTTTGACAAGATTATAAAAATAGGTGCAAAAGTACAAAGGGTGTTGCATTCCAAAAACCATCACATTGGTGTAATCTGGAATACATGATATGTATACCAACAGGTGATACTATAAACGAAAATAACACGTTAGCTTAATAAATCTCGAGCATAAATAAACGTTTGTCGTTAAAGGGGAACAAGTTGGAAATAAAATTTAATTTCTTCCTAAAAATACACTCTTGGTCAACCTCGATAGCTGTTTGAATATTCCATTGAGCATATTATCATTGTAGGTATGGATATATAAAAGGCACGCATTTCACAAAGTGTACCACGGAGCTTTCGATAATGATTTTTTTTTATCTTTAAAATGTTTGGAATGTTTGAAAAATTTTTGGAAAGTTAAGTTGCACTTTCACCACTAATATTTGTCACTATATTTATGGAGCATTTATTTTTCTTTATATTGTATCAAAAGATAACAAAAATTCCTTACGTAGAAGAACAAGGGTGCCTGGAAGATTTCGAAAACACCGCGTCATACAGCAGACGGTACCAGGCGATGCAAGATTGTATGTGTGACACGGAGCACATGTTCGACTGTCCAAATTCCAATAATCCAATGTTAGACGATCCAATGGAGTCCATCGCCCAAGTGGATTTTAACCGTTTAATGCAGCAATCATTTAAGGTACATAGATATCTGATAAAGTTAACATATTTTAAAAATGGAAGTAACGTTCATAATTCTTCAAAACAAAATGAATTTTTAGAAAATCAACTGCTCGTACAACGTGTGTTTTAGCTAATAATTTTAATAGAACGTTCTAAAAATACTATAATTCTGGACATCAGTGTTTCCAACTAACTCAGCTTGTTTTTCAGATCAATCAGGGATACCCGCATAAAAATTTAATTGCCAAGAAATTTCATTCCGCTGAAAAGGTAAAAATGTAGAGCACGCAGTTATGTACTTTGACTTTTGAGTTATTTTCCAAATCATTTTTCTACCGTTCTTCTGCTTTTACAGTAGCATTGTGAATTTTACTTTAATTAAAAATGAAACTGGAGTCCATTTTATGCTTATATGGTGCCATTAAATACAACAGATTTGTACTATTCTAAATCAAAATGGATTGGCATGTTTGAAATCTCTATCACTTGTTCAAAACACAAAACTATTTGTTGGGGTGTGGATCGAAACGGAGAGACTGTTTTCTTTAATACACACATACACAAAATGAAAATACAGAACTCGTCACACATTTTTTTTTCATTTTCATGGTGCCGTTCATTCTTCTTCTCTTGTCACAGAACACACACTGTCCTTGCCGCTCTATGCACGTGTACACTATATAAATGTATCGCATACTTAATACTATTTATTAATCGGCACAATTTCAAACTGCTAATTTTGATTTTCATTTAGCCATGATGCATAAAACTAATCACGTCCTTTGCGATAAAAAAAAGTGAAACACGTTTAGGTTTAAATATATAATATAAGAAAAAACACAAAAACCTGAGCTCATAAATCATAGATAACAGTTGGATAAATTGAGTATCTGGAACCCTTTCATATGAAACCAATAGTATTGCCCAAATAGTGGGAATGGAACCCAGTTCAATATTGTTTTTATTTACAATATTCCGCTTTGAATTGAGATATGTTGGCTTTTATATAGTGTAATAAGGAATTATCGGAGTATATAATTAAGTCTATGAAAAACGAAATTGTTCTTTATCTTCGTTACTTTAGAGAAAAATTCATACCTTTTTCTCATTTTAAACATACATACAGAGCGTTATCGAAATGACATAACATAATCTAATCAGTAAATATAACTCTAACGTCGGCTGAATTCGTCATTGCTCTCGAAACTTAAAAATGATCTATATTTATTGAAAATTTTATTTTTCTTTAGAATCCCAACACAAATCCGTTTCTGACAGGCGAGAAGTTGCCAGTGGCAGCGAAGAAGGGGATTAATATGTTGTGAATTCGCTCTAGATTCTCTAAAGAAAAGCGCATGAGGATGGGCCCTTGATTGCGCAGTGATGTAACATCTATATCTACATATAGGGAGGCCCAATTATATGCCGACGACCGCTACGAAAAAAGGCTGATTCTCTGACAAATAATAGCCATTCCAAATACCCTTCGAAAAAATTTCTTAAAAAAACACTTATGAACAAAAAAAAATTAGGTAGTTAGTAGTTGCTTTGGGTGTTTAATATACTCTTCTACACTTAGAAAATGTGTTGAAAACAACCGATTGTGGACTCTTTTAATGTAACGATCGTTGAGTAATTCGCTTTGAATGATTTGACATAAAATACGTGAGCTAAATCACCGAGACATGATCTCTTTATTCTCGGTGATTTCCAGCTGGTTACACATATCACGATTTTGACCAAAATATCACTAAGGCCCTACTTGATTTTTTTTTCGGTACATCGCGGTCAAGGAATACAGAACAACCCAGTCTTTTCTACCTGTTTTCGTTTACCGCTCTACCGTTACTGAGGAAAGAATCATTTTACAAAGAAAGTGATATTTATATTAAAAGTGAGACGGTCAGATCGACGTCTTACTCCAAATGGTGGACTACTAAAACTATAAAATGTATAAGTAATATCATTAATAAGTATACAAACTATTGGTGTATTAACAGTTAATTGTTATTGCCGTTATACGAAGGTCGGTTAACCATTTTCTATAACAGGAACCTTCTCCGGCATGAAAATGATTGAACGCGAAACATCCGCGAGATGTCGTCGCAACACTGTTATTGCGTGTTCCGTTATCAATATGAATAAATGTATTCTCTTAATGCACATGGTTTTGTTTCATTTAACCAAAGAATAAAATTAAAATTTTACCGTAGGAACTATTGTATCGCAGCTCATCAGCAAAAAGTTCCACAAAATAATCCCCAAAAATTCTCCAAAAATAATTATCGAATCCAGGTGATTCTTACCTTGTCAAAAAACAATCGACAGCCGTATATATCATTTTAGCATTATTCCTACTTGGTCTAGAGGTAAGTGTAATGAAAAAATAATAAATTTAAGTGTGAAAAAATAATAGGCACAATACAATTACATATATTTATATTGAACATTTAGCATACTTTATTTCAATTTATTGTAATATAGATACATAATAGAAAATATTAATATGTACATGTATATGACTAACAACTATTTTGTATATATACCTAGAAGCGTTAAGAAATTTTTTATACAATTACGATTTATTCTGCTTAACTAAATTAATTGTAAAATCAGAAATATTTGCATAAGACCTCAAAACCTCAAAAAATCGTCCTTGTCATCAACACTGTCATTCATCAACCAAAGTTACAGTTACAGTTATACATGCGTTTTATAAACAACTAAGGTGACAACGTGGAACCAACATGGACTCTATTCATGTTGAGAGTCATGATAAGCTTTTTAAATTGAATTTTCAAATTTTAGCTTGTTTGAGTGTTTTTTTCCATATTCATCTTACCGTAAGAAGTTAAATAGATATTCGATTTATTTTGAAATACAAAAATATGATATTTACAAAACAAATTCCTTAATTACATCCTTTACCACTAAAAAACATAATAATTTAAAAAATAAGTTAGAGATGGTGTCATTTCGCAAATAGATTCTTTGAAAATCTACATATAAATTAAAGAGGAACAATGAAAAAGTTGGATGAAAATATTAGGATGAAAAAAAGATTAAAAACCTTTTGGCAATTTGGACCAAGTTGGTAAAGGAATACGGCTAATAAATTCCTAAATTATTAATACTGCAACATTGCCTAACATAAAAATTCGAAAGAGATCAAAGGCAGCATAGATATCGTAGACATAAATTCATTTTATACAATATGATAGATTGTCTAATAATTTAACAGAAATAGATGCTTTAGCATTTTTATCTGAATTTTTTAAAATTTTGACCGTATTGACCACGCACGCGCCTTAAAAATGCTAAAACTGGAAATAAATTAGTCGAAGTAAAGCTGCGTTAGCTGCATATTTCGTTTTTGTCTCGGACAACAAAAAAATCGGAGTTCAACTGCATTTACGCAATTGAATAAATCTAAAAACACGTAACTTAAATCTTCTCAGTATCAGTCAAAGTTTTGGAAGCCCTTACGCGCACATATTTAAATATTTTTGTGGTGCGAAAGATGAACAACCAAATAATACTGGGTGTTTTTTAAGTACAACGTTTAACAAAAATCACGTCTTTATCAATATCTTAGTAAATGTTCTTATAATTGATTTGATCATATTCAAAATTATTAACTTTAGTAGAGTTCCTGCATACAAGCTGACTCACATTTTCTGAAAAAAAATGTTGACCATTTACCACAAATTATAAGTTTTATTAGTTACTTAATTCTAAAAAAAATTCCCGAGACGCCACTACCTCTAATTGGAGCAAAATCAGTCCCCAGGGTTGGTTTAATTATTTTGATGCACAGTATTTTGAAAGCAAGAAAAATATTTATAATAAGAATCGCATCTCGGGGGTTGGCTGCGCATTTAAAACACCCAGTATATAAAACAGTAAAGTTTCTAGGGAGACACGAAGACGTAGCGCTCTGATTGGCCAGACCAAGTTGTTTCCACACTTTTTGTAATTATTTCTGTAAATATTTAGTTTTCTCGGTTTACCGCAATCGCCGATTTCCTGAACGGAATTTACATAAAAAATACCGCTCGATTGGGAAATAATGGCGCTGATGTGCGTTTAAAACTCCCATTTCAATAATAATGCACAATGAACATTAAACACGGTATATCTGGTAAGTCTTCTGATTGATTAAAGTAAACTTTTTTTCTTTTCCTAGTTACGTGATTATAGTCAGTTGCACAAACTGCGTGGCGTTTTGCATTCGTAAGTACTTTGATATGATAATTGATGGCATTAATATGTTGTTGCAACTGTTTATAATTATCCGCACCATCCGCGAACAATAAAATACCAATCCATTTTTAAAGATCTTCTCGATAAGGCACTTGGCGTAATAATAAGAATCAATACCTACCTATATACACACTTCATATAGTTCTTATAGTGTTTGACCACCCTGTAAATTGTACGAACTTTCCAACATCATAACACTCAATTAGCCATCAAGCGCTAAGCGATGCCCAACAAATAAAAAGAAAGAACTTTGACATTTGCTACCCTTTTGATTCTCGCCGCTATAAGATCCTATTCATCTTTGCTATAGTTACAGTTACACTATTCGTCAAACTAATGAAAAAATCGATAATTAAAATCATAACATACTTAGAGCGTCAATTATTTTTATCTGAAAAATCATTTGGAATAAATTAGTTCACAGTCTATAATCATATCACAATCACTGCACTTTCTTATTGTTGCCAGTTAGTTTATATAATCACCGAAATTTTCTATAATTAAATTTGGTCCACCGGAATTTTAGCACAGAGTTAAACCAGCGCTCGACCGAGCACCAGTTTTAGTATTAATCACACTTCCGTGCCGTCTTCGCCCTCGTCCTCGAACAGAGGTCCCGTCGATAGTCTCTTTTTCGGCTTCGGAGGTGGCCGAGGAGGAATCTTTTTGGGTTTCCCTAGAACAAGAAATAAAATTATTAGTCAGATGTCTATTGGCGAATTTAACAATAAACAGACGTGGCCGTTTAATTCCAAACTCAACGTTTACATGTTGCCTTTGAACCTTAGACCTACTCCTTCTACATGAATAGGTGGCAATAAAGCATTATTAGAGGTGTGTGGTTTGTGGAAAATGACGCAAGAGCTAACGATGAAATCAATTTTTATCGGATTTAAAGGGTAATTTGGAAAGTTGGATTTTTTTTCAAACTAGCCAAAAATCCCCACACTTCCAGCACTCCCTATTAAATTTCAAAAGCATCCATAAAACGCGTTTTTTCCGTTGTTTTGTCGGTAAGTTGTAAATATATTGCTAAAATGTGTTTAAGTTTGAAGAATAAAATTTTTACATAAAAAATATCAGGAAAATTGTTATTTAATATTTCTTAAGAGACATCCATCAACAAGGCAATTTATTGTGTGTTTGGATTGGAAACCGGTAAGCTTTTCTTTTAATGTTGAACTTTCGGATGAATCCATGAAGGCACTGAATGGCGAACTACACCAAACGAACTATTTCTTTAAACAATAGCAACATCAAAAAATTCAACGCAAATATAAACCGCATATGAAAACAATGCAACCATTCCCGATTTTACTTCAAACCTATATTATTATTTTTTTTGATTGAGGACCCATTGAATTGTAAAATCGCCAATATCAACTTCATCCATTCTTAGGTCAAGAATACTCAATCAATCAATACTCACCATGTTTTTTAAAAGAGATTTAAATCACTACTTATACAAGATTTGCAGACTTAAATAATTAGCCAACACCTCTACGCGGCCGTTCGTGCAAGTGTGCAGGAGAATCCGAGAAGAACTTTGTCTTTTCCAGACTGCAACATGGCGAATTTTGGGACTTGGGCTTGCACCCATACAAAATACAACTAACCAGGAGCTCAAGGGTAATGATTAATTGGGCCTTTTGGAAGACGATCCGAATTTTGGCCAAAAAATTATCTTTAGGGACGAGGCGCATTTCTGGATGAATGGCTATATTAACAAACACATGAGGTTCGCCAGGTAGCAATGCATCCACAAAAAGTAACTCTTTGGTGCGGATTTTGGAGTGGCGGTGTTCGTGGTCCTTATTTTTTTGAAAACGACGTAGACGAGGGCATTCGGAGCATTGGAGCTTCTTCGTGAATATGTTTAGGGTATGATTATCTCTCGCAGAGGTGCCCACCAAGATCGTGCGATTTGACTCCGCTAGACTTTTTCTTGTGCGGTTTTCTAAAGTCGCGGGTCTATGCCCTTAAAGCCAAAATAACCGACGCAATCGCTCAAATTCAGTCGGAACCATGCGCAAGAGTCATTGAAAATTGGACCAGTCAGATCCGTGCCACCGCGAGAAGCCGCGGCGGATATTTAAATGATGTTATATTCCATAAATAATGGCATTCATAGGTCTCTCAAATAAAATAAAAATATAGTTAATATCTCACACACACAGCTTGGTTTATTCCATTTCAACATCGACTCGCCTTTATTATATGAAACAACACCCGCGAACCAAATAACATAACCTAATTGCAAAACTGCAATTTCAAACTTGAGGCAAGCAATATGAGATAATAAAATGTTTCAAAATTATGTGTATTGTGTATAATGTTTGTTATTAAACACCAAGGTTAAATTAAAACTCACTCACTAACTATTTACACCCCCCATACACACTACTAATAATAATTTATATAATGTCTATTTATGTCGGTTATCGGTTAATTATTTGCGCTTCACTTTTCCAACTGACTGGCAAGCGGTGCTTCACTTTTATAGAACGCAGTGAGTTCTCGCGAGTTTCTTTAAACCAGCCCATTCGGCTCCCTCGTCACAGTATTTTTGTTAGAGTAGTACGAAATTGAGTAATGATGAGGTGCAAAGGATTTTGGTAGACACGGCGCGGAATACTATGGCTCGAAGTAGGCGGACTTAAAAAAAGTTTCTTTTCGGTTTGGTTCTAAAAGTGCCAATGTATCAAATTTGTATTTTTTAAAAAATGTATATAAAAAAGTTTTATTTTCGGTTTGGTTCTAAAAGTGCCAATGTATCAAATTTGTATTTTTTTAAAAATGTATATATTAAGGGTAAAATATTCTCAGATAAAATAAGTGTGGAATTTAATGAGGTTTAGAATGTCCAATTTTCATGTTTCAAATACTTAAAAGTATTTAAGTTATGTGAGCAAAATTTACGGCGAAACGTAGCAGAGTAACGTTTGAGATAACCTGAATTACAAAACTCAAAGTTTCGTTTCTTTTTATCCCAGAGTAATCTAAAAGATCCCATAGAAAAAAACAAATACTTCTTTTCATAATTGGCAAAATTATAAACACACAAGTGCTTTTAGATTAAAGTAAACTCATAATAACAGGTAATAACGCGGCCAGCTCACGCGCTATAAGTATAGAGGTTGTTTTCTAATTGAATGTCAATAATTCAGGGCCAGATTTTTCAGTTCACTTTAAAAAGAAAAGTTCTTCTTCAATCATTTGTAAAGAAATTTAATTTCTTAATTTTTTCCATCAGATGTACGGTTTCGCATAAAAAAATAAAACAACAATAAACGAATCCGAAGTACGTAATCTCTGAGGTGTATTTTTAAAATCTTTATTATTATTATTATTATTATTGTTATTAACATTATTACTAATTTATTATTTCTTATCATTGTAGAAGGCTGTCTCTGTAAGAATTAATTTCGTTGTCAAGGCGGTTGTTTGACATCAGTTTTCAAATTCAGTTTTTTGAGTCTTATTAATTGGGTTTGAAATATCCGAGCATTGTTATTTTAAAAAAGAATGGTTGAGTTTATTAATGAGCAGTGAGCAGATATGCATTTTAATTATGGTTTAGCTGATGGCAGTGCGTCTGAAGCTAGCGGATTATATCAAGAGCGCTTTCCCAGATAGGCGAACATTTTCGAATATGCAGGGTGGCCTTTTAAGAGCGGCCTATACCTAATCTCAAAACCTATGGGGTTACAAAAAAAATTAAATACAAAAGTTGTTTCTATTAAAATGACCTTTATATTTTTTATTAATTTTATAATCGCCACTTTTTCATATGCAATGTGGTAAAACAAAGTTACATTTTTTTAAGTAGAACACCCTACATTTTAATGCATTTTTGGATAGTCCTTTCAAAGACAAATTCAAAGATATATATGAGTATGGGTCTGTGATGCACTGTTTCGAACGTCTTCTTCAAAATTCTCGTTATGTTTAAACCATCATGGCTGGGTTGCTTATTAACTTTTTAAACTTTTTTATATCTATTACTTTTACGAAAATAATGCTTTTCTTTAGGCAATGATTAAATTTAAAATATTTTCTTAAAATACCACCAAAGACGAAGTTTTATTTGAAGAGAAAGCAGTCGCCTATCGCCTTAATTATTGACATTCAATTAGAAAACACCTTGTATAGATAATAATGCAAAAAAAATATAATTTCTAGAAACAATGTAGGAGATTGTATTGGCAATTTCGAATTATTGCGATCTATTGTCCAGCAGTATATTGTTAATAGTATGTTCCGCAAGCTTACCTTCCGTTGTGGGTATGTCACCGGCAACGGAATTTCTCTTCTCCGACGGGGTCAGCAGTTGGTCCGCATTGTCGTGCGCCCACTGTGTCCTCGACGGTGTTAGCTTCGTCGAGTTGATGTTTCTGGGCAGCGTGTGACACAGCAGAGATTGTGGTGTTTTAGGACGGGGCTGCGCAACCGGAATCTGCGATTGCGCCGACGGCTCGGATTTCGTGTGCGCCGCGGTTGGCGGAGAAGATTCAAGTGATTCCGCTATTGGTCCGATTGGCGTCGGGCTTAACGCTATCACGCGATTTGAGCGAGGAGTCGACGCAGCTGTCTCCGAACCGATTTTATTCAGGGACAGCGCAGAACTGCCTGCAAATGCAACAAAACGCTAAGTATAGAAATACTTACAACATGTGTTTGCGTTAAAGTTTCAGACGATAGTAACGGTAACTGGTAATTGGTAAATGTTTAACAACTGAGATAACCCCTATTCCGATCAAGCAATTTAACATAAACCCGGCATTTAGTCCTATACAGGTCGATTTTTGCGACCATTTAAAAAGAAAACTTCATATGAGCATATACCCTAAACCTCTTAGCTTTTGAGATACAGGGTGGTAAAATTTTCAAAAATAAAATCTACATTTTTAATATCTATAATACCACTTAAGATATTTTAATCTTATTTTTTTAAATCAGTGGCGGGAGCACTGAACTTTTGACAGGCATTGACAGTACGCCACTGACTTCTCTTAAAATAGAAATTGTTCTTCCAATCTCCAATCATTTCTTTGCTTAAATAAATTAAAACCTCTTCTCCGCATAGTCATAACAATATGACTAATATGACAGCATGCATGGAAATTAGTTTTTATTTTTAAGTGAAAACCGTGCGACGGACTAAAAAAGAATTATGAGATCAAATATGCTCATAAATGAATGCAAACGTCATTACTTTTTTTTAAGGCAATCAGTGGCGTGCCACTGATTGTCTATGAAAACTTTTTTTTGTGAAAAATTAAAAACAGTGTCCTTCGGAAAAAAATAGAAGACTGATTTTACTTTTACAGTTATTAATATAATTTTAATCGACAATTACTTAAGTAAAAAATAATAATGATAATAATTCTCTGCATACTGTTATTTTAACAATATTGTCAGGACCATCCAGAGAAGAGGTTTTAATTTTTTTAAACCAAAACCGTACATCGCCTTGAAAAAATCAAGAAATATTTTTTTTTAGAAATGATTGAAGATTGTAAGAATAGTTTTTATTTTAAGAGAAATCAATGGCGTACCCCAGCCGCTGGTGGCCATTAAAATTTCTAAAGTGGTATTTCAGATATTAAAAAATTTATTTTATTTTTGATAACTTTACCACCCTGTATCTCAGATGTTCATATAAAGTTTACTTTTTAAAATGGACCCACAAACTGTCCCCTTAATTATTGATATTCAATTAGAAAACACCCTGTATATACTTTTTACATAACTTGACTGAAACTGGCTCGCATAAATGAGGGGCATCTCGGATGACTGATTCCCACATTGGTGATAGGTTGAAACCTGAGTCGCGATTAAGGTTGTTAGGTTGTTTATCGATTTCTATAGACTCTGGGATTTTTCGCTGGTAGAAGAATTGATTACATTCAAGAATTTTAGTTTTATCGAATAAAATTTTATGTCCGGTTTCGTGATTGTGTTCGGCAACAACTGATGAGTTTATCTGTCTTAGTCCTAAGGCTCTTTGAGCCTAGTTGATACTTTTCGTCCGGTTTCTCCAATGTATTCTTTGCCGCTTATGCATGGAATGCTGTGAACTCCTGGAATCAACAATGGAATTTTATCTTTGACCGACCGAAGATGTTGAGAGATTTTTGGACAAGTGGTAAATCTGGTTGTGGCGTTATACTTCTTTAGAACTTTTGATATGTGGTCTGGGATATTTTGAATGTAAGGAAGGACCAGGCAAGTGTAGGATAACTTTCGGCCTCATTGCTATTGGAAGGTTGTGGTGAAGTGTACTTTTTGATCGAACGCTTAATATCCTTTTGGAGAGAAGAGCAGAGGTCAGGGGTTTAAATTTTGGGTTCAGTGACTCGGGCTGAGATAGTTTTACGGCTCTGCAAATAAGATGATTGGGCCGGATCGTGATATGACCATGCATTGTTAGGGCTGATTTTCTATTGATAAGAATATAAGAATGGAAGGTTATTATTAGTTTCCAACTCAATGATAAAACGTATGTTAGGGTGTATAGAGTTTAAATTTCTAAGAAAATTTACTAGGGTTTCTTGACCATGAGGCCAAATAACAATCATCATCATCGACGTAGCGTTTCCATAATTTTGGTTTTAGATGAAAGGTGTCGAGAGATTTCTTCTTAAAGGCTTCCATAAATAAATCCGCGATGACTGGTGGTGGTGATGAGTGGTGAAAAATTTCATTTTTCGATTAAGGTGAGAAAGTTTGGTTCCAGATTCTCGGATTTTAATATATCTGAAATAATGTTGACAGTTTCAGGAATAGGAATATTGGTAAAGAGGGACTCTACGTTGAAACTAACTTGTGTATCTAATGTAATGCTTTTTAATTGTTCAATAAAGTGAAAGGAATACATTATGAAACTATCAGTTTTCCCTGTAAAGGGTTTTAATAAGAAAGGTAGATCTTTTGCTAGAGAATATGTAGGAGAACCAATGGCGCTGACAATAGGTCGAAGAAATAATCCTGGTTTGTGGATCTTGGGGAGTCCGTAGAGACGAGGAATTTTAGAGTCATGGGGGGTGACAGAGTTTTTCACGGAGTCTGATAGAGAAGAAGCCTTAATAACAGACTTAAGGTTGCGATCCATAGATGACGTATCTTTCATGCATTCCATGCATATGCGGCAAAGAATACATTGGAGAGACCGGACGAAAAATATCAACAAGGCTCAAAGAACAAGAAAGAGCCTTACGACTAAGACACATAAACTCATCAGCTGTTGCCGAACACAATCACGATAAAACTAAAATTCTTGCATGTAATCAATTCTTCTACCAACAAAAAATCCCAGAGTCTATAGAAATCTATAAACAACAATGTTACCGCGACTCAGGTCTCTACCTATCACCAATATGGGAATCAATCCTCCGAGACGGTGTTTATGCCCCTCATTTAGCTCAGTCCCCCTCAAACAATATATAAGCAGGTACAGAGTAAAATGTGAGCCAGTTTCAGTTAAGCTCTGAAGAAGCCAACAGGATGATTGGCGAAACGTCAGCAAGTTCGACTCAGCAAAAACTGACGCAGGACAAATCCAGAAGTTTTGAAAAAATTATTACAGTAGCCTGTGGAAGTTTCTTTGAAAAATCACACTTGTATATTAAAAATGAAGAAATTAATGAAAATAACACCGCTAGAATAACATATCGTGACGTCAGTGCTCGTATCAATTTGCGGCTGTGTTTTGTCCCCGGCGATGCAGACTTCAAAAAATAATAAATAAAAATAAATAAAAGGTATTTGTTAGCGCATCAAGAAATTTAGTGCTGAAACATGTTTTGCTGCAGTAAGAAGTTTACAAATACCTCGACAAACAGAAACCAAGTAATGTTACCCCAAGTTCCATATATTTGCACTTATCAACCGGACGGATTATGTAGTCAAATATGAACCCAAAGCTGTTAAATTTTAGTAACAATTACATTCTTTATTCCTGATCCTCGAGTAAAGTAGCAAGAAACTACTGTTTAATTATTGAACCTGCAAAGCAGCAATCAGTGTCCGACTTAGACAGAACGAAAAAGTGTTTCAACATAGAATTTTCAATGCAATGCAAAGCAAGACTAAAAGTGTTGATAAAAAAAAGGTTTTGTGGTTTTATTAATGAAAAAATAAAAAATAATAAAAAAATAAAAAAATGAACGAGCTTATGACTTTTTCGGAATTATGGAATAATTAAAATAATAATAAGAACACGTTTAGAGAATTTAAAAGGATAAGCACATTTTTTTTTGCTAAAATGACATTTTATTATAATTAAAATTGTTATAGCATTCATCAGGAAGGAACTAAAGGAGGAAAACCATATTTACATACCTTACAGAATGTGCAAATAATTAAAACTTCGCAAACATACGGCCTCTGATGGTAACAGGTAATTTCGAAAATATCCAACCAAAAAAATTTATTTGGAACGAGTACAGTAGCTAATTTTATATTCACGAGGAAGGTACAATGTGCGCAAGCACTGTAAAGGATTTTAAAAACACATAAGTTAATAATGGATGTTTTTCTTGATTATTGTCACGCATACAGAAAGAGATGCTATTTAAGCTTCGTTATTTGGTATTTTACAATGAGATGACCCAGCTAAGTGAAAGGAGAGAAAAGGGTTAGAGTCTTGCAAGTATAGTAAAAGGCATTAATAGATATGAGTATAACAACAGTGTTTTATGCAGCAAGTTTGGTAAACGGCATTCGAATCATTATACCTTTGGGCTTTTTATATTATTTATTAATGTATACAGTTAAATATTGTTGTTAATAGTGAGTTAATAAGTGTTGTAATATACAGCCGATATTCCGGAAGTGGGTGTCAACATTTTTACTTTAAATATATATCATTGCTTTTTTCTGAAATATTTAACATGGTATGTCAAAAATGAAGTTTGCACACGAAATTCTTTAAAATTTTAATCTTTTAACTTAACCTGTAAAAATGGTCCGTTTAAAAAACTTAGTCAAATTCAAAATTTTGGCTAGTTATAGTTTTCTCATAACAGATCGACGAAGTTCTCGGAAGGACAGTAAACTTTGGTAATACATTTCAGTGCAAAGCAGATCAACATGATTGGTACTGACTGCACAAAATTATAACTCCAAATATTTGACAAATTAAGTGAAAAAATTACTGTCGGCCAAATAAAACAGGGAAATAAACAGGAATTTACTAAGGACGTGGGCTTTCGGTTATAAGAATAATACACCAAATTCTAAACATATATCAAGCGCCACAATTTATTGCAACGTATAAAACTACATTGTTTGCTCATATTCTGACAGAAAACAATTAGATTTGATTAATGGTTTTTTTTTTCGGTGACCCTATTGATTGTATTAAAAACGATTCCTTTCACTACCGTTTTATATACGAACAAAGAGGTTTTCCTATAAAACGTTTCATAGATTTTCTGCCGAGATTGTGATAAGAATTTGAATCTGTTTCATATTAATTTAGAAGACACAAATCCTATCAAAAGTTTTAAAGAATTAAACTTTTTTAAAATTAGGTTGAAATTGTATGTAAAAAAAACTTTTTTATTACATTATATTTCTGGGAAACTTTTTTGGCCATATGTAGAATAACATATAACGCCATTAAAATCTTTTTTCTATTCCCGCGTGTAAAATACCTAATTACCCACAGATCTAGCGTGCGGGAAGCGTCACTTTACCATGTCAGTTTCGTATCCCATGAATGCGAGCCACTTTGGACATTTCCGGGATTTTACCGCTGGGATTTGGGAGCAATCGGATGTTTTCGGAGACATTTTTCACGCTTTGAATTTTGACGTTTGTCAATTCTGACGGTCATGTCAGTGAATGTATTCGTGTTCTTTTGCGAAAATGTACCCAAAAACCAACGGTCGTGGAAAAAGTATAGTATGCAACACGTTCGGTAAACTTTTATTAAAAACTCACCCCGCTGCGCTCCGCTCCGCTTGAATAAACATTCATAATTCATAATAATACATTCATTGTTTAACCCAATAAAAGACTACGTTCTCTTGATCATTTAACACGGAATTCAAATTTGGCATCTGATTACAATCTTGGTTCTCTTAAGTCACTCGTGAGTTCAATGCCGTTTACCACACTTGTTGCTGAATAGATAATTAAAAAAAAACAATTTTAAAATAGTGCACTTTTACTGGTTTTTAGACCACACACCGTGATTTTCGGCTCAACACAAATTTTGCATAAAATTGGTTTTCAATTTTTAAACAAAAAAGTAAGTAGGTTTTTCAATACTGCCGTTCAAAACTTAAAGACTATTTAATGCTTAAAACTTTTTATTGTTGACTTTTCTCTCTTTCTGGTGAAACAATTTTCACTTTTATTTTAATATTCGCAATTGATTTAAATTTACATATTAACAGTGATAAAGTATACAACTAAACATACAATAGCGCAAAATAGTGTTGTTATTTAAGCCGATATTTATTTTTTGTTACTTCTGAAGCGTTTATTTGGCACGAGCGGAGCGAGTTTTTAATAATAAAATGATTTTTAATAAAATAAGTTTAACAAAAAGAAAATAAAAACTAAAAGTTCAGATTTTGACGAAATTTTTTCGTGAAAATCTGAACTTTTAGTTCTTATTTATTTTGATAAATGGATTTTCATCAATTAAAAGCCACCTGAGTTCAAAATAAGTTTAATAAAATTTCAAATAGAAAAAAATATTCATGGCACTGGTACTGGTACTGGTAAATTATGTACACTTTTCTGTTCAGTTTTTAAAATTTGTTTTATTTCGGTTTTCTTTACCTATGCTCTTTGGTCTCTTTCTATATATTTAAGTTTACTTTCTGTTCCTTTGCTTAAAAATATTATTTTCATTCGCTAGATGCTTGTGGGTGAAATCAAACTCGAGATCAAGGCGGAGCACCAAAACTAACCAAACTAACCAAAACCAACTATATGTTAGGGACGTAAAAAAGTAAACAATATGTACATATTTTATCATCTAATTTCAGCATACAAAAATGTATAAAATCGGTACTAAAAAATTAAGTTAACCGAAATAAAATTCCCGTCGTTCGGCAATTAAAAATTAACAAAAATGAAAGTTGGTAATTTTTTAACCCCAAAAATGACCAGAAAAGCTTCTTTTGCCATTCAAAAATAAAAACATTAATTTGAATAATATTATCAATATTTACTATTTGCAGTGCCGGTGTCATTTAAAAATTTTGCACACAAGACAATCCAGCATTTCTCAATTTTCCAAAACTTGCGATGAAATAAAAACTATTTAAAAAAAAAGGAAAATCTGGAACTTTAATGTGAAAAGGAGTGTTTAGATATACTCCAAATTTTCCAGGTCTTCCTGATCGCTGATAAAATTGACGCCTAACTGCGGCTCCAATGTTACAACACTGCCGATGGGACAGAACGACATTTGTGGTTGCATAGTCTTGTTTTCGTAATTATAAAGTAATTACAAACCGAAACGCCAATAAACCAGAAGTTAAATCAGACAAAGACGAAATTGTATATTTCGTGGCAAATGAAACTAATTTTCAGTCGGACCTGGGGCATTAATTTCCAAATTCGCTTTAGATTAAAGTCGAGAGTTTTTTTTTTGGCTTCCGTTTTAGTTCTTAAGTTTCTAATGGATGGAATTTTCTTCCCCGAACTTATACTTGAAATTAAAGCAAAACAAATTTAAGTTTCACCCGACAATGCTTTTCCGATGCATAATGCATTATCTAATTAATTAGTTGGCGGTGTTTTCTAAAGGCGCGACATTTCTGTCACGATGACTTGAAGCAAAAACAAAAAGGCGGACACGGCGCGCATCGACATTGCCTTAAAGCAATCTGCCAAATTAGCTTCGGCATGGCTATCACGTTGAGAGATTTGACGTGACTATGCAAAAATTAATTTAAAATTTCAATTTTGAGAACTTGTTTTAAATTAAACAAAACGTTTACATTTAAACTTTAGCTTGTTTCCCTTAAAATTTAAATTATTGATCCTGGCAGTTTTTCGCGTTTGGTCCAGTCCCCTTAACGATACTGACTGACAATAGTTTCTTCCTGTCGTCTACGCTAGATCGGTGTATAAATAGGTATTTCACAGAAGGGGGTGGAAAAAGTATAGTATGCAACGCGTTTGGTAAACTTTTTAAGTCACTTGTAAACGAGTGACTTAAATGCCGTTCACAACACTTGTCGTGTGCTTTTTACCACATATTAATGGATTCTGGCATATAAGTTATAGAAAATTTTTTGACGAGGGCGTTAACACATTTTGCGTCTTAACATAACAGCATATATTTTGTTCATTTTGAATTAACAGGTCAAACCTTGTATTGGTGTCTTTAAAATGACTTAAATTAAGTTGAACTGAGGTGGCTTTTACTTGATGAAAATTAATTTATCAAAATAAATAAGAAGTAAAAGGTCAGATTTTCACAAAATTATATATTTTCACATGACAATTGTTTCGACAACACCGTGTCTTTATCAAATGTACATTTGATAAAGACACGGTGTTGTCGAAACAATTGTCATGTCATAATATATAATTGCGTGAAAATCTGAACTTTTAGATCTTATTTACTTAAATTAAGGTCTCGACTAAATTTTATTTCAATAATGATGGATGTCGAATATCTCAAATATCTGCATAATAACGAAGCTCTTTTGCACAAACCGAGGCACAAACCAATTTACGGCGTGTGTTGCATGAGATACCCTAGACTGCGGTACCTCTAAAATGCTTGATGCAAAGGGGCATAAATCGCGCCTTTGAGACTAGTCGATTAATAGTCGGTCGGTTTATAAACGCACCGTCGAACTAGAGCTGCTCTATTGTTTAAAATGGCTCTTTATTTCAATCAAACATACAAAGAACCACCACACCTAGTGTTAAATTATTATTTAAAATGCTAAACCCGCAAGAGTTGGCCGGTAAGGTGCAATATAAAATGTTATATAGACTATGAGATTTAATATGTATTTGCTCACCATCTATGGTGGTCCTCAGTCCCAAATTATCATATAGTGGTTCTCCGACAACCTCGCTACTGGGAGGAGGTTCGGAGCTCCAACTCTGTCTGGGTCTTCTCGGTATTGTGACGTATCCGGCGCCTTGTCTGGGTATCCTTGGTACCGCCGCACCTTGGACGAATGGACTGTGAGATCTCGAATAGGGCAGCGTCTTGTACAGATTAAGCTGATCGTAAATGGGACTGTGAAGCGGACTCTGGGGGCCGTGATGAGCTGGTAATCTTAAAATTAAAATTAACGGCTAACACGTACGAACAAATCAATTTAACGATTTAAATATTAAATATTATAATTATAAAAAAAATAAATATTGCAATAACAATTAATGGCGGAAAAACAAATCGAACTTTGGGATTTCCGAAAAAAATGCAACACCTACCTGGAATCGATGACAACCGTTGAGGCATTTGACCCAGCGGGAGAAACTTGAGCGGCCCTCGGCGGGAAGGGTAGCAAATCCGGCGGATAAGGAGGGTTGTTGAGGCGGTAATCAGAGGAGTCGATGAGCACGTTGTGTGATTTTCGAAGTAGGGGCTGGTCGAAGTCGAGAGATCTCGACTCCTCGTCACAATCTACAAACAAAATGTTCAAATAGATAGGGGATAACATCGGCGAAAATTTGTTATCATTTGGTATCGGTTTCTGACATAAGATAGAATTTAATTAATTTGCCCATGATACACGTTTTCACTTTCACTAAAATATAGTGGTAGGGATGATGCAATCCTTTTCTAAATAGCTCTTAATCATTCCAATAGATCACGCTTGTGGAGGATTTTTGTTTTAAATTTGGATTATTATAAATTTCATTTTTATATTTTATTATATATATATATATATATATATATATATATATATATATATATATATATATATATATATATATATATATATATATATATATATATATATATATATATATATATATATATATATACACACCATACCATCAAAATTAAGATAATTTTTTTTTACTTCTTTTTATAGACCCAAGGAATAAAATAGGTGTTTTGGTCTATACTTTGGGATCTGTAAAAATCTTATCGTAATAGTCATAGTCAAGTAAAGACATTTTGCTCGGAATATGCAATCAATTTGACGAATAACACCTGTGTGTGTACTTTACTCACTTCCGAAGAAATTAATTTACTTCGTTCACCTGTAATTCGACACAAGTTACGATTTTCAGTTGAATTTCAACCAAAAATGTGATTATTTTCATGATTCAATACGCCTTTAACTTAGACGTCAAATGTTGACTCGGAAAGATCGCGATAACAAATGAATGCGACCAATAATAGGCACTTGTCCTCCCGACGCAAACTTTGCGATTAAATAAAAAATGTTTTACGCGCAAAAAAAACTCAATCTAATACCATTTCTGTCCTGTCGATTTTTCAGAGCGACAAACTTGCCGGCAACGTCTATCTTTATCACTTTTCCTCTCCCCCCACCACCCTTCTAAGATTTTTCTGTCGGGCGCCGCCCTCGGGTGTCCCGTTGTGTAAATAAAATATCGATATAACAGGAAACGTGTTTTGCCTTCGATTGCTGGCGAAATTACGGACATAATGTAAAGTCGACAATGGGGGAATGTTAAGTAGGGAAAATAGAGCGACATGTGATGTAATAAATTTTTCGATCAAGGGCGACAGTTCGCTTTTGCCGCTCCTCCGTCGCCTTTTTGTCGTCGCCGTCCATTTTTTGCCCTAGCGTAATTTATTTTTTGCCGCCCCTTCAAATAAATTAACATATAGGTTTTGCCATAGCTTTCCAATTTTGGAGGTTCTGTTACATGCTTAGAAAGAATTGTATACTGATTAGAAGCTTCGCGATAATGAAATTTTGCATTCTAGATTCCACAATTAGATTTTTCAAAGGGTAATTTAAATCATAATAATAATAATTATTAAATAATTATTCAAACGAGAAGCAACGACGTTAAAGAAGACATAGTCTCGACAAAGACACCATTCGCGACCAAGCTATTTAGCTATTAAGGTACAGAACTGGCAGCGAATACGTAGACTATTAAAATAAAAATAAATGGCAATATTGTACACTTTCAAGAATCCAGAATTCTGATTAACAACCGCAATCAAGATTTTGTTGTGTATCACATTAAATTCATTAACTGTTGTAATAAAAAAGTCAAAATGGCTTCTTCCCGATAATTTATCATTTGCCATTTTATTTGTTTATTTGGTCGATTGACCACGTCAAATAAATATTCACTGATTTAAAACCGCCTCAACATTTTATAACCCGCGGTTATTTGGCTGTCAATTTAAATTAAGCATTGACGACATCACCCAGAACTTTTCAATTTTTTTCGCATCAAAAATATTAATATATAAAAATAAATTTCCGCAGAGCTAGATTTTGGTGGAGACCTTGGGCGCACCAGTAGAAATAGGGTCCGAAAAGTCCCCAAAGCGGTTTAAATTAATTATTAATTATTTTTAAAGCTAGTATATTTATAAAGTAACAAGTAAACAAGATTTTTTCTTTATAAAACAGCAAAATTAATCAGCTAATGCTCATTGCGTATCATTTCGGAAATACAGTGACACAAACAAAATATTCTGCAAAAACGTACTTCTCCACAGATTATGTTATCTTAAATAGCATATCGTTATTCCGATAACATTAAGGAAATCACTGTAATTCAGAAATAACCCACTGTAATAAAAAAAAGCCCATCACCACCAACGGTTAATGCAGTTTGCGTATTAGGGTCGAGCTAGCACCATTAGGTTACAATCGATTAGTATATTTCACCAACCGAATGACTTAGAAGATACAGTTAAGTCACAAACATTCACATTCGCCATATTATCTATATTGTGGTATGTTGTTACCTATTATTTGCTATTTTGTGGAGATCCATACATTAGTGCTGCCCGAAAACCAAGAATTTCCTATAACAATTTTTTAGACAATTTATTTTTTTGCAATCTTCCATATCGTATAATTTTAGGACAAATGCCGACAGTTATTATTTTCAGCAATTTATTAGAAAGAAAATTGAAAAATTCAACTCATAACTCAATTACAATTTGATGGTTAAAACAAAGAGCAAAAGTAATAAGAACAAGAATGCCAATACGTTCATAAATGGCATATTTAGGTAAATAATTTTAACCAACAGTTCAAGACTAAATGCTTTGGTAAAGCTATTTAAAGGTCAGCTAATCATAACAGTTTGGATTCACTCACGTTTTAAATTGTTGTACTTAAAAGCAAAAAATTAATGCAAAAAAAAACGTGTGGAATACGTTATTAAAAAAATATTTACTGTTATGTCCAGGATGACTGGCATATATTGAAAGACATACTAATAGAAATATTATTATATCGGAGTATTTAACATGATTTTTGAGAATGTTTGCAAATGTGTAATCCTCGTTCTAATCTAAAGGCTTGTATTTGCATTAATTTCTAAATTAGTTCGCCTAAATGATTCGGAATTTCTCAACGAACTCTTCACATTCGTGAAGTTTGGCCAAAAAAAGCAAATGTCCTTTATTAACATGTCAATATATAGGTTTATGCACCAAACATCCTGTGTATTTCCTACAATACCAGGTGTCCCAGTAAGGACTACGAGGGTATTAAACGGACAGTCCTAAAAATTAAAAAATATATTAAGTAAATCGATCAACAAATTGCTGGAAATTATTTTCAAATTATTATTTATTGCTTAATGCTCTTTGCTCAATCTCCGCAGGGAGAGTAAGTGGTGGCAAGTGGTCGGACATTTTCGGAAATAAATGCGCGATTGCGATTACGTAAAAAAAATCAAAGCAAAACAATATGACTTATAGTCAAATGAGGATGCAACAATCTAGTGAAAATCATATCTCAACATCTTGATCATAATCGAAAATATCTTGCAAGACTATAAAAAATTTGAATTTTGTGCCACTTCCACTATAATAAAAATAAAAATTACGCCTCATAATGGTCACTTCAGAAACTATAAAATATTTTTTATTTTGTCTTGGGCGGTTTAATTAATAAGATTTCCTTTTAAAATTTAAAATATGTACCGCACCGCTTCAACTCTTTGTCTGACCGTCATTACTCGGTTTGCTAAATTTATTCTAAATCGAATTTTTCAAATATTAATATAAAAGCAACTACTTAAGCGAGAAGCTGAAATAACAAGAGTTTAACGAAAAAAAAACAATATTAACGGTCACTCACCGAAGACGGATTCATTATCCAACAAATTCTTTTTCGCGTCGCTGACCTCGGTTCCGCCGCTAACCACCGAAGGGGGTACGGTCGTCCTTGGAGGTTTGCAAATCGGATTCACCTCCGTTATCAAACCCTTCTTAATTTCAATCTGCCCTCTCATGTTTATACACTCCTCCGACGAGTTGCCGAGCTCTCTGCGTTTCGAGTTCATGGCGTGGTTAGTTTTCTTGCAAAACAGACACACCAGAATCAAAATGACTATGAGCAAAATTATCAGGCCTATGGACAGACCGATGATCCACACGGTTGAACCGGAGAAAGTGTAACTGCCACCGCTTATAGCGGCGGAATCGACGATCAGGGTGATATTTTTCTCGTCTTCTCCTCCTGGATTTTTCGCGATACATCTGTACTCACCTCTGTCTTTGTAGTTGATGTTTGTTATGGTCAGATTGTTCCAAGTGTATTCCCCGTATTTACTTTTCGAGGTGAAGTATTTTTGTTTATTTTTCCTGGGATCCCTTTCGACAATGTGACCATTATTGGTCCAGTCGACGTCCGGCTCGGGATCACCGATAACCTTACAGCTCAGCGTAACATTGTTACTCGTAGCCTGGATTTGCGTGGAAGGAAGAGGGTCTAAGATGACGGGAGAACACGCAAACGTTATAGGTTCATTCCACGTTCGCCCTTGCAACTTGGGAGGTTCTAGGCACTTAGTAGGATTCGTTATAAGGTTGCTTTTTATAGTACTTTGGCGAAATTGTTCCAAGTTGCAGTCGCACACCCAAGGGTTCTCCTCTACGTTAAGGCTATTGAGCTTCGGAAGCTTCCGCTTTAAGTCAAACGTGATTGTTTTAATTTTATTGTAACCTAAATTTACATCGTTTAAAGCTGGCAAGTTGCGAAACGTGTCCTCGTTTATAGTCTCTATTAAATTGTTGTCTAAATGGATCCTCTGTAAATAATCCATGTTGCTAAACAGTCCCTCCTCTAGTACTTGAATTTTATTATAACTGAGTATTAATATCCTTAGCTTAATGTTATCCCTAAAAGTGTCTCTTTTAAGCCTTCCTATCGAGTTCCTACTCAGATCTAATTCTATCAATAGAGCAAGTCTCCTAAATGCTCCCTCGCTGAGCGTATCGATTGAGCAATTCTGAAATTTCATCTTGTGGATGTCGACGAGATTCGCTTCTAAAAATTCATTTTCCGTAAGACTGTACAACGGGTTATTGGAAAAATCTATATCTCGAATTGTTGTGCTCAAGTCTTTCGGTATTTCACTTAGGCCTTTGCTGGCACAGTTCGCGGTTCTTCTCCCACTGACCCAAATACATGAACATCTGTTACACTCTTTGGTCCAGTCCGTGTCCGAGATCGTCACGTGTAGGTCAGATACGGCCAAGAAGGAGAACAGGAGAAATTTCAGGTTCATGTTGAGCGTGTTCCGGGACAGTCTTATGAGATTGCTATCTGAAACAAAAACGAACTATCAACCCAACTACCCAAGTCACCCAAAGAGATTTTATGAATTTCTTAGAATGTGTTTATATTCATATTATATAAGAAGCGACGAAGTCCAGGGTCCTAAATGAGTGAGCCTCAGTGCAGTACTAAGAGTGAGGTCTCAGTCGCATGGTTGTCCTCGACAATAGTACATGTATGCGGAGAAGATGAAACTTATCTTTTAAACAGTAGCCCTCTTCTAATAAGCTGACGATTCAGAAGCTCAAATTCGAAAAAGTATGAAAGAGGTACTCGACCTCCTAGGCGAGATACAAGTAGTTTCATTAATTATTCAGGGCTCTTTAAAACACCGCATCGAGTACCGGCAAAGGTTACTTTCAATTTTTCAGGTGATTGAGGTTAATGCGCCCAAAATATAATTGTGGATAAGATATAACAAGTTAAGCTGATAAATTTTAAATTCCAAAGCAAAAGGTATGAATAAATTATACAATTTCAGATATCTGCAGTGAGAAAACACGATAGTTGATTTGCAAAATAAAAAAAAAAAAACATTTCATTTCATTTTATCGTCAAGCTTTAGTACGGTTCCAAATATACTGCAGTGTTGCCAAATTTATTCTTTCCCAAACTTAGGGAAACTACGCGGAGCATTATAAAATTTTATCGTATAGTTGAGTAGCACTTAAATTTAACATTAAAAAAAAATAATTTCATTATATTGATTATCTACGTCGACAAATATGAACACAAACGGAACGCGTTGTACAATAAGCCTGCTGGTCTACTAAGAGAACTTTTTCATGTGAAAATTAAATATTTTTTTCCAACATTATACAGAGCCCTACAAAATATCAAGAAAGTGAGAAAGGTCATGTAGTTAGCGCCCCTACAAGTAATAACTAAATTTCACACGTCCACCAAACACCCAGTTTCATTTATTATTAGTATTATTTCGGAAATTGTGCAGAAAAAAAAAGTTGACATCTTGTCTTTCTAAAATGAAGCAATAACACTTTTTAAATAATACTCTGCGACATGTCTGTCGAAGCCGAACCATTTCCTAAATTTTATAGAATTCCTATACGCGCGCTTAACCTTTGTTTTTTACCGAATGAGAATGAAATTAAGAGCCGCATAAAAACCGAAATGAAAAAAAAGTTATGCTCGGCCATTGTTCCGAAACGGCGCCTCTATTCCGAAAAAGTAGGTTAAAAAGTTAAATAGTTTGAACTACCGGCTGTGCCGTGCACTTAAACTTCTCAAAGGCCCGGCGGCCATAAAAAAAGTACGCGAGCGTTTTAATTATTAACAGACGTGTGAAGCCGCGGCTTTGCATTTTTAATTAAAAAATCGTGTTTCGAAATTTTCAAATTTGCATTGTTTCGAAACGGAATGGGCGTTCGTTTTTGCAAACTTTCATAAATTAAACGTGACAGCTTACGGGGTGTGTGTGGGTGTACCACGTTTTACCGGCTACGGGATAGAAACTGATTGACTGACTGAGCTCATTGTTTGCGCATTAATTCGAGAAAAATTGAACACAGAGTCGTCAGTTTGACACTGTTTCACTTACTGCAACTGCAACTTAATTTTGTGAAAAGCATTGGCACTTCTCCACGATATTATTTAGCTAGTGTGAACACCTTTTAGCTGCTCATGTAATAAGCTAGCATCACCAATTTGAGAATATGGACATAGAGTAATAGCTGTAAGGTGTACCGAGCTCTATCCTATTCCAACACTAACTTTCACAACTTGTCAAGAGATCGAAACACAACAGTAACGTCTTTTTCAAGAATTTTACAGCAAAAACTTGCTTTTTTCTATTTTTTCAGAGATGAAATGCAGAAGAGCATTGTCGTTCTTAATTTAAATGCAATAAAATAAATGTGAATACACAGCATTATCACTTGCAAATTTGTGGTAAAAGAGAATAATTTGTCTTGCCGCGTTTAAAAAACGCCGTCGGAACTGGACACATATGAGTAGTTTAAAAATGAATTCCACGATTTTGTCCGCTATATGTCAAATTTGTTTTCCTGACTCTACGTCAGGTAACAGCATAAAAATTAAAAATTGCAACTTCTACAGCGAACACTCGTATGACGTCAATAATGTTATTATAACAATTTTTTTCTTTTACGACAAATTTACGACAAAAAAACCACAATTAATGCATACATAAACCATTAAAAATTTTCAAGTGGTAATGTTACTAACGTACTAAACGTCAACCATTATGGTGTTCTAACAATTAAATCCCGTAAACTTTTACTCTGGCATTATTCTCCGGCCTAGTTCCACTTTAAAACGCGCGCACTACACCCCAAAAGGTCACGCATTTTTCTTTAAAAGCGGCTCGCTGGTAGTCCCGAGTTAAAGCCGGCTACAAACTTCTAACGAAATTACAACATGTAATTAAGGTAAAATGATCTCAAGACTTTCTTTCGGATTAAAATTTCCACAGTTGAATTACCATTTAGGATTCACTCGCAAGCTTCTAATTTAATTTGCGCGAAGCACACCGTTAACGCCAAGTCAACTCGAATATTGAAATATTTTAGCCGAGATTTCAGTGACGCATCTTTGACGTTTAAACTAAGTTGTTTGGAACGCTTATTAATTATTAATTAATTAAACACTGTCGCAAGTCACTTGGAGCGTTTGCTGTACTTTAGTCATAGGTTTGCCGTTTGACGTTTGCCAGTTCTGATGGTCAGGTCACATGTCATTCAGTAAATGTATTCGTGTTAAGTCACTATTTATTAACACTTCGCTCATGCCTAAACACATTCGTGATCAAAGTGTCGTTTATAAAAACTTGCTGCTTTATGTACTATTATCGATTCGTTACACATTATAAGTTATATTGAATTGAATGAACTGGAAACTAGGAATCTGATTGACAGCTATCACAGTACACATTTTTTTAAGATTAAGATATAATTATAAACAAAGAAAACTCCACAAGAGCAGATAACATTAATGACACGTTAATTATGATAAGAAAAATAATCAACTATTTGATAAATTGGAAAACCCCTGAAGTTTGGCAACTTGATGAAAAATATATACTTTCAATTAAATTTCAATAATTAAGGGGTCAATTTTTGGTTCCATTTTAAAAAGAAAATTTCATATGAATATATGTCCTAAACGTCTTAACTTTTCAGATACAGAGTAGTAAAGTTTTCAAAAATAAAATATATTTTTTTAATATCTGTAATACTTTAGGTATTTTAACAAAATTTGGCACACACATATATCAAGAGGCATCATTTAGTGTACCACAATTTTTTCACCATTTTCACCATCGCGACACTAATTTTTCTTAAAATAAAAATTATTCTTACAATCTCCAATCATTTCTAAAGAAATTAAATTTTTTGATTTTTTCAATCCGATGTACGGTTTTCGCTTAAAAAAATAAAAACCACTTTCTTCAATTCCGAAAACCATTATTATCGGACACTGACCCTTCAAAAAAAAATACAGTCCCCTGTTATTTCTTTTGAGTGCAAGTTCAAGGTATTTCTGTTCGATCAATTCTAAAAAATGTTACTAACAGAATCTTAAAAAAATGGTATAAATATCAAAAGGGAAGATGAAAGGTATTTCTTAAATTCATCCAACATTCGAAATTGATATTAAATTCGGAAAACTTCTAAGGTCGATGCATTTTTCTCTTTAATATTCACAATATGGAATAATCGGAACAAAAGAAATTAAATCTTCTCTACGGTATCACAATAAGGAAAATATTTTATGAAGTTTCCATTTTGCTGGAGTGCCTTTCAAGCAGGCGTAACAAGAGTTATAAAATTCCCGAGTACACTTTTATATTCGCGTTTTGATTTTTATTTCGCTAGGAAGTTAAATGAAGTTTTAATGGGACATGAAACGAGATCCTAACAAAAACAGAGATAAAACTTAAGATACTGCTCTATAAAGTGCGAATTTTAAGATCGGTCGGGATTTTATTTCATCGGTGCATCGGTTAGTGTACAAAAGTGCACAGGGTGTTCAAAAATAACCAAAATCGAGGCGCTGTTTTGGAGGAAACATTAGTGTGTGTCGTTCATTTTCCAAAATTCCGTTGCTTTTCTGGATTTTGAAAAGAAATTAGAAAATTTCAGGTAACTTTTTTTTCTTCTTTCATAGAACTGCACTCAATTTTCTCTAGAGATACGCAAAGATCAAAAAAATTGACGCTTACATTGTGTGAAGATCTAGTGTTCTTTTCTATTATCATGTCGTATATTACTCAGCTCTTAGACAAACAAAGAGATACCTTCAAAGGTGACAAAATTTATGTATTAGATATTGTTACGGTTTTTGTAAATATTATTTTTGTAAATATATTATATTTGGTGATCCGCGGAGAGCGCAGTTACTTGCCACAAAACTAATTAACGTATGCTCCGTTCATTGCTGCTCCAACCTTGATAGAAACCAATTTGTGACTCGTAGGCATAGAACTACTTTTGCATAACTGTAAAAGGTGTTTTAACTATAATTCGGTCAAATTTTTCGATAAAGTTCCAAAGTTCTCACCATATAATGTGGACATATTTAAGGATTAAATGACTTACCTTCAGGAATTTCAATCCTAATTATATGAACATTTGGTTTCCAACATATAACACACTGTAGGTATTTAAAGTAAAATAACGGTCTAAATAGTGTTTGCAGCCAAAACACAAACAAAAATGCAAGTATTGTATAATAACCAGAAGAAAAAAAATACAAAACAAACAATACTGTCACAAGTTTCTTATCCAAAATATCGGTATTATTTATTCCAAATTGAAAGAACAAAATAGTACATAATATTCAATGCATCTATTATTAAAGTAATTATTGATTTATTAAATAAGTATAAAAAAGAAAAAGACATAAAAACCAAAGTGCCTGGAAAATAAGTCTAGGTGGACGCACTATGTTTAGTAAGTAGAGAATAGCATCAGCAAAGTTAAGTTTCGGTAGTACCAATCTGTTG